ACGAAAACACAAAGGGGGCTATGGTTGCTTATTGCGTCGACAACAACAAACAAGACATAGGAAATAAGGGAAGAAGCGCAAAGGATCCAATGATCGATATGCACAAAAAGGTGGGGTACACGCCGCCTAAAGTGCGCGCTCAACAACAATTGTTTCCGGACCCAACTGAAGAAAAAGTGGGGAAATAAGGGACAAAAATTACAAAAAGAAGGGCATTCCGCCGCAAAAACACAACATCTGGCCTGATAGTAAAAACAGAGCGTAAAGCTCGACAACGGCCTGGCATCAGACAAATCAGAGCAGAAAAGAAGGAAAATAGAGGCTCGGTACCTGGATGGAAAACGGTAAGAAATTCTGCCTGTTTCCAATGGCTCTCTCTGTCATACTATCCGTCGACCAACGACATCGAAGATGGACCATGCCTGAACGAAGCGCGGCGCGCTAGGGGGCAACACTCACACCCATCGGTAACCTAAAGAAAATACATATAATTATAAATAGAGGAATCACAGAGCACGCTCCCTACTACCCATGCCAACGAATAACCCTACTAGACCCTCTCAACTTGCCCAACCTACTCCATCACAAGGAAGAACAAAAAAGAGCGTAGTACGTAACCGTGGGGGTAACCAAAGGACGTAAGGCAAACAGAGCATGAATAACGACAGAGTGTCACTGAAGAGCCTGCGCGGCACTAAGTGGCGCGCGTATAACAAGGTACGGAAAAGGTTATCCTGTCGGAGGCCGGTCTGGAAACTGCTCAGGGCTCCTGTCGGCGAACGGAGAGGCCATCACTGATGACCCGTGGGCACTTGGACCATATCCTGCTTAAAACCGTGCTTCGTTCCATTTGCCGTCCTTCATCGTCGTCCTGCTGATGGTACCTTCCAGCGTCTTGCACGACAATCCCATCCTTCTAGCACGGCTGCTCTCCGCTTTGTACTAGGGGTGGTGGGCGAACTAAAGGGGCGCGGCCTCGAGGGCCCAAGTGCGCTTATTGCACCAACGAGACTCACCTTACGGTGCCCCATGTAGCACTACGCCGGGGACATAGGTCACTATGGGTCACAATTGGGCCAATCTTGTACTAAGGACTAAACTACTAAACTAAACTACGGACTACAGGAGGTTAGACTACGGGGACAAGACTAATACCGGTTGTAGGGAAAACTAAACTACAGTAGAGCGAAGAAAAGAAGTGGTGTGAAAGAGAAACTAACAGGGTACGGATCCAAGGAACCCCTAGTACCAATCCAAACCCATACCCAACCCAAACTCAAATCTACCTAGAAAACAGAAAAATACAAAAGACATAGAACACAAAATACTAACTATAAAACCCCAGCTTACATAAAGGAACCCGAATCCCGTCTCCCCGGCTATGGTCCAAGCTCCTATATGTGAATATAGGACGGTGTCGATCCCCAGCTGCGGTTCTTCGCGCGTCTCGATACAGCTCCACCTTCGCGCGTCCACCGATACGGCTCTACGCAGCTCCATACCCCTCTCTCGTGTCATTCCTCCTGTCCATCGCTCGTCCTTCGCCTTCGAACTAGCGCGTACAACGATACAGTACTGAAACGCGTTCGACGATACAACACTGGTACACGTACGACGATACGATACTAAAGCGTGTTCAACGATACAATACTATATACGCGTGCAACGATACAGCTCTAAATCGCGCTCCCTAACTTCCATCCATCCGTCTTCCAACTGTCCATCTCCATGCCATCGTCCCTCTCGAACAACAATCCGACGTCGAAACTCTCCTGGCGCGTACTCCGGTACAGCTCTCTCGCGTGCTCCGATACAGTCCTAAAATGCGCGTACAACGATACAGCTCCTCTTCGCGCCTCTACGATCTGGTCTTCTGCGCGCAGCATGCTCGACGATACAGCACTAAATGCACGTACAACGATACAACTCAAGCGCGCTCGCGATCGTCCTATCCTCCGTCTTCCTCTTCATCCTCCTTCCGTCGTCATCCATCTTCCATCGATCGTACTGCATTAAGGCGTCCATCTGTCAACTCTTCCCGTCCTGCTTCCTCCAATCCTTCGTCCAAATCCCGAAGACTCGACTTGTGCGGCCGCTGGTACTCTCCGGTACCCCCTATCGAGCCCGCCGACTACGACACCGGCCCTCAACCTGGGCAGTACTTTCCAAGCGCGACAGGCTTACCAGGTATCGCATGACGTGAGCGCTCGATCGATTGGGGTTCTAGTTGGCAAGTTGCCCAGTCTTCCCGACTATCCCCCCGCGCTGACACGCCATGCTTCGCACCCTGGCTACCTTCCGGCACTCTTGTTACTGGCTACGTAGATATTCAGCTCTGCCTCTCTGTTTGCCAGGACTTCCTACTGGGGCGCTGAGCGTGGTAGCTTCGGGCTCGTTACGCACGCATGATGGATGGGATAGCGCGTTCCTTCAGCAACGCAACAACGACGCAACATACGGATGACACACGACCTGCTCCAACTTGCGCGACTAACCCATCCGCGGGCGGCGACGCCATCCACCATGCGCTCGGCATCGATGCACCATGTTGCGGCTCGGTGGGCTCTGCGCCCCCTCACCTAGTGCTCGACTGCCATGCGTCCAGCTCCTGTCCCCGAAGGACTTCGGCCACTGCGGGTGCGCGCCAGCTCACAATGGCGCGTTACGCCTACACTATACACGAAACAATAAAAGAATACATAAATTTACTAAATAAATATACACAAAAATACACGATATAAACAAATATAAATATACTTACCACGGGGAGAGTTAAGCTCTACCCCGGGCTACCGATGGGGGCTCTAACTTACTCACACTCACACACTAGCACACTCACACACTCTCCCGGAATCCAAGGGAGCTACCCACAGGCCGGCCGCGTGCCGCCAAGGCAGCAGCTACGGCACGGCAACACCGACCCCATGATGTTAACCAACAGCATCGAACAAAGCTCCCAACAAATCCTGCGCGACCAAGGCGCTTCGTGATGTTCATCATCCTGGAATTCTATCCTCGCGCGTACATCCAAACAATCCATCAACGATCCATCCAATCGCGCGAGGCACGGGGACGTAGACACGACGGCGATATCGTAGAAACCCAACCAATCAATAAAGGCGGCACGACGATAATAGTAAGATGACAAGACGAGAGAGGCCGCACTGGCGCGCGTACGCGCTATTTATAGCGGTGGCTGGGGGCGTGCCTACATGGTGTGGTCTCGGAGCGAACAAGGTAGCCGCCGTAAAGCGCGGCGACCGTGCTCACGACCGAGACGCGCGGCAACACGGTGCTCCCGGCCACATGCTGTGAGCAGCGGTCGATCGCGAGCCGCGACATGCTTGTTTTAGAGGAAAACCTATCTTCCTGTAAGAGTTGCTTAAACCATTTAGAAGCTATCTCTTCTAGTTTTTTGGTATGCCATATTAAAGAGCTCCGCTCAGCTGGAGGATGCCCAAGTCAAAAGGACAGCAAGGCATACATGAAATTCTTTCACTTTGTTTTGTCTCCATCGTATCTACCAGCAAAAGACGAAATTTTCTCAAAATATGTATTTTACTGAGGACTAGTGCTACATAATGCTTATAGGAGCCATGATTTTAAAAATATCTGACCCTGAAAACTTTCAGCATGAATATGATATGTCGTTGCAGCCTTCATAAGTCGCATACAGTTTTAAGCACAAGGCGATTACGATGCTCTTGCAAGTTATGGTCCCTCAAAGTAGTTCCTCTCAAGACATTGTGTCGGCTATCTTCGGAAATCTTTTCATGAATGGAAAATAATTTTTGAACATGCATAGAACCACCAATTTGTAGGTTGTAAGATTTTATTACATTTCTTGTGACTGAAAAGTGGTGCAATGGCTTTGCATATTGGAATTAGGTAATCTAGAGAGCCAGATGTATTAGGTCATTCCGAAAGTAATTTCGCTTTTTTTAAACGGACGCCACATGAGATGGAACAAAGATTTCTAAGAGAACTTGGCAGCATTCGATGCAGAATTTCTTCCTCTTTCTGAATATTATAAAATTATTGCAGTACAATCAATGGGCTTTTAAAAAATTACGAAAGTCTGCGATCCATGCTTTTTGAGATGCTCAAGTTTCCTAATTTTTCTAAATTCTTACACTAACCCTCCGAAGAAGCTCAAGTGACGATTCGATAGAGCAAACCCCATAGGATATGGCCTGACTTTTTTCTCGTTTTTATATCTCGCCATAATTTCTTAAAAGATTTATTATTGAAACCATCGAATTTTGACAGGCCTACGTCAGCCAAATTCGCATCAAACACCGATAAGTCTTCGGAATTTGAAACTTCCAAGATGGAGTTACGATTTAACACCAATTTTGCGAAGCGAATGGGGGTTTACGGAATCGAAATTTCTAATCTCGAATTTTCCGGGTACAGCCCAGAACGCATTCGAAAGTATGAATCATGATGATTTTGTACGCAAAAACTTCATGAAAGGGAAACAAAAAAACATGTAATGGAAAGAGGAGATCAAGCTGCATCGAATGACACTCGAGCTGTTAAGCGTTTGATGTTCTACGATGTTTGAGTTGACCAAGAATGGAAATCGGTAGCACCAATCAAAATTCTATTAAAAAATTTTGAGGAGTTCTGTGAAGAAGGAAAAAATCGTTTTGTACCTTGTAGGGTTTGCTCTATCGAATCGTTACTTGGACCCCTTTGGAGGATTGATGTACACATTTAGAAAAATTGTGAAACTTGAGCATCTCAAAAAGCATGGGTCGCAGGTTTTGGTTATTTTCCGAAAGCTCTATGATTGAGCTGCAAAGATTTCACCACTACTGGAAAGAGAATGAAATTCTGCATCGAATGCTACCAAGATCTCTTAGAAATATTTGTTCCATCACATGTGGCGTCCGTTTGAAAAAAGCGAAATTACTTTCGGAGTGACCTAATATATAACGCATGAAAATTTCAATCGAAACAGACTGAAATCAAACCTACAAGACTGCCGTTTTCAGAGATTCATGTGCGCGCAATACTATTTGTGAATGAAGAGTTCGAAGAGATTCACAAAACGGAAGAGAAAAGCCCTCAAGACGAAACTCCGCTTGGTATCACATTCGGCAAAAGACTGGTGTTCGACTTGATGCGAATCGATGTAAACAGTGCCTTGTTTGTTTGCCAAGTGGTACAGAAGATCGAGGATAAGTAAGTTTTGTTGTTCTTGTTAACAGGGATCAAATTTTCCATATACGTGAAACAAATCACGGTGGTAAAGCAGTGGCCAGATTGTCCTTCGATCAACGAAAAGAAATAAATGCTCTTCTCCCTAACTTAGACCGTTTTCATATTTCGTTTCTGCAATAAAATCACTTTCATAAATTTTGCGTTTGTTTACCTTTTGTCTACTCCATTCCTTGATAATTTGTAATCAGCAAGATATGATCGCGCTAGATCTATCAGAAATAGCAAAACAAGGGAAAGAGGTTGGCTTTTTGGAACGGAAGTAAAGAGTAAAAAGTAAGTAAAGTAAAAAAAAAGTAAAAGTAAAAAAAGTAAAAAGTAGGAAAAGTAAGTAGTAAAGTAGTAAAGAAATAGTAAAAAAATTAGTATTGTAAAATTAGTAATCAAACACGAGTAAAAAAATTAGTCAAGTAACTTGTTCTTTTGCTGTTGAAGGCGCTTTCATTTCCTGTTTTTTGAAAATTGCTAGAGTTCTTTCATAATTTCCCCAAACATGGCGCCTTTAAATCAAAAAGATCCTCTTGGGCATCACACTCCCCCTCCCCCTCGTCCTAAAATATCGCTGCAAGCATCTCTGTTTCGTTTTCCTTTAGGCATTACTGAACACTAACTTTTTCTCTTATATTTCAGTGTAAGTGCTAAATTCGAAATATCTCAACAATTTCGATTTGAGCTGAATTTCTAGCTTTGCACTTCAGCTATCTAGTGATGGATAAACGTGATAAAATCTTTTTCGGCTGTGGGCTGTATCTTTTTTCTTTCTATGTAGTGATGTTTTTCTCATTGCCTTGTTGAAGAGCGTACTAAGTTTGTCCCCATACCATTATCAGCTGCTATACATTTATGTGATAAAATGCCCTTACGCACCTGTTATTTGAGACGATCAAAATGAAGAATGAAATTTTCTAGACTTTCCAAATGAGTCCAATCAAGTAGGACTTACATTCCTTATTGTGCTGCTCTTGCAAAATTATTTCAGAGCTTAATAATTTTTCTCAAAAGTTTTTGAGTCAACTCTTGAGTCTAGTCTTTGAGCTGTACTATTTTGTTTCATGTTGGGAGTCTATGCTTAGATCTACTTATTAATAGAAAAAGATGAAAGGAAGACATCCTAAAGTCTGCCATATAGGGTAAGGTCGCATATAAATCCGTCTAAAGATAATTCCTATACAGATAAAACCGTTTCGGACTTTTCTGACAAAATTCTAGAGTAATACTGAAAAAAGGACTTAAGTCAAAAAGCAGCCTTGTATGGCACATCATGAGGTATTTGAAAAATAAAAAGATCGTAAGGATGAAAACAATCAAGGAGCACTTTTTTTAGTGTTATCACGGATTACGATAGTGTGAGAATAATGAGGACCATTGCACTTCCTAGTTGCAATGTTCTGAATTAGAAACTTCTGAAATTTCCTGAAAGAATTACTACCTCGACTTCTAAGCTCATTTCAAGTTAGACTTATTAGTTTTGAACTCGTTGACCCTGAAGCACTGCTTCTCCACATTCGACAAATAAATCAGTGCCATATCAGCAGGAGAAGTGAACCTCGCTCATCTCTTATCTTACAGAAAACGAGTGATAGGCCAGTGCGAAGTGAAAGCTGGTGGCGGTCACTGGTCGAGGATGTTGGCTGCAGTACGACAACCTGTCACGGAGACCTATCGTCTCCGACCTGCACTTTGATCTATTCTCGATTTGATAACATTTCCCTGCTCTCGTTCAAGCATTGTTTTATGAGTGTTTGTGAAGCGACACAGCCGTCGACAGACATGTGCCGTGCACATGGCAATCACGGGTGACGAGATGACCCCCGGACAGGCGACCCCGCCGGTTCGGGGAGGTCGTCCGGCTTCCGACGGCGTTCCTTTCTCACGGGTCCACATCTCCATTTCTCAGTGTACGATTTTGCTGTGATACTGTGCCTTTGTTCTAAGATGACGCTTTGGTGGTGATAATAATTATTCTTGCAATAAAAACTTCTCATCAGTTCACTTGCTGCACAACAATTTTGGACCCTAAGAAAAAATACAGTTTCATTCCGGCTTCAAGCCAGTTAAAATATCCAGGATATTCAATTGATTTTCGACCGAAAAAGGCAACAACAATCCTTTTCTCTTTGAAGATACTTATAATCGAGTGACGATTATAACAACCGAATGATCGTTTCTTTTGTCTGGGTCGAATTGCAGACGAAACATATTTCTGTTGTGTAGTCTCATTCATTACTTTAAGTAGCAAAACAACAGCTGTAAACAACTTTTGCTCTCGTCCCGTGCATCATTTTACTTGCTTGTTTCGAAGATCTTTGTAAAACTGAACAACTTCGTCCAGCACAGTCTTATGATTTACTTGGTTAGACACAGATGTATTTTTTGATATAATATACGGTAAAAAACTTGCTTGCCGAAAGAACTCCATAGCCATATTTCCTTCTTGTCCGTCCTTTCCTTCACAAAACCGTTATGGCATTACAATAGGCTAATTTTCCAAGGGCTCCTTTTTTCGGGTTTTTGTTCTCTCCTATTTTTCGCTTCAAAGTTCACCCTTTTCAAGACCATACCCATCTATGTGAGATAGTCTGACCCCTTTATCACACATGAACAAAGTGCTTTCGAATTATATAGACCTGTTTTGCAAAGAAATGGAATAGTTTTACCAATGAACGAAAGCGTAAGAAAAATATCTACTACGCACCTACTAGTCACATGCTCCTACAAAGTTTTTGTTCTAGCAAAACCTCACATTGTGATCTTTGTCTATGAAGATTTATGTCCATCCAAAAGACGAAGTAATTTTAACAACAGAAAGCAGTAAAGTCTGGGATTTTGATCTATTTGCAGCCACGATGATCAGGTGATGACATGATGTGATGAGTAGCTTCTGATAAATAGCTGTCATACATGAATAAATAAAAGGTGGCGAGAGATGAAGGATGAACGGAAGGATTGCAACTTCTCAAAAGTACGTTGATCTTTCTGAATCTTACTTTCTATGCACAACAGCTAAGTTGCGTTGATTTACTAATGTTAAGGAATGGCTACTCGTTCAAAGTTGCAGAGGTTTGCTCCCTCACCTTTCCTGCTGAAATGAAAACGTACTGATTTTTTGAAGCACCATTAAGACCTCACTATTTTTGATGCTTTTGTTCTTGTTCTTGAATAGACGCTACTCTCCATGATAAGTACACAAAATTCAAATATGAGAAACATTTAAGACTAATGTTATTGAATTTCTAGCAACGCTGTAGCGTTCTTTCGCTGCAGTCATGTGCGAATTAATATTGATATAGTATATTGATATAGTTTTGATGTAGATACTTACATAATTGCTAATCAAGTTGATGGTTCCCATGCTTTTATAAATAGTAAAGGATATAATCGAGCACTTTCATAAAAATTTTTCCAAATTGTTAAGAATGGACTTACTTCTAACAAGATAGAGTTTGTCATGATGGCGACGTACGCGGCATGTTTATACTGAAAAATTCCATCTCAGACAATGCGGAGACAACAGAGCAGAATTTTCAAGCAGAATTTGCAGGGGCATGTCAGCGCAGGTATTGAAATGTGGTAATTTTATGGAAATTGAAACTGCTATAGTACAATTTCTGTCTTGGAAAACTAGCAATTTAAAAGCTACTGAACGTTAGAAATTGATCTTTTTTGCATTGAAACTCATTTCACGAAATCGCTGAAATGCGAAATGAAGCATAGAAACTTTCTTATACAACCTTCACAGTGAAGACTAGCTGAATTGGTGTCTTGGTAGAATTATTCAACAATTTTAGTTATTTTTTTCTGCAGTTTGATACATTCGTATTTCTAGATATAGCATTTCGCGACGAGCAACACCGGTTGCAAAATGCCGTTACGGTGGTAGATTTGTCAGTTTTTAACTTTTTCATGCAAAGCTGCGGCTCAATAAGAAAGTAAACTCCCCACTTCGTTCAAAAGGGTTATTCCGTTTCCTTTGTTGATCAGGACAAATCGTTAGCAAAAAGGTGTTCGCGAATTTTTCCCATATTTGTGCACTCCTTTCATTGCTGTGTTAATCAGCCCTTGTTATCGAAAAGGTTGAAGACGTTGCTGAAAGGCTGCTTTCCTCCAAATCTATAAGACAACTGTCGTGGAAGTTCAGCTTCCACGACAATTGAGCTTCAGTGCAAGAAAAGTACGTTGGAATAAATTTCTTGAAAGCACGAAATTATCTCTAAAGCTTTGCTACTTTGTGTGTTGATCTCACTTTTACATACTTCCAATTGCTGCTTATGTAAAAGTGCTTCTCCAAATTTTGTCCAATATCCGATTCAAACATTCAGTTATCACTGGCCGTTAGTTCTCGTCTATTACCACTCATTTTTTGAGCTGTCGCTCATTTGTTATAATTTCTTCGGTGAAAATCCACACTTAATATGCATTTTAGAGAGATGGCGTCAGCTATAGTAATCGGCGAGGGTAAACTGGCTGCAGTGTTAACCAAGATTTGTAAGTAAAGCTGCAAATCTCGCATGATTCTGTTGGGTTACAACTTATGATCGATTCTTTACAGTATGCTCACATGGGACTCCTGTAGCCTTATTTGGTGCTACCAAATCCACCAAAGAATCCATTGAATCTATGCTCCAGGACCATGTAGAAAAGTCATTTCCGCTGCAATTTGTCGATGATCTCAAGGTGAGAGTGAACTATATAAAATGCATCTATGTGGATTGTGATAATCTTGCAGCATCAAAAAGATATGCTATTTCGTCTGATGGAGAATCTTCGGATGACAGACGATGTCTCGCGCCTTTTTGGGGAAGTAATCGTTGATGCCACACATGGTATAATTTATAGATTTCTAAAGATTTCTAGATTTGTGTTGTTATGACGGTGCTGTTCTGTAGGCAATACTCCCTTGGTTAGAGCAGTACGTAGGTTTGTGCCAGATGCACCTGTGATGAGTCTAGACGGAACAGCCACAGATGAGAAGACAATCGGGGTGCATGTTTATCAACCCTTTGACGTCACCAGAATCATGCAGGTAAACAATTTGCGTTGGCACCTTGTTGGCGTACCATTAATCAGATAAAAGCTTCAAGCTTTCAATAAAAAAAATGATAATTAGGGGACAAAGCTACCAGAACTTGTGAAGTACACAACAGCTTCATTGTCCTGAGAACTGAAAGTTGTTGACTTATGAGCTGCACAACACTTATATATAAGATTACGTGATTCATCTTAACAATGTATGTTGCGCTCTCAACCATTTTTAGCGCGATATTCACTTACACCCCATAGATCTACTCCTCCCCCCCCCCCCTCATTCCTCCCATCATATGCGTAACTGAAGACGCCATTATTGCCCGAATCAAAATCTCAATTTTCTGTTTTGCTTGGAAACTGTCTGCTTAGCACTACACTTGAGTATTCTTCCGGATACACATATCTGTAAATGGGACCATGGAAAGGCCAGATGATAAAAACACGGCTCAAAGCTGTGACGTGGGGAGGGAAAGAAATTACATAAAAAATATATTACCTAGGAAAACTAGATTTTCTGGTTAATTTGCACCTTCAGACACTTACTTTTTTGAAGAAAATATAGAATGGAAATTATTAACATTTGATTGGTACTATGAGGTTGATGCTTCAACATTTCTAATTTTATCAATTTCTTCAGATTCAATGAATCTGCTTGATAGGGGTAGAGGACTATATGTCGCCGAAAAAGGGCGGTCCTCGCGGTCATTTGCGACAAATACGCGCCCTTGTACATGCGCAGACATGCGTTCCTGCAGGGAATCCGCGCGGGACTCTTCCAAATTCGGCGACATATAGTCCTCCACCCTCTTGAGGGTAGAGGACTATATGTCGCCGAAAAAGGGCGGTCCTCGCGGTCATTTGCGACAAATACGCGCCCTTGTACATGCGCAGACATGCGTTCCTGCAGGGAATCCGCGCGGGACTCTTCCAAATTCGGCGACATATAGTCCTCCACCCTCTTGATAGTAATAGAGAGAAAATCTTGCTTTTGTCTTAGTTCCATGACCTGCTCTTTTTCATTAATTGTAAGAGAAGTTGGTAGTGACTGGATATCTTCAGGAAAAGTTACGAATTTCGATTTTTTTGAACCGAGTTATTGATTTTGTTTCGTATTATTTTTCTTACATAAGATGCACTATAAAATACTACTTGTTATGTACATAATAAAGAGCGTATAGTGCAAATTGATTGGTTTGTTTGAGCATTTCTAAAATGATTTTAATTTTATTTACAGTACAAGAACTGTGCATCATCGATAGGCTAATTTGAGAAAAATCTTTTTCGTGTTTGCATTTTATAACGCTTCGTCAGCGGCTTTCGAATGAGTCTTACCTTTACTTGGATGTGCTCATTTTATAGAGAGCTTTGTACATCGTGAACTCCATCTAGGTAGTATACTAATTCTGTGCACAAGTTTCAGGTAGTTACATCGCCAAAAACCGACCCTGACTCATTGGCTCGCGTACGAACACTACTCAAGAACGCGAATGTAGTCGAACTGAACAAAGAGGAAGGAGTGATGGCTGAAAAGTGAGCTCTACAAACTTTATGTGGAACACACAAAATACAAGAACCTTATTAATGCTTAAAAAGGTATCACGTGGTGAATAAATTTTCCAATAGTAAGCCTCTGAGGTGTAGTAAAAACTCTTCAATTTCAGCTTACTTGCAATAGTAGAGTTTTACAATCAAAGACTTTGCGTAGACTGAATGTCAAGCGAATTTGAAAATTGTCCAGCTATGGGTCATACAGAAACATTTTCGCATTCGACAAAGTAAACATGCATGAGTAATGTGAAAGGGAGAGCTGTTATGAAAAGGACTTTCTTTTCCTACCTCATCGCTTTATTTTCAGAGCTCTGGATGAGTGGAGAAGTGAAGGCAGCGCTGCACTTCGTCTGCAGAAGCTGATGAACAGTATAGTGCCCAGTCGAATGGTGATAAAAAGCAACTATTCTGTCATGCACTGATTTCATTCCAGATTCATCATCGTAGTGTTCCCTAACTCCGCTCTGTTCTCAAAAGCTTGTCACAAGTTGTATATGTGGATTGTCGCTTAGAATCTGGCTGTAGCAAGAAAACTTGGAACTCCTTGCCACCCACCTTTCTAGGTTTTTGCATATGGAGCTACTTGAACTCCCTTTCAATTATTTTTTCGTAACTGAGGGTGGTGTGAGGCTTTGTAAATTTTGCGTTTCCATTTCTGCATAAAACGTCCCAATGAAGCTGAGACATTGAGTTATAATGCAGTTTTGTGGCGCAGATAAAGCATCCTACATCGTCCAGTTTGCTGAGTTTCACGAGGCATTATCACCTGAGCGACAGCGGTCAGGCGCAATCTTAATGTTTTTTCAATAGGCTAGTGATCGAGCTCCAGTAAAAGTGAATCAGAATTCTACATTCGAAGGAGAGAAGATACTGGAGAGGGGGGGGGGGGGCGGCGCCGCCAGCATTTGCTGTCGCGCATCCCGACGCTTTTCGCAGTCAATGTGGAGGAGTAAAGGGTGGGGGTGGGGTGTTGCACCTTGTTGAAGTTATTTTATGCACAATACCAAGTTTGCAATACTTTGCACTCCCTGTGCTTTACCCTTCTTGAGAGATTGTCTCACACTTTCCAAAACGCGCACTCTAGGCTGTCCAGATTTTGTTGGAAGATCGCAGATCAGAGAACTTCACAAAGAAAAGTCAAGAGGTTCTAACCCGGCGACTAGAAACGCTTCGATCTGTAAATTAGATATCCGAGATGCTGTAAAATGGTCAAAATGTTGCAATCGCCTACTGAGGACTTAACAATATTTTGGTGAAATGCATCAATAATCGATTGATTTGGTATCATTTCCAGCTTATTCGGGTTCGTATTTCCGAAGAATGTTTTTCTCAGTGGCAGGTCACTGTTTTGATTTTTGTCTTATTCCTGCAGTAAGGAACATAGACTGGTAGTTTTTTTACACCTTTAATAGAGAGTGAAGCTAGCTTTACAGTACGAAACTCAATCAGCGAAAGCTTCTACAGAAGGGTTATGTTTAAACTTCGGGTGCACTTTAATTGCCTTTCCCTCAAAAAGGTAGTGCTGTTTGCTTCAGGGAACATCATCTGGAAGTAGCGGTACGACATACTCGCAAAATCCGACATACTCGCAAATCCAAAGGTACCAAAGTAAATGCTTCGCAAAGTTAGTTTCAGAGAGCCCCTTTGGTACACTGTATGAACGTGCTCGAAACATAAGACCAGCTTTAACAGTTTCATGGGATGTAAGATTCTTACATCTCAAAGCATAACTCATTTATCTTGAATATCATGGCAACACGATCGCATCGTAGAAATCTTGTTCTGCATTTCGTTTGAAAGTGTAAACAATGCAAAAACCAGTTCATCGGACTTCAAGATGGGTTCGGCCATCCAAGCTGATCTGGCAAATGGTGTTCATACACATTTTACTTCAACGACAAAGTGGTCTGCTTTTCTCCATATGTGCTCGGTCTTCTTACTTTGTAAAGTCATATACACTTCCTCAGCATGTCTACGTCTCAATATGGCACTACATCGTTTTTTCTTCCGTGACCGATTTCTTCATAAAGCATAATTTTTTATGTTTTCGCCAGTTTATTAAGTAGCCCCTTTTGTGCTCAAATGTAAAAGCTAGACATGGTTCATTTGACAAAAAAGAGAGAAGAACTCAAGTGTGAATGTAGTTTGAACTTCTGGGATCAATTATCGATACCTCTCTGGAGCAAGGGCTTAATACTTCAGAGTACTCGAAAGCCTTTTGGAGAAACTCTACTCGAAGTATATTTCTGAACTCAGATTTGTGGAATGAAAAAAAAAGTTAAGACGATTAGAAAATGATAAACAACCAACTAATAGGTTGGTTCATAAGTAGATTCGGTCACTTTTGAGGCTCCTACAGATATTGCACACATGTCCGATAACTGATTCTGGAAAGACCACTTCAATGAGAACTGAAATCTGGGTTCTCTTTGAGTCAAGCTTTTTCCAATGAAGGAAAGGCGCAAAGAAGTGAGATACCGCAATTTTTTCACTGTGCACAAATGTGAGAGAATTCTGTTTTTACAGGAAAGACTTTCAACCGCAGATTATATAATTTATTGTTATTCGCTAAAGAGAATAGGTCTGTCGATATTCTAGTACCAAACTACTCATCTCTATAACCGTCCCAGCCTAAAGACGGGAGTTAGGACAACAAAGATTTGAGCTGGAGATCTAGCCACGTTGACATAACCGTCTTTACTGATAATAGAAAATTTCAAGTATTTGGTAGATAGTAGAAGTTTTAATCCGTTTTAGCGTAAAGGTTTTGGATAAAGAACAACAACTCAATTTTTTTGAGAATTTAAATAAAAAAATAAAAAAATAAAGATAAAAAAAATAAGAAAAAAACAAAATAATAATAAAATAAATAAATAAATTTGCATGCCAGACGAACTTATCTTTTAGCAAAGTTAATAATAATAGTGCCCATTTTGCCTCTAACAACAAAATCTTTGCACTGCATTAAAGGCAGCGTCCAGGCAGTTCTGGACCTATAGGGCTTTTACGTGGAAAGTACTTTTGGGGCCCTAACTAAGGCACTGCCCAAGCGGCAGCTCAGGTAGTACTCTAATGGCTGAGATATTTCCCTCGAAACTGGCCCCCGCGAATGTGTTCGCGTGGATTCATGGCAGTTTCGCGCCAGGATCCACTCTTTGCGCCATGAATCTATGCGAAACACGGTCGCGGGGTCCAGTTTCGAGGAGAATATCTCAGGCGTTAGGGCACTACCTGAGCTGCCGGTTGGGCAGTGGCTTAGTTAGGGCCCCAAAAGTACTTTCCACGTGAAATCCCCATAGGTCTAGACTTGCCTGGACGCTGCCTTTAACGACCAAAACAAACACATTCTTTCGTGGGTTTCTATAATCGTAGCACTCTCGCAGGTATTGAAACTAGATTTTAGGTAGTTTTGACGAACAGCAAGCTGTCACTTCGATTAAGTTTATGGTAGCAGATTATCAATTACAAGTGAAAACTTGCGCGACTAAGTTTTGCGTACAAGAACTATGATGAATGATAATAAGACAGCCCAACTTTACAACCAGAAGCTTGAACTCCTTAGAAAAATGAAGTTTAAGAACGTTCAAAAGATCATTCAGACCCCGTGTACGACCAGCTAGGGGACTAAATGGCTGAAGTTGGTTTTCTTCTACAATATGAGCATCCCAAACGCGGCTTGTGGGGTGTTCGTTCTTTATCTGTTTCATGAGTTTTCTCGGGTATAAGAAAACCTGACAGTCAATATGTTACCCCTATAGAAAGAGCAAAGTTCAGTAAATTCTTGAAAGGTCATTATTCCCAATTGAATATGAAAGAGCCAATTCTTGACCAACTAAAAATCGTCTCATCGGAAAATACCACTAGTGGAAATTTGTAAATTCTTCATAAATCTCAATTTGCCGTGGGAAGCATGAGCTCGCACGGCAAATTGTGATTTGCGAAGAATTTCCTATCGTACTCAAAGACCATCTTTTTCGCAAAGTATTCGACCCATTTTTTTGGCTGAAAAAAGGGAAACCAATTTCGAATTAGCAAGAATTTCTGAAATATACTCTGTAGTCTTTTACTCAAAATGAACAAAGATATTTTTTTTTGCACAAGTGGTCCAAAGTTGATGGTCTTTGACTGAATGTAATAAAATTACTTGAGTATCAGATTCTATGACCCATAGACCTTCTAAAAAAATGACATATCAAAAAAACTTTGTCTAGAAACTTGTTTCCATTGAAAAGAAACTACACCATAGAGAGCGAGAAACATCTCGATGGCACAGCTGCCGTAGTGGAATACGGCGAGACCAAGAACAGGTCTCTAAACAACGAAAGAACGATTGTACTGATCCCCTTCTCCGATAACAACTATAAAGCTTCGTTTACAACAGCAGACTATTGCAAAACTCAGAGGCCACCCCTTCCGGTCTTTTGAGAGTTTCGCAGCAGCACTTCCTTAACCGGTAACCGCTCTTGGCAGTTTTACAAACACAACGTGCAATGGGGTCTTACACCGCGCGACCCCAATGGTCTGACCTCGAGCCATGCTGGTTCGACAACTCGAGATGTGACGACCTCGGGCAGCTGAACATTGCGCTTCGTTCCACTGTCACTACACTGTTCTCAGAAAAGCGAACATATGACACGCCTTTCTCTACTCTATATAAAACAGCTATAGATCTCACCTTATTCCCGTTCGTGTTCTTTTGCAAACACCAACAAAAAAACCTTTTTTATTGCTACTTTTTGTACTTGATACTTTTTGATATTTTAGTACCTCAGTTCTATGTAATTATTTGTTCTTTCATATGACACATTTTTTGCAGATATTTTTTGCAGATCATTAAGTAACTAGCTATGTTGTGCCTGACTTGTGTTACCAAACTAGTCGTTCTTTCTAATTTGCCTCAACTTTAGATTTTCTAATTGTTTGTTTACTTATGTGTTCCCTTTTATTTAATATTCGTTTTCGGAAGTTTTTATCGTTTCTGTTTATGCTTTCATATCTATTCACTCTCTCTACTTATGCTATTAGTCTTTTCTATCTTCTATATTTTTATGTATGCAGTTAATATAATTGAATATAGGAATATTTTTATAATTATTCTGTAGGCCGCAGGGAATTTTTTTCAAAGAATGAGAGCTTGGAAGGAAAATAAATCCTGTGAAAAATGTCAAAATAAGTGGAAGTCTAAAATGTCAAAACAAGCAACTCACCTTGTCCTTCTTTTTTGATCACACTCTATCCCCTCTCCCTCCGAGTTTCACATTTTGAAGTACCTGATGTGAGTATAAATACTTGAATTCAATTGATGCAAATATGATTAGATGCTCCATCAACGGAATCAGGAAAACATCGAATTTCTCCATACAATTTCACCAAATTACGACAGTTCCAACTAAGATTACATTTCTTTTTTTATTCAAACTTCCCTGCAAACACCGAACAATTTTGCACCAAAGTACAATAATCTGTTATATATTGACCTAACTATGTATAGGTAAAAATCATTTTTATTTCTGCTGTACCACGAGATCTGACCAAAGTAGCGCTCTGCAATTTGATCCTCGAATCTTTCGGGGAGCATTTTTTGCGAGCCTGAAGTTGGAAAAAAGGAGTCATTACGGAAATCTACCCTCCCCCCCCCTCCCCAAAATTTCTCATGAAGCTAGTTGAAATTTGCAAATTTTGGAATTATTTGATTTTTTTAAAGATGAAAGCACATCACTTGCATGGCATCAAAACTCTTTCAGACTACTTCTGTCTTTTAGGACTCCTTTTTTGGAGGAGCATAACTTCCTGTCGCCCTTTCAACTTCTGCATCAAACGCGATTTTATTTGAATGTCTTTTCATCTACTTGGAGAATTATCTTCTTTCAAGCTAAGCTCCATTTTAGGTAGTGATGACAGCATCTTCGCAAATACGATCAAATGCGGTTGCAGTCACAGTCCTTGCATTCGCGATGACGACAGTGCAAGGTGCATCTCCATGCGCATCGCTGAGCCAGTGCGCTGTGCAAAAATGTCTGGATAAAGGTACAATATCTTTTGGATAGTGCTTTCATGGTAAACAAAACCAAAAATCAAGAAATTACATGAAATTGGAAGTTTGCCCAAAACATAACTTTATTGAGAAAAAAAGTTGGATGAGAACTTCCTTTTATTTATTTCAACCTAAACCCCTGCTTGGTTTCAAAACCAGAGATGAAGTTGAGGCAAAATGTAGTGCACTTTTTTGGACCGACATCATCTATTGTTGCCCTCATTGTTCTGATCAGGCCAATTCTTCCCCGAATTACTAATGACCTTCAGAGGATTGATGCCACTAAATCACTATCACTGCCGTAAAGATGACATTTATGGCAAAAAGATTGTGATCCAGTTTTGATGAGTATAAACATTGTTTTTACTTCCGAGTAAACTTTCAGATATGGTGCGACGGGTAGTGGCAAACTCTACACGATCTCAATTATTCGGCGCACTTGTGGAAAAGTGAGCGGCGCAAATTCTCTTGAGGTCGACTGCTTATTGAAGAAATTGTAGATTCGACATGGTTTGCATCGCGGCCAAGTGCACTGATCAGTGTCGGGCGTGTGACCAGTGCCAGTACGCCATCGAGCAGATGAGCGCTTTGGCTTCAGGCGAACAAACTTGTGAGTCAGAGTTCACTAATTTTTTAGTTGATATAACATTCTTGTGTTGCCAACAGCAAGTAGACAAAAAGTTGCTGTGAAAAATTCTGAAATGGGATCAAACCGATCGAAACATGACAATGTGCTGCGCATCATGAAAAAGAATAAGCTTGAGATCAGGCACACTTCCTGAGGATCCCCTTCCCTTGCATCTATCCGAAAAGCGTCTCCTCCTTCTTACCCTCAAGAGTGAAATCGCGGAAAGAAATTAGCCTGTTTCGAAGAGTTCTCCGTATTCGACAGTTTTCTGTGATTGTCCTCTGTATATGTACAGAACTGAATGATGATTTTTCGAAGAAATGGTATTACAGTTTAGTCATTCCATATGGATCATATGTGCCACTACACACGTCGTACGCCATTGCCTTTCCCATCCTTATTTTTGGCCAGGTAGCGAAGATTAAAGACTCAAATCGTAACAAGTGCTGCTTCATAGTCTTGCTTCATAGGCCAAAATCTAGGATGGGGACGACATAGACGGACATTGCGTGCAGTGACACACACTGCACAGTGATCATATGAAATGACTGGACTATACAACGCTTGTTCGCTTGTTCCATAATTTTTCCAGGAGTGGAGAGTCTGGGATCAGTTTATAGTGGCAGGAAGTCTTTATCCCATTAGTCATATTTAAAATGGGGCGGTTTGCGCACTTTCAAGGCATGCAAAAGGGAGTATGTAATTGACATTGACTGTAAAGGCTTATGCAGGAGCAAAAGGCGCAGAAGCAGTATTAAGCCCGTATGCACTAACATCCCTGCGGTAAGAGCGGCGTCCCCCGTTATGAAGAGGCCGCGTTCGGACGCCGCTGCGTTTTTTTAATCATTGGGGACGGGGCCTGGCACAGGTCGTCTGGAAGCAGGCTGGACTTTGTTTTTGAGGCAAAAAGCAAAGGGAACTTCGTTCTTGACGAGTCGGAGCCGAGCACCAGGAATAAGCGCCATTTAGTCGAACACAACCTTTTCGGACAGGTTATCCTACTGACATGCTCGATCGAGTGTGGCGAAAAGTGCGCGCGATTTGAAAACAAGACTAAAATGAACAATTGCTTGCAGCGCGCACAGAAGCATATCACACCAAAATCGGACTGTATACATAGAAAATTATTTGCAAGAGAATTATGCAAAAAGACTTAAGAACTTATGTGAAGTATTACCTTTCCCAAAATTAGTCCGTCTCCAGACGGTCACCAGAGATCTGAGATCATCTGAAGCATATATTTCTGGCACTTCACATAAGTATCGGATTTTTCTATCATGGATGGATTGCCCGGTCAAAAGTCTATCCCTGGGCATGAAAACATTTTCATATCATTGCCTTGCCTATCATTGCGTATGTGGAAACTTGGCGAAGCAAAATTTCTAGCATGCGTTCAAAAAAGATAACATTTTGTTACTAGTGAAGAAAGACAACATTTTTATTGTCAAAAACAAGTTGATCATGTTTGAAAATGACGCTTCCAGGCGTTAACAAGTACGAGATTTGTACATTTGATTGTTCGAAGAAACCATAAAGGTAATCTGACATGCTGATTATGAAGATCATCTTACAGTAGAGTACGGTGAGAAGTGTAGACTTTGGAATCTGCGGAACTTCGTTTAGTGGAGTTACTTGGGATGTGTTCGCAATATTATTCACTCTTTACCACTACCATGGAGTTACAGTTTGGGGAGGAGTTGATACTTATCAGTCGCTTTGCTTCATCTCATTTGGTTGTACACTCGTCTGATTTTTTGTAACGAAAAGTGCTGATTGCGACCTCCATGTTACTCCCCACCCTACGACTCCCTAAGTCAGTTGTGCCTGACCTCACGCTTGGCTCTGACTCATAGATCATCAAACACGCTGGTGTGTTATGGAGATGTAGACACATCAATTTTAATGCAAGTGTCGACATCGCAGAGGCAGCATGTTAATCATCAAACTATAACACTATACTTTTTTTCAGCCGGCCTTTGCCCAAAACTGGAAACTTGCGTGCAAGGTTGCTTGACAGCTGGAGAAGTTCGCCAGGTAATTTTTGCATTTTCATTATCATCTTTATTTTTCGGTGAGTATCTTAGTTGTCGCACAAATTGCTGTGCTTGGAGTGGAACATATTGGAGTTGTTATTCCACAAATCCTAAAAAAGCATCTCCATTCATTAAGGAAGGTAGGCGGTTGGAATAACCGACTAACTGCAGTACCTACGTAGCAGGGCTCGGTATGAGGTGGCTGTTTTGATTTTTGAAAGCGAAGCCCCGTAAACTTCGCCATAGAAAAACGACATCACCTATGACTCGATCATGAGTGGATCAAATATGAATAACAAAAATTGATGGGGCAAACAGAAAACAACGTTCAACAGACGAAAAGGAACTGAGGATGTCCGTATTCTCCGAATTTGCGGCATGCTATGTCCGGTGCGCACCAATGCGCGCATGGAGCAGGCTTGTCGTCGCCATACAAAATATTTGGAAGGCTGTAAGTAAGCGATGAGGAGGGGGTTTGGGAGATTCACAAACAAAGTTGTAGGGTTTTTAATGTATAACAAAGTTATGTAGAACTTGTGAAAAAAACCCTGAAGGGAGGGAAATTCGTGACTTTTTCTTTTCATAGCTCAGGGGGCTCTTCAGGTGGCTGGAAAGCCACCTTACTCCGAAAAAAGTTTGCCACGCCATCAGTTCACACAACTTTTACATAATTTTCCGTGCGTGGTTCCAAGTCCCTATCGCGCATCTACACACCAGCTTTGGTACCATATCGCTTCCTCTTCGCCATAAACAAGCCTTTTATCTTGAGGCTTTCGAATTCCCCGCTTGCGCGGCGAGCACATTGAAGTGTAGAATTGCAACGATTGAACTCGCAAAGAATTGAATCTGTAGAGCGGTGCTGAGCACTTGCGACGTCTCCACAAGATGAAGAGGTGATATAAAAGGGGGGGGGGAGGGATGAAAGTTGAAAATATGTGATGAATTTTGGGAAAATATGTATGTGTACAACTCATGTGATAACAGCTCTAGGATAAGTTTTGCTTTTGATGGGAGGCTGATTTATTGGGCGAGAACTGGCCAACTCATCGAAGTTAGCTAGTTTTGATTTTCTAAATAAAAATCCAGTTTGTTGCTTTGCGTATTGGAAGGAAAGATTTTGCACGAAGGTGCGTCTGCTTCGCAGAGGCTCGCACTGGCCCTACTTTATCTATGCCTTACTCATTTCCGCATAATAACTGCGTTGAAACTCACCGCGCTGTGTAGGCTATTACGAATGATTCGTAAACAACTACTCATTCCTAGAGGTTTTTCGTGTGAGATCGGTATTTTCGCGTAGATGAAACCTTTCAGAACAGAGCAAATTTGAAAAGGTTTTTGGAATTTTTATGGCTTCGTAGTCGCCATGAGGACAGTAAACATCGTGGGCTACATCTCTGTGCAAAACTCTTCTCAAATGATCAGGTAAAATCTTGAAAAATTGATGGTTTACACAACCATTGCTTTTTGGCGCTGTTTTCGTAAATTAGTGGACTTTTCATCACTTCTAGGCTAGCGTCCATGGCTTGCACATTAACTTGTCAAATATATCCATAACTCTGCAAAAAGTAGTACTACGGACCCAAATTTGCTGGCCAGAAGCCAAGTGGATCCGTTTGACGCGCAATTTTCAACGGATCCACTCAATGGATCCGCTCATATTTTTGCATAGTGAGCTTCATGGTGGTAGCGAGCGTTATGCAGAATTTGGGCTCAGGACGTTGGCTGGAACACGCTCCACGAATTTCGTAACGGACAGACACACACTCGGACATACACACACAAAAAGATCCATCATGAACATCCATAGCCACTTATTATAAGTCACTAGTTGGCTTCCCCGGTCCAGCCCGGGCCTTGTTCCGTTCACCTGTACTGCAAGCCCCCCCCCTATTTATTAATGATGACTTACCCTAGGACATCCGCTTCAAACCGCATCCTCGTGATCCTGAGATGAAAATGAGCTTCACCGCCCTCCTTTCATGATTATGGGAAAATGCTTGATTCAACATGAAAAGCCTTCAATTCCTTAGAAAAACGTAAACAAATCAATAAATCCATAGAAGGACCTAACGAATCGCCGTATCATCTGCGCAGGGGTTGAAAACGTATGTGTGCAAAGTTTCAGCGGAATCGGTTGAGCGGTGCGCGTTTCTATAGCGCACAGCCTCCAAACTCACAATTTTGAGTTATATTAGGTTGGTAAGAAAGTTCTCGGACATTTTCAGAAAAAATCTGCTATTTCTCGAAACCTAACGCATATACATCAGAATGAGGTAACAATCGATAGAGCAAAGCAAGCTCTACAAGATGGTATGCAAAGTTTCGCACCAGCTTCGACCCACCGTAAGTTTTCGCCCAAAATCTGAATCGTACTGAAATTCAAAAAATCGCAAAAAATTCATATCTTTGTTCAAACAAATCCTCCGGATCTCCAACTTGCTCATAAAAATTGCACACCACATCAGACACTCATATGCAGCGTTTCTGTAATTTTTCCTCATCTAGAAATCGAAAAAACGAAAATTTTCATGCTCATGTAAAAACGAAGCTGTGCTGTTTCCACCCATGTATTTGAATAGTACAAACCCTTAGAAGTATAACCGTAAATTTTCAGCTTTCTACAGGCCCTAGTTCCCGAAAATTAGCGATTTAAGCGCTCCTCACTCGGGCATTCCATGCTAAAATCAAAATTTTTCGAGAACTGGGGCTTACAGAAAGCTGAAAATTTAGGGTTATACTTCTAAAGGCTTGAAATATTCAAATACATGGGTGGAAACAGCACAGCTTCTTTTTTACATGAGCATGAAAATTTTCGTTTTTTCGATTTCTAGATGAGGAAAAATTACAGAAACGGTGCATATGAGTGTTTGATGTGGTGTGCAATTTTTATGAGCAAGTTGGAGATCCGGAGGATTTGTTTGAACAAAGATATGAATTTTTCGCGTTTTTTTGAATTTCAGTACGACTCAGATTTTGAGCGAAAACTTACGGTGGGTCGAAGCTGGTGCAAAACTTTGCATACCATCTTGTAGAGCTTGCTTTGCTCTATCGAATGGTACCTCAGTCTGATGGATGTGCGTTAGGTTTCAAGAAATAGCAGATCTTTTCTGAAAATGTCCGAGAACTTTCTTACCAACCTAATATATATCTTATATATAAAGCTGAATGTCTGTTTGTCTGTATGTCTGTCTGTCTGTCTGTATGTATGTCTGTGTGTACGTATGTTCCGAATAGAAAATTCCATTTCTGAACCGATCCGGACCAAACTTGGCACACATACACTACGGGCCCCGGCGGGTGTCATAGGCTACTTTCCGTCATCGATCGATATCGATTTTATCGATTTTTATCGATTTTTTGCTGAGTTCACCTACGGGGCTGGGAGTTGGCACAGGGGGGTAATCGAGCATGGGGATTCCGAATACAATATTGGTTTTCAGGATTATCGATTACTTTTATCGATTTTATCGATTTTTTTGCAAAGTTTGAGCTACGGGGCTGGGAGTTGGCACAGGGGGGTAATCGAGCATGGGGATTCCGAATACAATATTGGTTTTCAGGATTATCGATTACTTTTATCGATTTTATCGATTTTTTTGCAAAGTTTGAGCTACGGGGCTGGGAGTTCGCACAGGGGGGTAATCGAGCATGGGGATTCCGAATACAATATTGGTTTTCAGGATTATCGATTACTTTTATCGATTTTATCGATTTTTTTGCAAAGTTTGAGCTAGGGGGCTGGGAGTTGGCACAGGGGGGTAATCGAGCATGCTGATCATCCCCAAGGGGGGTGATCAGCATGCTCGAACACCCCTGTGCCAAATTCCAGCCCCCTAGCTCAAATTTTCAAAAAATCGATAAAATCGATAAAAGTAATGGACGATCTTGAAAACTAATATTGTATTCGTAATCTGCATGCTCGATTACCCTCTGTGCAAACTCCCAGCCCCGCAGGTCAAACTTTGCAAAAAAATCGATAAAATCGATAAAAGTAATGGACGATCCTGAAAACTAATATTGTATTCGGAATCCCCATGCTCACTTCCCCCCTGTGCCAACTCCTAGCCCTGTAGGTGAACTCTGCCAAAAAATCGATAAAATCAATAAAAGTAACCGATAATTCTGAAAACTAATATTGTATTCGGAATCCCCATGCTCACTTCCCCCCTGTGCCAACTCCTAGCCCTGTAGGTGAACTCTGCGAAAAAATCGATAAAAATCGGTAAAATCGACATCGATCGATAACGAAAAGTGGACTGTGACACGCGCCGGGGCCCGAAGTGTATGTGTGCCAAGTTTGGTCCGGATACGGCGGAGCCGGGTAAGCCAGCTAGTATATATATATATATATATAGATGTTGATTATTTCTTCCATGCTATAAGAAGCGAAACCAGTTGATGTGTCTCTACTTCAGCCAAAAAAGAAAAGAAAAATCAAATTTGGAAACAGAATGTGTGCTTCTAGATTCTCTCCTGCGTTGCCGACCAATGTAACGTTCATTGCTATGATGGCGATTGCCCGTCTTGCAGAGCCATGTCGAAAAGAATATTCACTCTGATATGCCAACAGACAGGAATGACAAAGCTGGCCCACATCAAATACCCAGGTAAATTATGCTTTTTAAGATCGAATTATGAACAGTCGTAGAATAATAATTCTGCAGGTCCATGCCCACTTCTATTCAACGACTTAGCTGACGAGTACGTCGCGGTGAAGAGGAGAGTAGCAGCTTAATTTGACAGCGACAAGAAAGCAGCATTCGTCGCATTTTTTGTACAAATATTTTCTGTATATAATGTAAAAATGAAAATCGAGCGTATCGCTCAGGTGATTACGCAATTAACGGGCTAGTGTTTGAATCAATGAAGGATCCAAAAACATTTGTTCTATTGTGATCAAACTCTATTTCCATGTCAACTAATGTGGTATCTGCTTCGTTGTTTTTTTTTTCGTACGTACACCAGAACTGTTTCATTCTTCGTTGCAACTGCTCTTTACTGAATCGCCTTCATCGGGGTCTGGAAAAGTCGGTTCTACGTAAGCTGACTCTCAGACGCGAATCCCGAAGAAGAAACTTGTTTTGAGTATGAAAGATTAGGCTTACTGATTGATTGGAAAACAACTCAGGTCTGGCAAAATATTTTCGGTATTTAATCACTATCTTGATGTGATGCTCGCTGTAACTTCAAATGCTTTATCTAGCCATAGGTGCATTTGCAAGGGCAAACCCCCTCCAGGTACAGGGGCGGCTATTACCCACCGACCCTGAGAAGTGAACAGTGAGCCTGAGATAATTGCTGATCACAGGGGCTTTTAGTCTGAGTGTTACTGTCAGCGCGACCTCGCGAGCCGTTTCACTTAGGCCACTCGAGGCGTTCACGAGCATGTCTTTGCGCGTTTTTTTTTCAGGCTCGTCAGCCATCGATGGCTGAGGATACGGTATTTCCCACGTTTCAGCATGGGAAAATAGTGTATCTGCTGACAAGGGAATGGTCAGAAATCGAAATGGCCAATCCAGATAAGCTGCATATCATTAGGTGCAGCATAAAACGCTAACTTCGAATCTATCTTCCCTATCTGCTTAGCGCCTTTGACGAAGTTATGAGCCGTTAAAAGCCATTATTTTGATAAGTAATCGTGCAGAATAAGCAGTAGAGAGCCATGTTCGGCTTGATGCTAGCTCAAATCATGCAGCTAGCTTACTTGATTTTTTAAAGCCTAAAGATGAGCTGAAAGTGCAACAGCGTGCTCAACTTCGCAATTTTTATGTACGATTGTTTCGCAATAAAACTGCCCATAACTTCGTCCACAGAGTCGATAAGCGGATAAAAAATACAGATCCGAAGTCAAGGTTGAATGCTGCGTCGAATGGTAGGCAGCTTGCTTGGATTGACCACCTCGACTTTTGACCTCTCTTTTGTTACAAAGCCGTTTGTAAAGCCTTGAAAAGCACTTTACTGTAAGTTCTTTCTGATGTCAATCAATCTACCAAAGGTCTCTGCACGCTCCTTGTTGCTCTCCCCTAAGCTCGCAAAAAACTGAAAGATACCCGAATAATATGCTTTCATAAAGTTATACCTCAAGTAGCCTAACCTTGATTTATGCACATTGACGGCGGCAGTTTTTTTTTCTGCAAGTGCCCACCAAAATTTGCTTTGGCTTGACCATGCATTAACCGTGTTGCCCGTGTTCCCAGTGTTACTGTGTTACCAGTGTTACGTTAGCCATGTTACCCGTTTTACTTGTGTTACTAGTTTTACCGCTTTTATTGCTGTTGAGTAGTGGAATGATCGTCAAGATTTCGTTCTCAAACGCATTCTACGTGAGGTGAGATAACGGTAACACGAGTAACACTAGCAGGGTCGGCACAAGCTAGCACCAGGAAGTTTCTTAAACGACATCCACTTTGTTTTAAAAAATTAATACGGATATTCTTTTACCCTTTTTTGCCCGCTCATTTCTCTGCACTTGGTTTTTTGCCCCTCTGGGCGGGACTGTGGCTTAGCCCAGAATAAAGCGCAAAAAGCCGGGAACACAAAAAAATGATAAACCTACGGCTTCCCTCTTCACCCAGTTCCCTTCTCTCTTCTACTCCTCCACCTCGCCCTCTCCAACTCCCTCTGCGGATGAGACATCAAGTAGATTTCTATATCTAAAGCTCAATGTCTGTCTGTCTGTATGTCTGTATGTCTGTCTGTACGTATGTGCGGAATAGAAATTTTTGTTTTTAAACCGATTTGGACCAAACTTGGCACACATACACTTCAGAGCGGGGAGCGTGTCATAGGCTACTTTTCGTCATCGATCGATATCGATTTTATCAATTTTTATCGATTGCTTTGCAAAGTTTGAGCTACAGGGCTGGGAGTTGGCACAGGGGCGTAAGTGGGCAAGGCGATTCCGGATAAAATACTATTTTTCAGAATTATCGATTACTTTTATCGATTTTGTCGATTTTTTGCAAAGTTTGAGCTATAGGGTTGGGAGTTGGCAGAGGGGGGCAATCGAGCATGTTGATTTCGAAAACAACACAGGGAACGGGAAATGAAGTGTAGAAGTGGGTACAGGGAAAGGCTGTAGAAGGATAGGAATGGAACCTTTATTACAGTGTTTTGACAGGGCCGAGCGGAGCCGGGTAAGCAAGCTATTAGAAAATATAAAAGAGGGAAGAACAAAGGTAAAGGTAAAAAGGAAAGAGTTAGTTGTTTGGGTCTTCCAACGCGCACACACACCAAATTTTGTGTCATATGATTGCGTTTTGTTTGTGAACAAGGCTTTGTTTGTTCGAAGCAGAATTCATATTCCCGCGCCCGTTAGAGCCGGCATGTCGGCGGCATACCGATGGCATGCGAGTGGCATATTGGCGATATGCTGACAATTAGAGGTATAAAGACTAAGCATGCCGCCGGCATGCTTAGTCTTCATACCTCTATTTGTTAGCACATCGACGGTGTGCCCTTGGCATTATAGCAAGCAGCGGCATGCTAATCCGCAAACACAATGTCCCCCTTTCCTTTCCTTCCCAGCAAAGATATCCAACTCGGCCCGGTTCCAGCTGTGCGGAGCCCTAAACATTAAAATACAGGTAACACGGCTAACACTGCTAACACGAGTGACACTAATAATACTGATAACACGAGTAACACTAGTAACGCGAGTAACAGTGGTGATTATGGTCAAAGCGTTTAAGACATAAAAATCTGCTGATTCTTTTTTTCGACCGTTTGACATGCATAAATCTCTAAAAAAAATCTTTTTTTAGTGGTTTATTATCTCAGGTTTGATAGAATCAATGATCGAATGACTCCAAACTGTTAGGCAACGGGCATAGTGTTCGCGATTTCATCGTCGCAATTTCATCGCCGAGGATCTCGATTGTTTGGGCGGTGGAAACGCGACGACGAGGTCGTCCGTCGCTCGTGGATGGGCATAGTACTCGCGATTTCAGGCGCCATCTAAATCTACTTAACCGGCTGCGCGGGCGGTCGCGTAGCGCGCGCACAGTTCGCCTGGGTCAACCTTGCTCACTTGTCTTCGTGAGGAATCGTATCTGTTTCTCATATTGTGTCTGTTACTCATCTGTTCTGTCCTGTTGTTTGCCCTGAATCGTCATTTTCGCCTTTCTTCTTCCCTCCTCGATGGTGTTTGCTTACTATTTCTGGTTTTAGGTTGCATATTCTTGATGTGCGATGGTGATCAATGCTGATTTTTCAAACGTTGCTATTCAGATGATGTGATAACGACTACATGAGCTGTTATTCACTATTCTTCTAACTTTACTATGTTGATATGCTTATTTGGTGGCCTATTTCTACAAGTTACATGCCAAATCAAGTAGGTACCAATGCTTGGTTATTGTTTAACTGTAATTTAGTCTTCTCTCACCATTTGCTGTTCATGAGTTTCTTACTTTAGGCTAGCATGATGTTGCTCTCAGTGAGTTTGCTTGTTTAGTTTGATGGGCATAATACCTTTTGATATTTTACTTTTAATTTTGCTCCTGCTTAAGCTGTCAGTATGTACCATTTGATTCAACTGGCTTGGCATCGGCAAAGGCGGGGCTTCGTGACCTAATTAAGGCTAGGTAATGATCAGAGAGCATTCGCGCGAGAGAGACGCAGGTGCGTCGCGAGCGCGAGCGGCCTCAATTAGATTACAAAACCCCGCCCTAATGGTGCCAAGCCAGTTGAATCAAAGGTTACTTTTGTTGCACTCCTTTTCTTTTAAGCTTTTTTTACAAGGTATAGCCAGTATGGGGTCGGTCTGTGTTGGAACTTGAATGATTTCAATCAGTCACTTTGTGCTGGCTTCCTTCATTCTCCTGCTCATTACTTCTCGATATTGGTTAATGCCTAGGTGCTTTTCCGTGATTATTGCAAGATTAGCGTGTATTGACGCATCACAGCCCTAGTCAAGTTTATTGCTAACGCCTATCACGTCAATCATTTTTATTCCGTTCTGCTATGCTACTCCCTTTTCACGACTTCATTCTTTCCTAACCTTTTCCAAGCATTTTGTGTTTATGGCTCCGATTTTAACTACTTCTACTGACTTCTCGCAATGTCGCTAATAAGTTGATTTTGCTAACTTCTCAGTGGAGTAACTATTCCATTACATTTTTGGATCCTCTTCATTCTCAGGTATAGTTTGCTGACTCATCTATTTATGTTGTCTGTTGCATTGTTGCTTGACATCGCAGCTATCTCTGAAGGACAACCAGACGGAGTTGATCTGTGTTGGAACTTCTGTGATTCCAACCAGTTAACTTTAAACTGGCTTTCATCGACTTTCTTTTCTCTACGAGGATTTACACATAAGTATTATAAATCGTTTACTGGAATTGCTTCGGCTTACTGTATGACAAATTACCACCTCGGTATTTGAGAATTTCGATTTGAAAAGTCAATCTCAAAGAATTTGCATATTTTAGCACTTGAATAGCACATTACTAAAACACACAAACATCTGTTTATTTGTCAATCTCTGGAGGATGAATGGAGAAACCTACTTAATATAGGAAAAATTCCACAAACGTGATCTTGAGGTCCAGGCAGGAAAGCGGTCACACAAACTGAATAGAAGGTCCCGGTAGGATAAGTGTTGGGGTATTTCGAAATAGTTGTTGATGCATAGATGGAACGTTCAGTAAGACCACAGTATTCTCAAGGTGTCCACCACCTTTAAACTATGGAATTGCCCCATTTGGTCGAAGGTGATGCTCAAGAAGAACCTCTACTCCCATCTGAGGGTAGTCTACAAGTTGACTGGAGCTGACTTCGAGGAGATTAGTGCTGCTATGGAGCCTTCCACTCCCGAACTACTGATACTCCCTTTCTGTATTGTCCCGGGGCTTCAATGAACATCTAGCTCCTAGCGTCACTGCGACGACAGTCACAGTGAAGACGGGCAAACGGAAAGCCACAGGATTACTAGACATTCATGCTAACATTTGACAGCGATAACGAATTCAAAGTGAGTCCACATTGTATTTAATAAATTAATTAGCTCAGCTGGTCAAATAGTGCAGGTGATTGTGTACAGTAATCAGAACTCTGCATTTTTACTCAGTCTTTTATCCATGATCTTAGGTATGGTTAGACAGTCAGAGTCAAAGAACAGGATCAAGTTTTTACAAGAGATCAAGTTATGCGGGTAGAAAATCCTACAGTCTGCGGCTAATACATTGATAAAGCAAAAGCTTCTTTAGAGAACATTCACTTACAGATGTAACTGAGCTGGAACCTATGAAAAATCCACCATTTCAAAAGCAACATCCAGTTAAAAAGATGTTATCAATTGCTCGTGCTTTTTGAATGTGCATACTAAAGAAGATAATAGGGTAGAAGTGAGTGGTTGTTTTGGCCATATTGGGCACGATGTTGAACCAGCACTCCTTCGTCTCACTGAAACACAAGAACAAATTTTGAAAAGTCTACTTGAAGGTGAGAGTCACTGTGTATTCTTGAAACATCTATAATTATATTGCAATCGCAAAGCATTCGATGGACTATATTCTTCGGCGGCTGAAAAAAAGACTATTCGGCAAAGGACTCCAGACTCTACTTTGTAAATCGACACGATCTTTGGAATCTAGCATACAAGTTCGGTCTTCGACCGGGGTACCTGGATAGAAACGATATGAATCCGCTCATGCTGCGCGAGGCTGAGGATAACCCAGATGACGGCATCCGAAATCTCAATGTACTCTCCGATGAACGAGTGGAAAAGAATTTTGTCTAGGTTGGTAGGGTATTGACTTGCAAGTTTGTAGACTATCATTGTCGGTGGTTATAACACCCACGCAAGAAGAGTGGCTGCGGAAATATTCATCAAGGGGAATATCAGTAGATGATACCCACAACATAACGAAGTACAATCTGAAGCTGGCAACAGTTTCCGTTGCTAATTAGAAGGACAGGAGCCTCCCTGTAGGTTTTAAATTAAACTAATTCCCAAACATTTGTTGCCTAAACTGAATGCTCAATCTTTTGTAGCTTTTTTACTCAGCGGCACAATGACTGCAAGCGACGTACAGATCCTATTTACTGAAATCGGAAAAGTTGTACTAGACTTTGATCCAAAACAGATAGTCACGGATGAAGCGCCTTCTTTCTATAATGGTTTTCGTGCCACATTTCCTAACTCGAATGCGAAATTGCATTACTGTCGTTGGCATCTGGACCAAATTTTCAAGAGGGCTACAGTTAGGGTGGTGGAGGTTGTAGCTGACTCTCGTTTGAAGCATGTGGTAATAGCAGGTTTTGAGACACGACTGCGCGAACGACTGCGACTGTGTAAACAAAGACTTGAGGGGGCTTCTCTTGATAACAGACCTTGGTGCCTTTGAATTGAAGTTTGCCCAAATTATTGCTTATTTTGAAATGGAAGGCCAAGAGGCGATGGCAAACTATTTGAAGGAAAACTACCTAGGTATATGAAACGCCTGTGTGCATTTGAACTAATATCAGATGTGTTGCAGGAAGAACAGCGACCTGGGCATCCTTTGCCAATCAGGATGCAGTACTTAACACGACAGTGATTAGTGAAAAATGGCACCTGCGCTTGAAGAAAATGTTTTTGCAAAGAAATGCAAACTCTAGAGCTGACTTCCTGGTGGATCTTCTCATAAGAGCTGTAGAAGATTTGTTCGAATCAACGGAAATTAGGGTATCCCATATTCTACTCTAATTGATTTACGATGTATTTATTTGAAGACCGTCGACGTTTAGCTACAGCGTCGTATCGAGTACAGCAGACAACCAAGTGCCACCGATGGGCAATGAAGCACTACGCGGGAAAGCCTGACAAGATTAGGTCGATAGAGGAATACAAGTAGCAGGTGCAAGGAAGAGATCCTGCGGACATTTACATTGTACATCTCACTCAACAAGAGTGCATGTGTGCGGAGTCTGTGGGCGAGAACGTCCATTGTCCTCTGTGCAGTGCGTGTCCATATTCGTGAAGATGCTCTTGTTTGGATAACAGAGCAGGAATCAGCTGTTTGCATATACACGCAGTCAAGCTTTATGGTAGGCCACAGGCATATCAACTGTCATCTGAGACCCCTGCAGCTGAGGAACTGGGCGCTGAAGTTGCACCATCGGTCATCTATACTTTGGAGACGGGTCCCTCCACATCACAAGTTGTCACGCAAGCACAAGAGCGCAGACAAGAACGAAGTCAACTGAGAAGCGACATCGAAAGTGTAAGTACCTATAGGGTGCAAATCGTCAACAAAGTTTCAACTTCAAAAATTCTCCGTCATTACTGCGCATGTCAACAACCTCGTGAACACCGATACCGAGCAATTAATGGATTCACCCAAAGAGATTTACGAATTGGTGGATCGCGCATCCACGATCAGCCTACAAACTTCAATCTCGGAGCCCTATCTAGCTGTTCGACCGGAATTAGCCAAACCAGGAGGAAAACCTCTGCTCATCAAAGCAGATCTTTACACTGTAAGTCTACATTTGCAGTCATACAGCTGATCATACAATGCATTGCAGCGTTCCCAGTACCGTAAGAAGATGAAGCAGACGCGGGACGAATGAGGGGCAATGTTGATTTGTAAATATTGTACATAATTGTGCACATTACCATCACATACTGAGTTCACTCCCATAAAAGACAAACCAATAGTTGTATACTGCATGCATGTTAGAAGAGAACGTGGTCATGCCAGTTTGAAGTAACATTGACTGAGAAGCTTTTGTCCCAGCCAAAGCAACTTGGCATTGGCATGCCACCTATCAAAAAAAAAAAGAACACCAAGTTATTCTATTAAGTTACTCACCTCGGATTACTGCATCAGAATGAACTAATGAATGATGTATGAATGTGATATCAGCAGCAGATATAACGGGGAGGGAGGGTCTTATTAGAAGTAATAGAGTCAGCAGTGACTACAGCACTAACAGCAAAATATGGCCTTTTAGATAAGTCATGTTGAATAAGATGGAATGCGCTTAGTTGTGACTGCACGTCTCTTTTAGCGGGGCAATAGGGCGGGAATGATGCAGTTGTTAATTACGTAGGTCAACAACAATGTGCCCGACGAAACGATGTGTCGTGCACTGACCCTGCAATATTACCTCAGGAAAGCATCTGGGTATTGCTGATCGTGGCCAGTAAAGATAGTGAATCAAGCAAAACGATGAAGGAAGTCAGCACAAAGTTGACTGGTTGAATTCATTCATGTTCCAACACAGACCGACTCCATACTGGCTATCCCTCATGAAAAAAAAAGGTTTGAAAGAGAAGGAGTACAACAATTATACAAACTAACAAACTTAGCAAAAGCAAATATAAGAGTAAAATGTCAGAACGTATACTCCCGTTAAAGTGAAGAGGAAAATCACCAAGAGGAGCAAACGTTCTGTGAGACTAAAGAAACCAAATCATAGTTGAACGACAGTTGAGAAAGGCACTTACCTGATTTAGCATGTAGCTTGCAAAGAAAGATCGCTGTAGCAATATACCAAACACAGTAAAGATAAAAGACTGGAGAAAAATCACTGCAGCAGCTTATGTAGCCGTTTGGAACGCATCAGAACTGGATATCATCGCACATCAAGAATATGCAACCTAAAACCAGAAATAGTAAGCAAACACCATCGAGGAGGGAAGAAAAAAGGCGAAAATGACGATTCAGGGCAAACAACAGGACAGAACAGGTGAGTAATAGACGCAATATAAGAAACAGATAAGATTTCTCACGAACACAAGTTGCAGTGAGCAAGGCTGACCCAGGCGAACTGTGCGCGCGCTACGCGACCGCCCGCGCAGGCGGTTAAGTAGATTTAGATGGCGCCGCGATTTCATATCTTTGCACGCACGGGCAGTGCACGCAAATTAAGCAGACTGTTCATATGCGTTATTAGACTCATTTCATTCTCAGCATAGAGCCCTCATGCCGATCCTGATGAAATCGAGTACAAAAAATTCTCACATTTTGCCCAACTTTCAACAAATCCAATTTTCAAAAACTTACCAGTTCCAAGCATATAAATCTCACCTGGGAACGTCGACCTCTGCGAGCCAACAGCTACTATTAAGACACGCTTGACCAAATTTTTAGGCTTTAGCAAAGACCCACATTAAACGCCTTTTCAAAAAGTCAAGCACAGCATCACTGCGAAGATAACGAAAAAAGCATAACCGTTTGGAATTGGTGCACTAGTAAGGACGAGAATTCTCCTGTATTCATACGAATAGCGAAACGTAAGAATATGCAAGCAAGCAAAGTGATAATTATTGAGTTTCCGTAAAGCAAAGACTCTAACACAAAAATCCTACAAAACACTTCAAAAAACCATCTCGTCAAAAATGCTTATACTTTCGAAAAACAAGTCATCCGACAATTTGAAGTTAGGGAAAGGCGTCGAGACTAGAAGTACCTTTGTACAACTACTTCAAACAAGTTCCATTTCTTTTTCAAACAAAAACGAGGTGAAAGAACAATGCATGCGTACAAAAAACTCTCAAGATGCCCCTCGCACTTCAGCGATATCGCCTAGTCACCTGTGCAGCACACGCGACGCGACATCGCTCGATGTTGCCGAAATCGCGGCGATTATCGCTACAGAACTATGCCCTAGCCAAAAGGGGTTTGCGATCCGTCGCACCGGACGATTACCATAGCTGCCGTAGCAGACACGAGGACATGAATTAGTGCGTAACAATCGGTTTAGGCCTCGGGAGGAGTTCACGATTTGATCGTCGCAATTCAACCGCTACAAGACAACTGTTACGAGTTCATTGCATGCCGATCAGCTTGCATCTCTGTTGTCATACTTTTCCAGCGCGAAATTTTCGTATGTAAAATGAAAATGAATGAAAATCGCGGCGATTCAATTGCGACATCTAATCGCTTGAACTCTGTCCGAGGCCTTACAGAAATCGCAGCGCGACGGAATCGTGTACACTGTGCTCTAAGCCTTATCGTTGCCTCTCCTGTATACGTTGGGCAGAGCATTTGCGACATCTGAACACGTTAGTAAACTCGTTAAACCTCTAATGGAAGGGTGTATGTCGAAAGGCGCACATTTCGGCAGCAGCCATTGTCAGACTGGATCCGTTTTCTACAAAAGAGAGGGTTTCCAAACCCCGAGATTGTTTTCGGGACATCAGAAAGTGTAACGGAAAATAACTAGTTGAAATCCGAAAGTAGCAAATCAAATTTGAATTTATTTCTTGCTTCTAACAGTTAGTAACAATTGATCAATACGCGCCATTCGACCGTCTCCCCTAATGCAAGGCGCATTGCTTTCTACAATCTCTCGCTATCAAGAACGCCACGTGTGACAACAGCATATAATACGTGGCAGTTTAGAGAGTACAAAAAACCATGCTTTGCAGCAGAGGTTTGACAAGTTTACCAACTTGTTCAAATGTCTGCAAATGTTCCCCCAACTTAAACCAGGGAGGCGACAATATCTGTTTGCGAAGTGAGGCTCAACACACGTAAACAAGATTGGAGGAATATAATGAAAACTCACATCCTATCTGCGACGTAGATTTATACGACTGAAGCTCCCTTCGTTTGGCATATCTCCAACTTCGATCTTCAATAAATTGAGTAAAACTCTTTGCATTCGAAGACTGATGAAATCAATTTGGTCATGTCAAAATATAAGGTAGCCCCAAGTTTGAACAGCTTATTTTCGCGCACTTTGATTGCAGGCTCGGCCGGTCAGTGACGCAGCTCAGCCGGTGGTTATAAGCGCTTGCCCGGCATCTTTCAATTTGTATCGCGCGACCGCTTAATTGATAGCCGCTGAGCCGGTGATTGTGACCGCCAGCCCGGTGGTCCCAGATTTCAGGGCGCTCACTCAGCGACAGAGTAGTTCTGCTGGTGAATGTGGCCGCTTGTCGGGAACTCTTGTGGTGGGGCGCCGCTCGTCCGGTACTTCTGCCTGAAATGTTTTAGTGACGCAACTGTGTTAGAATGTTTCCCATAGGAAAACAATTGACTTGCCGAAGTTATGTGCATTTCATGGAAACGCAAGGCGAATGTTGCGGTTTACCGAAAATCTCAATCTCTTAATAACTTAGGCAAGCGCTATACTCGTCGGGAAGTATAGCATGGCGACGATCAATGCATCAAATACGCGTAGAACCGGCGATTTTTGTCGCCGATATTGGCGATCGCCCGTCGTAGCGACTGGCGATCGCCAATATCGGCGACTACGCGTTTGATACGTATCGATTTGACGAGTTGTTCGTTAATATCGGTGACGGGCGATCGCCAATCGCCAAACAAGTTACCACACGTCAAATCAATACGTATCAAACGTGTAGTCGCCGATATTGGCGATCGCTAGTCGCCAGTGCTGGCGACTACACGTTAAATGTGTATCGATTGGACGTGTGGTACTTGTTAGCGATCGATACGCATAGAAGACACAGTCGGCAGTATTGGCGATTGGCGATCACCAGTCGCTACGACGGGCGATCTCCCGTCGCCATGCTATACCTCCTCGAGGAGTATAGCGCCTGCCTTACTTGTCCTAATCAGAAGCTCCGCCTGAAAATTATACGATCCTTAACTTTTTGACGCAAATATTCTACATCAGATATTTATACAGGGTATTTGTACGGGGTATATCAACGGCAACGGGGGGGGGGGCGGAAGTTTCTCACCCGAATCATATTCTCGCACCTAAGTGATGTGCCTGCCAGGCACATTCAAAGTCCCTACAATAATGAGCTCCTCAGAAGACCAAGACATCGCAAGCCCCGCCCCCTTGTCCAGAGTCGCTCCAGACGCTGAAACCAGAAATTCAAAGAAACTTTCAAGTCGAAGTTCAGAAGTGAATTTGCTCTAATCACGACAAAATTTCGAGTTTAGGAGTTTTTGAGATGGGGAGCAGCCAACATGAACGATAGATTGTGCCAGCCATATGCGTTGCGTAGATCAAATATTCTCTAGATTCTATATTTACGCTCTGATGATAATCAAAATTTTGGAATAAACGCTGGGAGCTCGGTACCGCCTTATTCTTACTGTTAGACACCATTTTCAACCCAGTGAAGAACATATCGCTTCTCAGACAATCGACGGGACCCCTCCGCCGGACAGTCCGAAACTGCCAGAGTCGCGCCGGACCCAGTTGACCAATGAGAGAGGGGCAAATGGGCGGTCCATCGCGGTGACATCACTGGCAGGCAAGTGGGAGGCTTCTCCGGCCCTGCTGCAAAGGTCCGCCATTTGTGCCAGATTTGGCGGACTCCGCGCCGGAGAAATTTGCCCGGAGCGAGTCCGCCAAATTTGGAAGAGCCGCGCCGGAGAAAATGGGATGGGGTCCGGAGCAGAAATGGGAGGTCTCCGGAGCAGAAAATGGGAGGTATCCGGAGCAGAAAATGGGAGGTATCCGGAGCAGAAAATGGGAGGTATCCGGAGCAGAAAATGGGAGGTATCCGGAGCAGAAAATGGGAGGTATCCGGAGCAGGCTGCGTATCGATTTGGCGCGTAGCAAGCAAACGTCTAACTCCACGGTGATGAGTCCTCTGTTTACGCTCTTTGTCCATATTTTAGTCGCCGTTTCTTTGATTTTGTTGTTTTTGCGCGTTTCTTTACCGTTTTTTTCTTTTCCACGTTGCTCTTCGTCGCGTTGGCCTTTATGTTGTTGTAAGTTCCTCGTTTTCAGGTTTATGTTTCAAATTTTCGTGCGGTTGCACTCAATCACCTTCAGTGTCAGCTTAAGCTCAAAATCTGCCTCCAGGCGAGTTGTTTCTTGAATGTCGCACTTTTATGTTATGTTTTTTTTGAATTCAATTATTCTCTGTTCTTCTTCAATGGCTCCATGCTGCTGTGTTACCGTGTGGAATTGAGTTCTGATCTTATGAAATCACAATTTTAGTTGCTGATGCTGGCGGTAATCATACACTTCCCGAATCTTCCATCGTCCTTAATGACCATGCTAAGGACGATGGCAGCATTGTTAGCTACCAGTGGACACAAGTCTCGTAAGGCTTCTATTCAATCCAAAACCGAATTCTACTTCTTTTTTGTTTTAGAGGTCCTGCAAATGCTTTGTTGGTGAATGCCGACAAAGCCAAAGCAACAGCATCGGGGCTGATAGAGGGTCATTACGTGTTTATGCCGTTGTGGAAGACGATGGAAGTCTGAAAGCCAACGCATCTGCATTTATCAGCGTGGAAAGGAGTAAGCTTTCACTTCTACAGCTTTGGTTATACAAATGAGGTCCGTTTTAGATAAAAATGAACCCCCAGTTGCGCGAGCCTTCAATGCCACTGATCCTCATTGTGGGAGTGGCGTTTGCTGCTGATTGGAAAGTGGCTAATGTCGAGAGGACTATCGATCTGTCATCTCAGGTGGGATCTTCACACTTTCCATTTTTGCAATGTTCTGCTATACAGAGCAGGCATATTCCACAAAGTTTGACTTCATCCGATTTAGAAGAAAATACAGTGTTCCAAAAGCACTGATGATTTGCCATTTGGTGTTGTCAGATCTCGCTTGTTTCATTCTCTTAGACTGGATTCATACTGATCCGTATGTTCCGGAACAGTTCCAGCACAGCGCACAGTTCGGGCACTGTGTTGGCACTGTTCCGGAGCTTAGGGATCAGCATGAACCAGTCTCATGCAACGCCAGATAAGAAACAGAAAGGTAAAGTATGCGTGGCTCGTGCCTCAGTGGTGGTTCCTTGCTAGCGAGAAAAGTGTATGTAATCTTTGTTTGAATCTTATAGGCGACTCATAGACGCATATATTGCGGACGTATCGGTGTCTCTCTAGCGCCCGTTCGTTTCTCTTACAATCTGAGGTCTCTTCCAAGCACGAACTATCTTGGATGGGCGCAACGGCGCCCAGTCTTTGCGTGTCATGAATCGTGTATATATGGTTCATTTTTAAAAGCGTGACGATGAGTTGATTGCGGTCCTTGCGCACACAGGAGCATAAAACACCCATACAAAAAGGCATCACCTCAACACTTAGCTCAGTCACTTCCAGTGTCTGAATACTATCTATCTAAGCAGAAAAACTATTAGATTAAAGATATAAACCAAGGAACTCAAGGTGATTTTGTCTTCTTGATCAAATATCTTATCTGTTCATTGTATTTCTCACATAAGCGTTTGGACACTGAGTGTAGTCAACACTTGTTCGCTCATCGTGTAGGTCATCTAGGGAACCCTTCTCTCGCATTGATCATCAACTGGATCGTAGGGGGCGTCGACAACCGGCTCTTCTGCATTTCACGGTAAGTCCCACTATTAACAGATTTTACTGTGTGACACTGCTTTTTTTCTCGAATGCAAAGACGGCCCTACTCGGGTGGGGGAACGAAAGCCGCCAGGTCCAGCCGCCGCCGCGGACTGCTGGTCCTGGAACGACATGCAACAACGCTGCGAAAGGACCAGCTGGCCGCGAAAGGCGGCTGGACCTGGCGGCTTTCGTTCCCCCACCCCCCTACTCTTATGCTGCTTCTGGGTATCTTCTTGATCGTTCGCATCATGATTGAGAAGGGGATCTAGAAGCCCTTTGTTGAACCCACAATTTGCGATCCAGCAAAAGTGGTTCTTGAACTGTGTCCCATTTGCGTTTTAGCATTGTGACTTAGAAATCCGGAAGTGAAAGAATTTTTACGTGCTTTTCGTTTTATATATCATCTTTTCTAACTTTGTGATAAGTTTCATCACTTTTGCAAGTTATGATGAAAAGAGCATCCATACTCTTGCTTGTTGTTGCATCATCATAGAAACAGCTCTTAAAAATCTAAGAGCTGTTTCTATGATGATGCACAATCTAATAGGAGGCTAAGAGCAGCTAGGAGCGGCTAGCAAATGGCATTAGATTCATTATTAGCTTGTATAGAATCGCTACAAAGAAGCACTTTTTTCAATAGGCTCCACTTTACCCATTCAGACGATTTTACCAGCGTCGGCCAAGGATATATACTATAGAGATGAGATTGGAAACATATCAACATCAGCTGTGCGACTTCGCGCTGATTCTGTTGATGTCGAACTGAAACCGAGTTACATGTCACGTACTTATTGCCTCTGTTAATATTTTATTCCTTTTTATCGTTCAGATTCCCGCTTTTTGGAGGATGGCGCACTTCCTACGTTATCGGTTATAATGTGCCTTCTTTCGAATATCTTTACAATAAGGGCAATAATTATGCGCTAAAAATGAGAGTTCTCGACCATATTTTTGACAATGCTGTGGTTGAAAAGCTTACGACGAAGATCATCCTGCCAGAAATGATAAGGTAAGCTCTTGATCACCACTGTCAGTCTTGAGAAAAAGGGTCATATAGTTTAAATTGTTGAGAAGGAACCAACATATAATTGGGGTGCTCGACAAACAAGCCACCCTTTGTTACACATTGCACCTAACCTTTTCCGATGTGTAACGCATCTCTGCTTTTTAAAATTCATGTTTGATTTTAGAAAAGCGAGGCTTATCACACCATACAGCATGGATAGAAGACCCGATGAAGTCCGCGCTACATACTTGGACACAACTGGCAGAACAGTTATAGTGTTGCAGAAAGAAAACCTTGTTCCAGAGCATATCCAGTCTTTCACTGTGAGTTGCTCTTCGATCTGAATAAATCGATGTTCTTTTTTGCTAGAATTTGGAAATTATGTCATACATTTTCAGCTGTTTTACGATTGAGTTCTCGCAAATGATCCGCGAACCATTGCTCGCCACGGCATTTTGCTTTGCACTCTTTACCGTTGTAATTATCTATGTGCGGTTCGATTTCACAATCGTTGCGGTAAGTTACGTTTTGGAAAGTTTGTCACATCTCTCGACCGTTTTTGCCCTGATTCATTGAACTAGTTTATTCGATACTCGATCTTTGCCTATAAATCAAAATATTTTAGGATCCGGCACGTGAAGCACGCGAACGTATCTTGGGAAAGGTGTCGGGTCTTTTCGAGACTTTTTACTTTAGCAAGTATATTTTCTTTACTTAGGGATCCTTAAGGGTAGGGTAGCTATTGTTCATCCTAAAGTGAGAAATTGAACAACCCAAATGTGGAATTTTGTTTTCCCCATACTATCGTATACCGTCGGAGAAGCTAAAGTTTGTTTCAAGTAACTGTTTGACAAGTTTCGATTAGTATCCGTTAACAGATTCCAATCATTTTCTTAAGTCTCAGAGTTTACGTTATTCTTTTGTTTTATAGGGAGCAGATGAGGAGCGCAATTTACGACGAGCATCTCTAGCACTGGCTCATCAAAATAACAAATTCAATCTTGGCGCTGTTCCCGATGACATCAGTGGAGAAAATTCGTTCTTCATATATGCAAGCAAATAAATAATATGGGCCAACTGCGACTGCAATCTAAACTGTTCCACAAACCGTTGTCTTGTTCGAAAGGTTCATTTTTTTACACCAGTGGGTGTGAAATGATTAACGATATAAGATGGTTTTTCGAAAGTTTGAAAAATTTGAAATAAATGTCTTATCTCTTCTCTTTCTTCTATCTTCTATCCACAAACGCTAGGGGTGAGAGGGAGGGGGTAGAGTACGGGGTGAGGGTCGCGCTAAACTCCTACCCGGGGGGGGGTCCTACTCGGCTTATTTGGGTGGGGTTTAGAGACAAAATTGGGGTTTGGAGCTTAAAGACAGCGTCCAGGCAAGTCTGGACCTATGGAGATTTTACATGGAAAGTACTTTTGGGGCCCTAACTAAGCCACTACCCAACTGGCAGCTCAAGTAGTGCTCTAACGCCTGAGATATTCTGCTCGAAACTGGACCCCGCGACCGTGTTTCGCATGGATTCATGGCGCAAAGCGTGGATTCTCGCGCGAAACTGCCATGAATCCATGCGTATACGTTCGCGGGGGGTCTGTTTCGAGGGGAATATCTCCGCCATTAGAGCACTACCTGAACTGCTGCTTCGGCAGTGCCTTAGTTAGGGCCCCAAAAGACTTTCCATGTAAAAGCCCCATAGGTCCAGATCTGCCTGGAAGCTGCCTTTAATTAGGGGTAATTACAGTATGCCGCGGCAGACTTGCGGAGCACAAAATCGGGGGGCTCCGGCGCACAAAATCGGGGGGCTCCGGAGCAGAAAATGGGAGGTATCCGGAGCAGAAAATGGGAGGTATCCGGAGCAGAAAATGGGAGGTATCCGGAGCAGTAAATGGGAGGTATCCGGAGCAGAAATGGGAGGTCTCCGCCGGAGAAATGGGAGGGCTCCGCCGGACAAATGGGAGACCCACCGCTGGAGAAACGCCGCGACCCTGCCATTTCTCCGGCGGAGGGGTCCTATCCGCTGTCTGAGTTCGAAAAATAAGACTTTAGGCGCGGCATATTGACAACCGCACGAGTTCAGTATGCTTATTTCCAGCTATCGTTCATCTTGGCATACAACTTTGAGATTGCTCTTTCCAGTAGTGAGATTTGTTTGTTGCAAAGTCAACGTTCAGCACTGATAATGTTCAATCATGATCAAAATTCGGATTGGAGGTTTTCAAAATATCCTATTTCAATCGAGATCGAATTCCAGATTTCCGGGTTCTCGAAATCGCTTATTCGACAACAATATATGTTTTTTCACTTCCAATAGCAAGCAATCAATGTGATTTTTTGAACATTTTCTGAAGGCAAAAATGTTTTTTCTCACAAAACCAAATTACATCCATCAAATTGAAAAGCCGGAAGCAGATATCCGTATATGAAACCGTAGTGGTTTTTCCCCTGAGTTCAGTCTTAAGAATTTGTCAAGGTACAGCGCTGATAATAATAAATAAATAAATAAATAAATAAATAAATAATGACCCGCCAAGTATTTCTGCAGACTTGTTATATCACTGAGGTCATCGAGGCTGGTGTAATGCCAGAAAGCATTATAGTAGACCTAAACGCTCGGAATAGTGTCAAACAATAGGAAGACTTGGTATTTTGAAAACAACCAACTAAATCTGCTCCACTTTTCAGGAGATTTTTAGTATTTTATGCACTCAATGAATGATATGGAAATGTCACGAAAATGTAACACTTAACAAGCGACTGGAAGAAGAAAATATCTTCAGGAAAATTGGTTTATCGCAAAGGTTCAACATTTTATTGTGTGTCACTTTGGAAGTTAAAATCAAATTTTTTTGGCAAAATCGCTTTGTTTTCACACCCAACATACAAAACAAAACTATGAGTGGACCATTGAAAAAAATATTTATGACTTAAATTGGAAATTTTGTTCATAGATAATTCCAAATACGTAATAACTTCCACAACCTGATCAGTTTAAAGTTTGCTTTAATCTATTTTAGTTTGCCCAAAAGTATTCCGAACTAAATTTCATGCAAAACCTATGCTACGGTTATTTCTTTAATAGTTCATTCATATTTTTTTCGAAAGCTCGTAAGCCTGAACTTCGATCTTATTTTAAACTAGCTGGCTTACCCGGCTCCGCCGTATCCGGACCAAACTTGGCACACATACACTTCGGGCCCCGGCGGGTGTCACAGTCCACTTTTCGTTATCGATCGATGTCGATTTTACCGATTTTTATCGATTTTTTTGCAGAATTCACCTACAGGGCTAGGAGTTGGCACAGGGGGGGAAGTGAGCATGGGGATTCCGAATACAATATTAGTTTTCAGAATTATCGATCACTTTTATTGATTTTATCGATTTTTTGTAAATTCTGACATGCGAGGCTGGGATTTTGCACAGGGGGGTAATCGAGCATGCTGATTACGAACACAATATTAGTTTTCAGGATCGTCCATTACTTTTATCGATTTTATCGATTTTTTTTGTAAAGTTTGACCTGCGGGGCTGGAAGTTTGCACAGGGGGGGGGGGTAATCGAGCATGCAGATTACGAATACAATATTAGTTTTCAAGATCGTCCATTACTTTTATCGATTTTATCGATTTTTTGAAAATTTGAGCTAGGGGGCTGGAATTTGGCACAGGGGTGTAATCGAGCATGCTGATCACCCCCCTTGGGGATGATCAGCATGCTCGATTACCCCCCTGTGCCAACTCCCAGCCCCCTAGCTCAAACTTTGCAAAAAAATCGATAAAATCGATAAAAGTAATCGATAATCTCGAAAACCAATATTGTATTCGGAATCCCCATGCTCGATTACCCCCCTATGCGAACTCCCAGCCCCGTAGCTCAAACTTTGCAAAAAAATCGATAAAATCGATAAAAGTAATCGATAATCCTGAAAACCAATATTGTATTCGGAATCCCCATGCTCGATTACCCCCCTGTGCCAACTCCCAGCCCCGTAGCTCAAACTTTGCAAAAAAATCGATAAAATCGATAAAAGTAATCGATAATCCTGAAAACCAATATTGTATTCGGAATCCCCATGCTCGATTACCCCCCTGTGCCAACTCCCAGCCCCGTAGGTGAACTCAGCAAAAAAATCGATAAAAATCGATAAAATCGATATCGATCGATGACGAAAAGTAGCCTATGACACCCGCCGGGGCCCGTAGTGTATGTGTGCCAAGTTTGGTCCGGATCGGTTCAGAAATGGAATTTTCTATTCGGAACATACGTACAGACAGACAGACATACAGACATACATACAGACATACAGACATACAAACAGACATTCAGCTTTATATATAAGAAGAGGAAATTTCGAAAACCTCTAAATTCGTTTCGTTTTGAGTAGACATTATTGGTGCTAAAATTTGACTTTGTAACAAATAAATCTCACTACTTGAAAGAGCAACTTCAAAACCACTAAACTCGAAATTTTGTCGTGATGAGCAAATTCACTCCTGAACTTCGATTTGTAAGTTCCTTTGAAATCCCGGTTTCAGCATCTGCAGCGACTCTGGATAAGGGGCGGGGCTTGCGATGTCTTGGTCTCATGAGGAGCTCGTAATTATAGCGACTCCGAATGTGCCTGGCGGGCACATCACTTAGGTGCGAGAATATGACTCGGGTGAGAAACTTCCCGCACCCACGGCAGCGTCATACCCTTTGGGGATCGGGTCCTCGCGGCGGCCTGTCGGTGTGGGCATTTTGCCAGGCTTCGTTTTATGCACCGTTTGATGCCCGCCTTCTCTACAATCGTTTTTCTCTCATATTTCGTTTGCATCTTTTACATCCTTGTAGCCTCGTCTTTGCCATCTCATGCCATATCGGGATCTGTACCTTCTGCAGGACATTGATAGTTGCTTGTTTCGACAATGATTCGACATCCGCACCATTTCTAAATTTGCCTGGTGTAGCAGTCTTTCATCCGGCATTGAATGACAGCCAAACTTGCACAACAAGTCAACAGCACAAGTCGTACTTCGTTATCCTCATTCAAACGGTTTTTCGTCATCATATATAACAGGAAGGGCAGTTTTGTTGGTAATAACAGTTCACAATAGCTGTAAGTTCAGTACCTTATCGGCTAGTTTGTCAGCCGGAAATGGTTGATCGAAGTAGAGTAGGTAAATGGATAACAGTCGAAAGATTTTTTGGAATTTAGAAAAATTGTTCAAAACGAAGAGAGAAAAGGAGATAGGGCATCAAGCATTGCATAAAACGAAGCCTGGCAGAATGCACCGACGACACGTCCGCGAATCAGCGCCAAGTCCAAACGAAGTGGCCGTGAGGACCGGAGTCGCAACTGTTGTGACACTGTCTTGAGATATTCTGAATTTGCGTGGTATGTCTACAGCTAAAATCGTAAAAACGAACTTCGGCACGGGCGCATGCGTGAGCAAAGTGAGGGTCATTAAGCTTTATAGAGGAAGACTCGATGTTTCGGGTATGTGAATTTTTGGAATTTTGACTTGAATTTTATTTGAATACAGTTTTGCGAATGTCCAAAATATCATCTTGTAAAGCTTGCTTTGCTCTGCTCTCTGCTCTCAACGAATACCCCAATCACTTTTTTTTCGTATTCAGAGTGCCGTGTTAGCATGTACTGCTATGTATATTTTCGACACAACCTATTACATGCTTTAATGACTAAAATACTAAGTCGGCTAATATCGCTAATATTCTTATCTTAAATTTCACTCAGAGAGAATACAGTTGGAATCATTTATACTCCAAAAGCTTATCCAAATCTTCCTATTATAATCGCTTTGGGTGCGCATTTGATGTCTGTTCATATCTGCTATAGGACAGGCCATACCCATACCTAGTTCGTCTTTTAGTTCGTACTTTAAAGTTCCTGTTTTTTGTTTGTGTTGCTTTATTTCATTTTTGATGCGAGTGTGAACTGATAAAATGAAAATAAATAAAAATGTTCACAGATACCAATAGTGCTAATGACCCATAGCCAAGTGAGCCATAGGGCGATTGCATACCCGATACACTCTCAACAATATAAAATCTCAAGGAGCTCAGTATCAAGGAGAAATAGTCATAATGTAAGCTCACAGAGGATACACAACGAGGTAGACTACAGATCTGCACGACTGATTCTGCTAGTACTTATTGAAAACATATGATCTCTTGAGATTGAGGAAACACATCAGCGAACATCTTGAGCAAAGCAAGCCCCACTAACATCGAAAGAATGTCCTCTGATCAACTCAGTGGGCACTCCGAAAACCCGCCCGTTCAGTTTGTAGCCGTCAGGTAGATCAAATTTGTTCGGCAAATCATCGAAGCGGACGAGTTTCTTTGGGCTGTTTTGCAAAGCTTCGAGTTGGTTCATGTCGTCAGCGCTTAAGAAGAAGTCGAAAACCTAAGAAGGAAGGATTGAGTTGAATAAGACTAAGGTTTCCGAACTCACATCCCTGTTTTCCGCTACTCGCTGTTTCTCTTTACTTTTTGGTATGACAGGAACGCCGTGTTCCAGCGACCACCTCAGGCATATTTGAGCTGGTGTTTTCTTGTGTTTCTCACTGAGCTTCTGAAGAACCTCAGCCTCCAGAAACTTGCCCTTTGCAATGGGACAATAACCCTGTAAAATAATCGGATCGACGCCTTATACGGGATGGCAGTCACATCAACAAACCGTGTATAGAATGTGATTTTGCTCACAAAACGATCGCAGTCCACGAGGATTATACCAGGGATGGAACTCATACTGATTTACGTGCGGAACAACGCTACTGTAGTCCAAAAGCTCTACTAAATCGTCTTCCGAGTAATTACTAACGCCAATGGCGCGAATTCTACCTGAATGAAGAAGATTGATGTTTGTAATGCAAAGACACATTCTCAACGAAACACCGACCCTCATCGTACAAAAGCTCCAACTGTCTCCAAGTCTCTTCACGCACAGAACGTGCATTCCCCATATGGTCGGGTACAACTGGGAAGTGGATCATGTATAAATCTGAAATAATCGGTTTCTTATATGCTCCCCCAAATCTCAAATAGTGCTCTTACCTAAATAATCGGTCTGCAGCTTTTCACAAGAAAGTTCGAATGCTTGCCTAGTGCTCGAACCAAAATCAGTAGGCCATAATTTCGAGCAGAGAAATAGAAATTCTCGAGGCACACCAGATTCCTACAAAACCGTTTGTGGACCTCTAAAATTTGTTCTTCACCAAATATAGAGAACTTTTGATAAATCTACTGCACAAGATGGCTACATTGAAATCTCACACTACCACGGCTATGGTTGAATCTCACACTACACTTACATAGTTCAACACACTTGGCACGCGCCTGCGTATTTCAGCACATCTATTGCAGCAGCAGAGCGCACCGTGCGTGTCGTGACCGCTAGTTTGGGCGCTGGCTGGCGTCTATTCAAAACAACCGTTCATGCATGTGGGCGGACCAATCTAGCCGTCTCGTTTTTTGGGGTCGCGTTTATATTACAGGAGAAGATAGGCGAGGAGTAATTTTGTTGCCTTAATATATCCGGCGCACTGGATGAGAGCACGAGATACTGCGAAATACGACTGTTACTCTTCTCTAATACATGAAACATTACTTGTTAGTATGCTTAACCTTCCAAGACTCACCTTCCAGGCTAGACCGAGTTCGCGCTCAACGCCATACCTTCGAGCAGTGTCAATCATACGATATCCACAGTTACGAAGAGCATGTACAACAACGTCGTGGTAGTATCCGCCCGAGTGGGTAGTCCCTGAAATAGGGCGAATATGAGTACAGAACTCAGACGAGGTACGAAAACTGGAACTCTACAGACACTGCGCAAATCTTCAGGATTCCTCTCCCCGCGAGATCAAATCAGGAGTCTCTGAGCGGGACTCATCTCTATTTAAGAATTTGGAGCGAGTCTTACCTATGACTTATTGAAATCTCTTTGAAGTGGCTCATTGAGCCAAAAAAAATCTCGTGAACAGATCACTGGTAACTTGCATAAACACTGTAAATTCATAGAATAGACGAAAGATGTTCATGATAGAGATTTGACCCGTTTAGTCTACTTTAGAATCACTGAAGAATAGAGCTGAACAAAATCCTGCCAGTAATCCAAAAGTCAGTCGTGATTCCATGAAACTTATGTTCACGCAACTTGACTCAGTGGGACGTTTGTTTTGCGACAAATACGACAGCTCAAATAAAAGCAATATTCAAAATTTTGACAATTGTTTTAAATCGCTAGATTCTCAACAATCCAGTGATGTTCTCAGTTTCTTCTGAACTAGTCCGAGAAAAGTTATAGCATTCCAACGGCTTTGCGACGATAAATATGTCGCGACGGAAAGAATTGTCGCAATCCGTTTTTTTCCAAGAGCTAGGAGTGCAATTGTAGCTCTTCTTCGACCCAGCCTTTCTGGTCAAACTTAATGCTTTCACTGAACAAATATAAATTTGCACTAGAGACATAGATTGAACAGTTCGTTGCAAAAATCCCTTTTATTGTAGGAAACATAGATGTTTTAAAGTAATGGTTATTTGGTTATTTCTTCTAAGAATAAACCACATACAATGGATCAATCGTGACTCATCTATCTCCCCCGTACTTTTAAATTTTCACTAATAACTTCACTTAGCTCTAGTACTATACTCTAAAGTTCGATTGGGCGACTATTTCGTGCGAAGTTATAGCCGGTCTGGGTGCATTCGTCACTACTTGCGTACTAGGTACGTGTTTTTTCATCGTCTGACGTATAAAAAAACATGAGGAATGCGCATGTTCCGACGGTTGTTACGAACTGGTTGTAAAGTAGCTGTTTTGCAAGTTTTTTCTCCCTCGATGCAAAACGCGTGGAAAAACTCGAGTTTACACCTGCGACTATTCATACTCTGCAATGTTCGACTTTTCTACCAAAGCGCAGAAAATCTCTGGCGGCTTCTGCAGAAGTTTCAGAGAAAATGACTGAAACAGATGCCTGTCCCAGAGCCATAAGAGCTATAGCTTCTTCTAGTAGCTTGAAGCTGAACTTCTTGCATTCTTCATTTCTTCAAAAATCGTGAAAAGGAATATGAGTCTATGAAAAGGATAACAAGAACACTGAGCTGGCGCTATCTTATGTAGTTTCACATATAAATATATTAGATGAGATACTACACCTTTCCAACGATGCATCAGAGTTTGAAGGAAGATTGAAAGAAATATATCCTCCAACCTTAGATATAACAAGACCAAAGTTAGTTCAACGGAGGCAAATTTTCTTGACTTGCACAAACTAATTTGTGAAAAACGATAAAATTTAGCATGTACAATAAAACGGACAAGTGTAATTTCAGAGTTAATAGGCATCCAAAGTGGGAATCTAGTATACCAAGATATATATTGTACAACACTTGTACTTCAGAAATACTTAAAATATATAGGAATTGCTTCGATTACGCGCAATTCAAAGCAAGAATAATTGAGCTTAATAAGACGGCTAAGAGTAACGGGTGGGAATGCATCCTTCTGAATAGACTATAGACTTCATCACATTTTCCTCGATAGATCTTTCATAACGCGTAAATACGGAATTGCAGGCCTCTTCATTTCCCTCTTTTACATGGACTGCGCGAAACATAAAATGCCACTAGTTCGCTTTGAGGTCATGGCAGGAGAATGCTCATTCCTGCGTCACTCTCTTACGTTACGGATATCACACATGGCTTTGTCAAACTTAGATAAATTATTTCTTTCGCGCTATTGCTTTCATTATTGAGTATTTGACTTTGGATATGAAGATGCTCTAGTTCGCTTTGATTTTGAGGCCTCCTAGAATTACTGACGAGGGGCAATAGCGAAGCTGTACCAACGGTATAGTTCTCTGCCCCGAAACCGGATAGTGTGCAAAAAATCGAAGAAAAAAGTTTTTTTAGACTTTTTTGCATGTGTTCAGTTATTTATCAGATCCTCAAACATTTTGTAATAGCCGGTCTGCGTGCACGCGTCACTATTTGCGTACTGGGTGTGTATTTTTTATAGTGTGACGTGTGAAAAAAAGCCATGAGGAATGCACATGATCAGGCGGATGCAACGAACTTGTAGTAAAGTGGCTGTTTTGCAAGTTTTTTCTTCCTCGTTGCAAAATTCGTGAAAAAACTCGAGTGTACACATGCAGACTATACGTATTCTGCAATGTTTTGTCCGACTTGTCTCTGTGAGACCTCTGCAAAGTTTAGCTGCTCACAATGGTTTTTATCTAAGTTAACAGAATAAATTCCTTCCCTTTCTACCAAAGCGCAGAAAATCGCTGGCGGCTTCTGCAAAAGGTTAGAGGAAACGACTGAAACAAATGCCTGTCCCAGAGACATAAGAACTATAGCTTCTCCTAGTAGTTTTAAGCTGAAAATCTTGCAGTTTTTCATTCCTTTGAAAATCGTGAAAAGAAAGAGCAAACAGTAGCTCCTCTAAGAAACGCCAATTAGGATTACGCTAGAGATTCAACGATGCTTCAAAAAGCCCACATGTGAAAAAATCAAACCATGAGCTCATAGATCAACTTCAAGATTAAACAATGTCATCCGACCAAAAGACTGTCAACTGTTTGTTTTGTCTTTGATGCCTATAGCATTGACGGATAGTTGACGTCACCACGGAAGCATACAGCAATAATTAAAAATCGTCCTAGTGACTGCTTGAGAAAACTGCATCAAATTAAGATGAAAAATTTCTATTAAAAAATCTCCTTCCTTGCAAGCGTAATCGCATTCTTGCAAATTTCCAAAATTCTTTTTTTTCCCACTTTCTAGCTTCAGTACTCAGCTACTATAACTGATGGCAGCTCAATTGCTAATCTGACATTTTAGAATTCATGAAGTAAAGCTCCTGTATTACTGGAAAACACTGAGGACCGAGGCGAGGGGGGGGGGGCTTTTTCCACGAGAATAAGATGCAGAAATTTTGAGCAATCTATGGATTGTAGAATTGAAGTTACTTGTTCCCACTTGACAATCATCGAAATATCCTCCAAACTTTTTTGAAAATGCGCACCAGCTTTACAAAACGATTTTTGAGGAAAGTAACCGCCGCCACACCCCATTCTAAAGCTTAAGGGATGTTAACCTGAAAAAAATGAATTCAATAAAAAGGATGTGGCTAAAGCCAGTCCCTTCATTCGAAAAAATTTCCGCTGCTTATCCCTCCCCTCCGACAAACTTCTTGGACCGCCACGGCTTTTCTCTGACGAAAAGAGAGGCCGAGAAGAATACTTTGGCGAATTTTTTTCTCTTTAGTCAGACCAGAGACCATCAAAAAGTAGTGAATTTTCTTTTGCAGAAAATATCAAATTTGAAATAACAATGAGCTGTTACTGCGAAATCAAAAGCAGCTGTTCTTTACTCATTCTTGCTAGGCACAGCACCTATGTATGCTTCGGGTCAATTTTCATACGAGGTCAACTCTCAAACATATGAGCTTCCAAAATAAAGATTCAAGTGATAAATCTCCTGATTTTTTCGCGTACATTCGTCTATTTGAACTCAGAAGGAAAGAAATTTTTTTATTAGTTATTCAGACACTGGAATGCTCACCTAAGCCAAGGAAAGGCATCTCTACTCCGTTTGCCAATGATACTGTAGGAATTGGTGAAGTAGATGACGTCGGCTCTGTTTCATAATCGTTCACATCATCATAAGAATGACCAGAATTTAGCAGAACTGTAATTTCTTCACTTAACAAGTGATAATGAACATTTCGTAAAAGAGCCTACCTTTACTGCAGTTAACATAAGATGGAAAGGAGCGAACCATTCCAAGAATAGGATGGATAGATGTGATTTTCGATTTTTATCTGGAAATAATCAAATATAAATCCTAAAAAAACTAGCGTATGTTTCACGCATGCGCAATCGCAATGCAAGGTCGATTGGGTGCAGAATTTGCGGGTCGACAAATAATGACTGAAAAAATACGAGAGTAGGCAATACCTTACGCGTGTTTCGCAAATGTTTTGATTGTGAACGTACTAAGAAAAACTTGATGTGCGAGCAAACATAAAAAAACTTGTGAAAATAAGAAAAATTAGAAAAAGAAATAAAAGATTTTTTCTATAAAAATTTAATGCGTTTTTATTCAATTCCCAGTTGCTTATTTCTTAATCATGAGAATACGCGATGATTGTGAACTCCAATTTAATTGAAAATACGTGTCTAGAAATATCGCGTCCCTCACAATTCAATACTACAAAGTTTCGAAAAAATTCTGCACACCGCTGTATAGCATAGTTTTGATGCTATGCAATACCCTACATAGTGTAGCTTTCGAGTAAAAATTGGCATATCAAGAATGAGACTGCTATCACTTTCAAACGAAACCAGAGGAACAAGTGAAATTTAGTGCGCAAATAAAACACATTTACAACAGAGATAATCTTAGCTGTTCGCACGGCAGCGAATGATAAACAGAAAAGAATTTATCAGGGTGGGGCCAGGCTAAGTGCAAATGATATGAAGGCTTTGCCGGCCAGAACTACCCTGTGTTTGAGAAATAAGCAAGGAAGTGCATCTTAGTAACCGGCCTGCTGAACAGCCGAATTGAAACGACTGAAACATTCCGCAACTGTTCCGATCGCTGCAGACGAAGGTTATAAGGGCTCGGAAACCGCGCGATGCCGAAATTGTTGACCGCAATGGCCGAGTTTATCCAGCCCCGAGGATCAATAAAAGTCGCCGGACAAAAAGCTCCGTGGAATGCGCTTTGGTGAGCGAGCACACGTGAAAAGCAGTTGTCCCAGGGGCACGTGCCCTTAGCCAGAAATGGGATTTCCTCGTGCTCTTGCATGGCATATGAACAGTAACCATTTTTTTTGCGATCTATGAGCTGCAAAAGTGTTTCAGGGAATGTGAAGCGAAGAGACCAGATGTTGGCTTGTGATGACTCGGAATTGGATTTGTGAACACACCAATGAACCAACAGTGGCAAAAAAATGCGTTTTTTCACTTTTTCTCGGCTTTTACTAGGCAACCCGATGCGAGGTTCGAAATTTCCGAGAAATCGTATGACTAAACTGTATTACTGGATGTTTACCCCATGCATAGCACCTGTCGCAAGTGACCACAAGGCAGTCATTGCATTCCGGTTGATTTTCCCACATGTTTTGCTTGCTCCCACGCCTCCACCCATGTGCTGAACACGTGCTTCCTGACGCCCGCTGCGCAAAGAGTAAAATGTTTTGCAGAAAATGACCTGTCGCTGGATTTGACAAGCACTGACGTAAATCGCATACGAACAGAAAATGTAACGTATCCATAAAATTCATGCTGAAAAATAATCCTTGATCTTTGTGGTTTTGATATGTTCCAGAAAAATTTGAATATGCATAAGCTATATAATGGACCAGTGATGCACTGAGGTATGAACATGCAAATTACGTGTTCCCACACGTAGCAATTATTTTCGAAGTTTATCGGAAAAACTGAAATTCGCTCTTGAGGAAATTTTCAGAGTTTCTGGCTGTCGCTACGCTCCCTTCCTTTGCAATCTCTAGGGTCATAGAACGGGAAAATTCTGAAAAGCATCCTGAAAAATGTTTCATAGGCGATCGCCCTTGAATCTCTCCCCCCCCCCCCTCCCCGTTCCCCCTGCGAGAACAATTTCTCGGACCGTCAATACGCGTGCGATTCAGGAATTTAAAAAAAATTCTAGAGGTGAAACGGTGATTTTGTTGTGAATAACTCCCTTCAAGAAGATGAAACGTCCAGAAAAGCAGGCAGAATATCAGTTCAGTCCGTAAGAGCTACATTACGTTCATACTTTTGAAAGGAAACAGCGCTTTTCATCACACTTCGTGAAATGTGAAAATTACTAAATATCATACATTACGTGAACTCATTACAAATTGGGCTTTTCCACAGATTTGATTCGTTCGCGGTAAAAGCTGGTCGGAATCTGCTAATGCACACGCTATCCCAAATTTTTTATCCCATCGCACTACGAGGCAAGGTGTAATGAAAAAGATTCAACCCTATATGAGCTCTCCTTTGCGGAAGTACCGTGCGAAAAGTCTATTTCGAATGGAGCGAAATAGGAATAATGGGACAATAGCTATAAGTTCTGCTTTCTTTTTTGGGGTGGAGGGAGACTGCAAAATTTTTTTGAATCATTGGGTGTGAAATTGACCTAATCGTCGAATATATTCTACTCATTGTATTTGATATGAAAGTCAAGATTTAGGTTACCTTGCGTGATCAAAATGATTTTGAGAAACGTTTCGCTACTCCTCGCTATTAATTTTTGCACAAAGGAATTCGATTATCTCATATACACCATATCAAGATAATACATGCGTTTCGGTGCGCCGCTCCGGGCTCCGCAAAATCGATGTCCCCTTTGCTTTTTAACCCCAAAAACGATAACCAGCCTACCCCGTGAGCCAGCTGTGCCGAACTCTGCTCATGAAGATGAGTAAGATATGAGTTCAAATTACCTGATTGAGTCTAATTTCCATACAAGCCAACCCGTGAAAATCTACTGGGGGAACCCTAGTACATAGAGATAATTGAACATCACAAATTTTTTCTGCATTCTCAAAAAACAAAAATTTTATCTCAAAAATTTTGTTGAGGCTGAAAGTCGTATTTAGCAGATTTGTATAACGTATATAAGTTGAAAGCGGTCACCATTGTTCCGCTTCAGAAGTGGAGAGTGACTGAGCAAATTCTCAGAAAACAGAACGCGTTGTCTTTTACTAATCCAAAACACAGTACATTACTAGAAAAGTCATCAGAAGCCCAAAAATCTCGAATCCTTCCCTTTTTCGAAAAATGCAGTTCCTTTCTTTTCTTTTTTATTAGGTTAAAGCGAAAGTAATTCTGCTTTCTTCCCAAACCCTTTTTTCGAACAGCCTTTTTCCGTTGGATTTTCACTTTCGATACAGACTTTGTAAATCATTTGACAGTTTCTGTATACCTTCTAATGGTGGTACAATTAGGCTTATATATTAGTTATTACATAAGTCTTGTTACACTTAACTTCTAACGGCGATAAGTCATACATCTCATAGTCTTTGCAGTGTTCCAAGGTACCATTCGATAGAGCAAAACAAGCTCTACAAGAAGGTCTTCAAAAGTTCGCACCAGCTCCGACCCAACGTAAGTTTGCATTCAAAATCTAAGTAGTACTGAAGATCCAAAAATCGCGAAAAATTCATATCTTTGTTCAGAAAAACCCTACGAATCTCCAACTTGCTCACAAAAATTGTCCACTATATCAAACACTCATATGTGCCGTTGCTGTATTTTTCCTTTATCTAGAAACCGAGAAAAGTAAAAATTTTTAGTTTTTACAAAAACGAAGCTATGCTGTTTCTATTCATGCAGCTGTATACTACAAGCCCTTAGAAGTATAACCGTAAATTTTCAGCTCTCCAGAAGCCCTAGTTTTCGGAAATTACCTAATTTATCATTGAACACCCGAGTGGGAGAAGCTAAATTTGGTATTTTTCGAAAACCAGGGCTTCTGGAAGGCTGAAAATTTGCGGTTATACTTGTAAGGGCTTGTAGTATACAGCTGCACGAATAGAAACAGCATAGCTTCGGTTTTGTTAAAACTAAAAAAATTTCTATTTCTCGATTTCTAGATAAGGAAAAAATGCAGCAAAACATATGAGTGTTTGATATAGTGACAATTTTTGTGAGCAAGTTGGAGATTCGTAGGAATTTTCTGGACAAAGATATGAATTTTTCGCGATTTTTGGATCTTCAGTACTACTTAGATTTTGGATGCAAACTTACGGTGGGTCGGAGCTGGTGCGAACTTTTGAAGACCTTCTTGTAGAGCTTGTTTTGCTCTATCGAATGGTACCTTGGAACCCTGCAAAGACTATGAGATGTATGACTTATCGCCGTTAGAAGTTAAGTGTAACAAGACTTATGTAACAACCTAATACTATCTGTGAGTATTTCACGAGCATTTTGCACACCAGACTCAACATCAAAATTTTACTGTTTCCACTTCCTTGGCCACAATCTCACCACATATAGGCTCAAAATAGTGCACAGTTTTGAGTTTTATCTTCTACTCTCTCAAAACTTCTTCCTACGAACACAACGAAGGTGAAGGAAGTTGTATTTTCTCAAAAACGAGGTTGGAATTTTCCAGTTTTCTGATGCCTGGTTTTGTTTCTGTTTGCGAGGTCAGTTTGGGCAAGTGCGCTTTAGTCAAGGAAAATTTACTGCCTCTGATGATCTTAAGTATATTCAAAAATGCAAAGATTGGACAAAGTTATAGCCACTCAAAAAGAAACTTCGCAAAACGTACATTACTTTTGCGTCAACCTAATATTTTCCCCAAAATTATTCTTTTATTTATATCAGGTTGTCAAGTTCCGTCCGTTTTTGACTCTATATCGCAAAAGTCATGCACTTCTTATTATATACATCTGAATATCCAAAATATCATTCGAGTAAAGCAAGCACTACAATATGGCGCTTTTGCACCAGTTTTGATCCATTGGAGTTGAAGCCAAAATTTGAAATGATTCAAATGCCGAATAAATAACTTTACCCCCCCCCCCCAAATAATCCTAAATTTCCTAACCTGCTCACGTATACACTTTCCACATCAGACAGTTATACTGCTGTATTTTTTCTCGGTCAGAAAATCAGAAAAGAAAATTTCAAGCTATTTTTGTCAAAGTGGCCCCTTGCTGTTCCAACATCTTGGGTTGTAAAGAAAGTTCTGCCAATAGGCGTTGAGCTAAATTTTTATTTATATCTTCATCATGAGTGGCTGTCATTCAGCGATATTTTGGTCATATGTACTGATAACGTTAGAATACTGATTAGGTACGTCATGGATACTTTTTTACAAGAAGCGCGCTGGCTGCGTTTTGAAACAGGTGGCGCTTCGATTTTTGACCCTTGAATTCAATGAGTATTTCTTGCTTGCAAAAAGGCCCAGGTACCGGGGCAAGTGATCGTCGGATAGTGTTTCATCTAGCCAATTTAAAGGGTATAAAACGGATTTCAAGTCAAGCTTTTGGAACTTCTGCGCGTCCATATTCTAAAAAATCCTTTTCGCGGACCTAAGCGCAACGGATTCTTCTCCTTTTTTAGGCATTTCTTCCTAATTGTTGGTCACTTTTTCCAGATGAATAGCATGTAGCTGGAGCCATCGCACTCTAAGAACATACAAACCATCCCCTTGCATTCACATTCTTTTTTGATAATTATGAAAAGAACTGGCAGAACTCTCTTTACAACCTAATAATTAGTTGCATACAAGCGTGTAGAAGTAGCTGGTAAAGCGCAAACTTCATATTTAAAATTAGCGACTTTGATCTGATGAAAAGATTTTTGACTTGTATAGAGCAAAATATGGCTCTCATTAGCCTAAACCCTTCTTAAAACTCACCGTAATCCTACATTAATGAACGTTTATGAATCTAAGTTGAAGCCAACTCTACAGAATGGTGCCTAATGTTCGACGAAAGACCTCACTGCACGAGAATTGTTAACAATCAGTAGGTGCAAATTTTTTGAGACACTCTGTATATAATAGATATCAGGCGCAGAACAGCTTAACAAGAGTATGAAGACTTATGTGAACTGGAAATTTCGTGGCTTAGATTGCAAAAAAAATGCACACGCCCAGTGAATACTTTTAGTGACCTTTGAAGGTGTTGGGTGGTCGCGATAAATGTCTCAAGGATAACACATTTATTATCTCTATTATCTTTATATATAAAGCAGAAAATCTGTGTGTTTGTGTGTTTGTGCACAATTCCCATAGTCATGAAGGACGAGTGGTAAAGCTCATTTTGATCTACTGGTCATCAAGATATGGTAAGGACGGTAGAAAGCGAAACGAGTCAAAATCAAATGAAGGGTTTATTTTGCCACAGGAGAGAACAAGCACGATGAACTGGCTCCAGAATGGGGTGGAACCCGGGATGCCAGCTCGTCAGTATATGACGGTAGGTATTCAACGGTATGTACGATTGTGACTGTTGATGTACAAAAATCAAAATATAAGTAAATAGTTCCTGCAAGAGGAGTTAGCTGGGACTACTACGGAGAGAATGAACTGAAGGAAAAGTCGGTTAGTTGCATAAGATAGATCACTTAACGATAAAGCTTAGACAGGGCCCGGCAGGAGGTAGCATTTCAGAATTTTGAAAACAATATCCCCTTTGAAGCCAAAATTTCTTACGACTTCCCCTTTGACCCTATTTTTGACCCCCGTAAGTCCCTGACAAACAGATATACACAAATAATAAGATGGGCGGTCTCAGCGCTTATTATAGTAGTACTACCTGGCTTTCCCCGTCCAGCCCGGGTCATCAAGGTTTCAGCTCAATGGGTTCATCCGCAAAGGAATCTATAAAAAAAACATAGGGTCAAGACTTGCACAAACTATGACGTTTATATATCTAAGATACTACTCATTTATTAGTCAGCTGCAAACTTTACAATTTACAATAACCGATTGCGATTGGAGCGCGCTCCGAGGCCGATCATAACGCTGTGAACCCTATTTGGGGCTGTATCGAAGCGGTGCCTTGGTGGTTTTGGAAGCGGATTTGAACATCTTATATATAAAGCTGAATGTCTGTTTGTCTGTCTGTCTGTATGTCTGTCTGTCTGTCTGTCTGTATGTCTGTACGTATGTTCCGAATAGAAAATTCCATTTCTGAACCGATCGGGACCAAACTTAGCACACATACACTTCGGGCCCCGGCGGGTGTCATAGGCTACTTTTCGTCATCGATCGATATCGATTTTATCGATTTCTTGCAAAATTTGAGCTACGGGGCTGGGAGTTGGCACAGGGGGGGGGGGGTAATCGAGCATGCTGATCACCCCCGTGGAGGTGATCAGCATGCTCGATTACACCCCTCTGCCGAATTCCAGCCCCCTAGCTCAAATTTTGCAAAAAATCGATAACATCGACGTCGATCGATAACAAAAAGTGGACTGTGACACCCGCCGGGGCCCGAAGTGTATGTGTGCCAAGTTTGGTCCGGATCGGTTAAGAAATGGAATTTTCTATTCGGAACATACGGCGGGGCCGGGTAAGCCAGCTAGCATAGTAATACTCTCGGCCTAGTCCACATTTATGTAAAGAAATCCGGGAAATTATGTGAAGGGAAGCAGGGAGCCACCTCAGGTGGCTCCCAGGTGGCGCGGGAGCCACTTAATTTCGAAAAACACTTACCATTTTTTGAATTCACATAAGTTTCTCATAATTCTTCATACTTTTTTTGTGCTCATGGTCCTCCAACTACACAGCAAGTTTGGTGCCATATCGTTACTTGTGCATTGAAAACGAGCCTATTTTGTTATTTTCCTCTTTCAAGAATTGTGATTTGAATTCCCGCCTGCGGGCAGGCTAGCGATCGGAGCACAGAATCTTCACATTGCTGGAATCTAAGTTCATAGGACAGTAGCATCAACAAGGAATGATGAATAAAGAATGATATGTGCATTGTTTATCGGTAAACAAAGGGGAAGTCGAATGATATGTGCATTGTTTATCGGTAAACAAAGGGGAAGTCGTATTTTGGAGTCCGGGGCGGAGCCCCGGACCCCAAAATACGACTTCCCCTTTGCTTTTTCGGGCCAAAAACGATATCCAGCTTGTGAAAGCGCCACCCCCGCCGGGCCCTGAGCTTAGACCGTCTGTCTGTTTGTCTCTCTGTATGTGTGTGTATCTGTCTGTCAACAAGTTCAGAGATTGGGTTGCAACAAACATCTCGAGCCAGAATTTTGCACAACGCACGTCACCAGCATGTAGGTCCATTGCTCAGAAGCGCGAGCGGATATGCTTTCTGAAACCTACGGAAACTGGCATCAGACGTGTCCACGCGAGTTTTGGCGCGCAAAACCAGAGCCGTATTCGGACTTTTGAAGTCAAGAATATATTTGACATGTACATCTATGAGCCCTTGACTTTAGCCCAAAAAGTGATCCAAAGTGTTTTACTTTACGAATATGGCGCCAGAAAGAAATGGCTATGTAGATGTTCAATTTGCCAAGATTTTACCTGATCATTTGTGAAGATTTTTGCACACAGATGTAGCCAACCATGATTATTGTCCTTGAGCCGTACCAAGCCATGGCAAAATTACCGAACTCGCTTGAAAAAGCTTTAGGAATGAGTAGTTGTTTATAGACCGTTCGTAATAATCTGCATAGCACGGTGTTTCAATGTCATTATTGCGGGAATGAGTAAGGCATACAGACAATACCAGTACGAGCCTCTGCGAAGTTAAATAATGGTTACTGGTTATGTAACAGATTTCTGAAAAATATTTTATTTCACATGGAATTGTATATACATCAGGCTCTTGTACAATGTTGGTACTATCTTGTACAACATAGAGATTACGATTATCCGATTCCAAGATAAAATCCATTGAATCCGCCTAAACTTGGGAGCTGACCCTCAATACAAGTTCGAGAATCACAAAGCACTCACCACCGGGAAATCCAATACCGGGATAGCCACCGTAGCCTCGAAAGCCACCTCTGGGATAACCAAATCCGCCGAAGGGATAGCCTCCATAGCCTCCAAAGCCTCTGGGATAGCCAAAGCCACCTGCAGGATAGCCGCCGAACCCGCGATAGCCACCTCCGGGGAAACCACCGAAGCCACCATATCCGCCTCTGGGAAAGCCGAAGCCACCGCCGGGATAGCCACCGAAGCCGCCATAGCCTCCACCACGGAAGCCGCCGAAACCGGCCGGGGAAACCGCCATATCCTCTTCCCCAACCGAACTGTCGCTTCACCCGGCGTGCCCTGGATAAAGGATTAACACCGAAGGTTTGAGAAAGTTGAATTCCTTACCCAGCATCGCCTGCTTTTTCCATGACGTCTTGATCATCTTTTGTCTCTGGTGCAGGCAAAGCATCGCAAAGAAGAAGGGCAGCACATGCAAAGCCTAGGAATAGTAAGCGATACATGTGGAGGTGGGGTCCTTTTCATTTTGGCTTTATACAGGGAATTTCTAAAGAGTTCGACAAAGTCAAGTAGTACTAAGAACTACTGCTCGCCCAACAAAAATCAAATTTTTCCACAAAATAGTCCAATAAAGTGCAGTGTCCTGGGGAAAGAAGTGAGAGAAGATGAGGTAAACATACCTGATTTATGTTGTAGTCATCTAAGTGCAACATCCGCGAAGACTGTGGTGAAGAGTGCAGATCATATGACAAAAAAGGAAAAAACTTCGTTTTTAAACTTGTTCGATACCTTTGAATCTGTGTGAAGCTGCTTTGCCCTTGATACTTCCGCTTTTCTCCCATATATCTTGAGTTCGAATTTATTTTTTGGAACCTTTGCGCTATCCGGATCCCTTTTTGTTAAGAAGCTTTTGCCTTTTTCACCAAGCAGAATACAGCCATATTTCCGAATGACATAACTCCACGTTAAAAAAAAAACTCAACATATCTCATGAAGATCCCTTTGCCACATACCTTATTTTGCTGAACTTCTCTTCAACTGCACTTTTCAATCTATTTATGTGACTCACTTTCCCAATCTTTTTTTTCTGTCATCGACAATTCTGTTAGTCTCGTCTAGCGTAGCAACATTATGCGCCTACGCAGATGAAGCATTGAAAATACATTTTGAGTTTTCCTGAACAAAGTTTCATTGAAGAGCACGTCTCTCTAGGATCAGGGCAAATTTTCATTCGCTTTCTTGAAAAACTTGACAGCTTTTGCGAAATTTTTCGTAATGCATCATAATGGCGATGACGTCTTGCCATTGTGCTTAAAGGCACCGTCCACCCAGATTCTTGACTTCCAGGTTTATGTCGTTTCAGGGTCTTCTCATGTCCCTGATTCCGAATGTGAAGTCGAGAATCCGAGAAACCGACAACCCCGAATCCACAAATCGGCTTTCCGGAACAGTGATTGAATGGGCGCGCCAAATGGGTGGACATGGATGGGGGTCCTCGTGCATCTTCATTATTCCGGAGCGATTTTCTTGCTTCCGAGGCGACATTTTGCGCCGCGACTTGGGAATTGGCTTGATAGGGGCCCCTACCATCATATGCTGCCATAAGCTCAAAAACCCCAATTTAGGGTGGACGGTGCCTTTAACCAACTCTCTCATTCAGTAAAAAAAACCTGTTGTCTTTTAAGAACGGTTGACAGTGCTCCTGAATTCACAAAAAAAGCAAAGCAAATAGCATCTGATTCTGAATCTTTATATCATCTCCAAAGCGGATCGAATAAAGTATCGCAACTGCCATAGAAGAAATTAATAAAACAACAGTAGATGAAAGGATGAAGAATTCGAGTCTTCAATACTCTCCGCAGGCATGTTTCCAAACCACAATGATACACGCAAATGGCTTAACTACGAATCACAGCTTTTCAATAACGGCTGAACAACAAATAACAAATCTGAGAGATAACGACTAGACGATGTATTTGAGTGCATAATCTAGTGGTAACCTAACAACTGTAAGTCTATAAAGAGTTGAGCAGTAATATAAAAATCAACGGAGAGGAACTGGCGACGGACTGCGAGATATCCTACAGTTTCAGTAAAATGTCACAAAAATCGACACTATTCGGCTGTTGAGGGGGGAGAGGCAGACTTTGAAGCTATGTTTCCCGCTCAAGCTTGGCATATGGAAATGATTTGAATTGAATCGATTTTCGCAGCCACCCAAGTAGTTTACGGTAAGTACTCCAAATCTCAGATTTTGCTTCAGTTTTGTCCAGAAGGTTATTTCACATGCTGATAACGCAGATCTCATTGGCTCCATACTGTGTTCTCACCATAAACCCGAAAATGACCTTATCATGCGAGATCAGTGTGCTCAGCATGTCGAGTAACCCCTCAAGTCAAATTTAGGCGAAATCCTCTCGAGATTTTGGTGCTTAGGTAGAGCCAAAAAATTCTAAAGATTCGCCGAAAAACGGCGCGGGATTGTATAACCCATTTAGGGTGATTCCCAAACTAGAACTTCTCCATCTCACAATATCTAACAGCTGCCCCTTATTAATAGCGTACTATCACAACTATCGAGTAGGTTCAGTTAAGTCAAAACCTATGCTTCACCTTTCCAAATATAAAAGTATGGCAAATGATACAAATAAACATCAATTACTACCACAGCCTCAAAGCATTGTAAAAGATCTCCTGAAGAAAGGCGCGGGATTTTGCCTTGAAGCGATATTCATCTAACAATTCAAGCACATCTGCATAGAGACATGGCCATTCGAACAGCCAAGGATGAGCTTTGCGAAGCCTGAAAAGAGATGTAGTAATCAAACCGAAAACGTATTGGATTTGACTCACATCAAAAGCTTCTTCTCCGGTGTAATTTGTTGAATTTCTAGCATGTCCACTTGATTGAGCACTTCTTGTCGTAGATGTGCAACATCCTCGTGAGGAAGTACAAACTCGCCTAAATTACCGAGAAATAAAACTAAAGGGGATATTACGGAATTCTTAGAAACAAAACCGCTTGTTATCCATATTTTCTGAAAGGAGACATCCCTCTTCTGACTAAGTGCAAAAGAGGCTGAGGTGAGCCCTTTGTACATCAGTATGGTGGTTTTATGTTCTCAATTCTCGAAAGCGAAGTTGGTATCAGTATGAAAAATGAGAAGTCCAGCTGCGAGGAGTGGAGGTCGAAAACATGCAAAAATCGGCATGATTTCGAGAGTAGTCTTTCCTAGAGGCATTTATATGCCGTATACAAGAGACCATCATAATTCATCGACGAGAGTTGGGTTGAAAAAAAAAACGCAAAGTAACATATAAATGCAGCATATTTAAATGGCCACTTCGGATTCTGACCACTCCCTCGAGATGGCCAGAACATCGGATTCGGTCCCATATTTGCGACGTAAAAATTATGGACCATTTTCGGCATGTTTATTTGGGAAGCCGCCATAACCACTTACACACATGAGAAATACGACAAATGTCATCACGTTTTGCAATACAAGGTAATCACAATGAGAGATTGAAACTGCTCCCTCTCTCACTATCTCAAAAGTGAAGGAAAGGATTGGCTTCGACTTTCTATGTTCGGTCAAGCAAAGTATCTCTAAGCTAACTTGAGACTTTCTCCCTTCAAAGAAGCAGTTTATACCTTTTTCTTTCAAGCTGCAATAAAAGCAGCGATAGGTTGAATGTGTTATCCTTGAGTCAATGCGTTGGCTTCGACTGTGTCCACTTCGCGCACCCCGATCTTCCAGCTGCAGATTCAAAAATCAGTCACAATTGAAAATAGAGCATTCATAGTTCACCTGATCATTAGTTTCCAATGACACTGGGTTTCCAGGGAAATCAGCGCCACTCGATCTTGAGGGAAAGATATTCTGAAAGCGTTTTTTATACAATTTAAGAAGGGATAATGAGAAGGCTTGAATGAGGTAAGCCTTCAGTCAAATCTGATGACTGAGTCGCTAACTTGGCGACTTTGATATTATAGCGGCTAGTAAAATTACATTGGATAGAGCACAAACATATAAAAAAACGTCTTTACTTATGTAGTCCATAATGGCGAAGAAGTCATATTATTAGTTGTGCAACCAATCAAAACAAAGCGCACTTTAACGAAAAAAAGACAAATGACAGATATATGAAGTCAAAAGTAGCCCCTTCAGGCTTACCATCTAAATTCATAATTCGGAGACTTTCCTGTCTTTTGATATTTTTGGGTGCCTAATACTTGTGTTGTAAAGCAAATTCAAAGAAAATGGGCACCGGGAAGCACAGAAATTTTTTTTTCGAACGGCATGAACTTAGTCACACCTTCGAAAAAACTTTACGATGCTTCCCAAGTTTTTCGCAAGTTTACAACCCTACTTTTGCAATGGGCGGGGTCCTCGGAGGCCACATAAATCAAGATTTCATTTCAACTCGAATGTAAGCCTTCAATCATAGAAGAAACCAGTGACGATTCAAACCAGATGAGGTAACGCTTGGATGACTTAGTTGACATCTTAGAACATACATTGTATGTTCTAAGATGTCAATAACATACATTGTTCTAAGATGTCAACTAAGTCATCCAAGCGTTACCTCATCTGGTTTGAATCGTCACTGGTTTCTTCTATGACTGAAGCGCAAAAAATTTGGGTTGGAATCAAGTACGAAAACCTGCCGAGCAAATGACATCGATATCCGTTGGAAGCACTATGATGGGAGGATTATGTGCTGTGCGAACAACCAAGTCTGACTCCACTTCTCTAGTGAGTAACTCATCATGTAACCATGGATCGGCTAGTAGCTCACGACGATAACGAGAAAGAGCTAGTTCCTAAAATAGCAACTGATAACAATGTCGAGCATTTTGCACCCAAAATCACCTCTTCCTTGCTCATATAAACATAAATAGCCGGATCCGCCAGATTACGATTCACTTCAAGAATGCGTCTGGTTTTCAGTGGCGCCAACCTCCACTTCTCCCTCGCGGGATTAGACTGATGAGGATTGCGGACCATATCAGCTACCTGAAAAGCAAGTGCAAGCTTAGAATGGTATTGCCAAGTTCAGTTTTCTTGTCTCAAGCAGTTCACAAAATCGCAGAAGAACTGGCTTTGTCAACTCGAACTTCAACATCAACACTCTAATGCTCAGAAGCCATAAAATCTTCTTTTCAACATTGTTAGCTCAGCTCAAACATTACGCCTAACCTATTCCTCTCCTCAACCATAACGAATACGATATCAAGCTAACCAGAATCTCTCTTAGAGCTATACACTCACCGTTCCCTGCATAACTAGATTAGTCTTCGTTGCGACTAGTCCCTGATTCAGACAATAGACAATAGTCGAAGTTCTTGGCCGCGACTCCCATTCACCAACCATGCAATCCAATGTCACAGTTGGCCGTCGTCCAACAACTATAACGGTGAAAATTCAGATAACCATAATCGGATCAGCTAATGCTGATATTAAGTTGTACCAAAAGTAAACGCCTTTTTTGAATAGAACAAGCTGTTATTGTTCTTTTACCAGACATGAGCCTACCATTCGATAGATTGAAGCAAGCTCTACAAAATGACCGCCACAAATCCACCTAAGCGTGATTCAGGTAGAATTTGGAGTTAAGAATTATAATATTTCAACTACCCTGAAAATCGAATTCTCTTCTAGAAAACCCTACTGACCCCCTTGATCATCATGCAGTAGACAATAATAATTAATCACAAACATTTTTCCTGACTTTTCCGCGCTTGGAAAGCGAGAAAAAAAGGTAGTCCCAAACTCCACCCCAGCTCTTCCTGCACATGTGTTGTATAGTACAAGACTAGCGAGTATAATCTTGAAGTCATACCTTTGCATGTGCCCTAGTAATCGAGAAATAGCAAGTTCCATAACTCGGAAAAAGTGACGTCTTTGCTATTTTCATTTCTCAATTTTGGGTCCCAGAAAAAATCCAACAAACACATTTTAAATTACTGCTTTGTGTCTATGATTGTATGAGAGAGATCCCTAGGAATTTTTTGGAATGAGATCCGGTTTTTAGGGTGAATGGAAAAATTTAGATTTTTGTCTCCAAGTTTTACCTAAATTACGACTTACAATTAGATCGATATTTGGTGGTAATTTTGTATGCTTGCGTCGCTCTATCGAATCGTACCGTAAATCTGCTAGAAAAACGAAAAGTTCGATTCATTTATAAAAGGCGTTTACTTTTGGGACAACCTGCTAAGTAGTACCTTCTGCGGCCGATCCTTCGCTCAGGGAACCAAGGCCGCTAGTAAAGACTGAATCGCCTGTCACTGCGCGTTCATAGCGAGGTTGAAGGTCTTCACTAAATTTACAAAAGTGATGTGATCTCGAAATGCAACTCGCAGTCACCTTTCACGATGCGATATCCGTCTCGGTTCAGTATATACAAACCAAGCCGTAGAACTCTTTGTTTTACGCAGTTTGGGCATGGCTACTGGTGCGCGTGCCAATGATTCAGATGACCTTGACAGACCAGAACTGCTCGATCGACGTCGGGAAGGCGTCAGTGGCCGTACTTCAGTGCTACTTCGGCTACGCGGAGACCTCACTACGATCTGAATTCCTACCAGATACTCGTTCGCAGCTGAGAATGATCAAACCTGAGGAGCTTGAAATGGCGATGAACTCCGTGGCGGAACGTCTTCGTTCTTCTTTATCAATCGCTCAAGTGCGTCTCGGTGTATGTTGCTCTCCCAACCCAACCTCGCCAACGCCACGGCTCCTATAGTTAAGAGAATTTGGGTAATCGACTCACACACTTGTATTGCGGTACTGAACGCTTTCGCTGATTTATACGCTACTGCAGTACGGTAGTTCAAAGGAAGAGTCTGAGTCACGGACTTTCATAAGTTTCTGTCCTGCTGGGTAGAAATATCTTATATTTCCCGAAGATTTGCAGTAAAAAGGGGATTTCATGTATGAAAGGATAGCCCCACAAAAAAGTCCTGCCATGCTAAATCAGGTAAATTCACCACTCAGCGAAATCCGTAACTTCGTAATCTCGAGGTCTAGAAGACACGGATTTTACCTAGGTTGCATCTACTAGAGCTTCTGGGATAAGTCACACACCTTCACAATCAAAGTCGGTGACTATTGTCCGTACAATAGGCACAGTCATAGTCAATGGCTATGTATTATTTTCTATCTCCAGATTACAAAACAGCGGTAAGAGTTTAAGGACACAATTTTTGAGTTCCTAGTTTTTTCTTGACTGATTAAGATTGTAAAATGTATACCAGGTACTGATGTGCTTAGCAGATTCAGAGCCCAGAAAGCATAGCCACGTATCGTGAGAACAGGCGATTCTTCAGCCAGTCGAATTATTTGCGGTACAGTAGCGGCAGGAAGTAGCTTGAGACCTATAACATCTACTCAGTAACAATAAACTACTGATGCTAAAGCCCCGACCTTCACTATGACTTCCTATGTGTCCTAATCCCATAACCGCTGCCTTGACATTCAAACAGTTTTGCTCATCGTTCAGATTATTCAGCAGAGTTTCGATTACACCCATGTCACAGAGGAGGTTTCTGCCAAACTCATGGCTAGACAGCACGGAGAATAGATGAGGTGGTGCAGGGACATTAACAAGCTCAGATCTGCAATTTGTTGAAAAATGCAAAAAACATTCCAAAGAGATTAAAAAATAGTCCGTCTGGAAAAGGAAGAAATTAATTATGATCGTAAATTTCATACCTTTCTGCACTTGCTCTCGAGAAAGTGCCACTAAGTGTTCGTCGAATAGACAGGAGAGCATCCCTCACTTCATCATCAATCACTTCAACGTACCGCGTTCCGAACGTCTGAAAAAGCATCCCTTTTCGAAAAACCACATAACGGAAGCGAAAGTAAGTACCTCTAACCAAAACCTGATAGCTTCTCGCGTCTCCTCCTCATCCTGCTCACACAATCTCTCATCCGCATAGATATGCACTTTCAGAAGAGTACCTGCTTCGCCGAAACTGTCCAGCTGCGCTGTGCGCAACCAACGTCCAGCATCTTTATAGAACTGTAAAGTGCCCATTAAGAGCGCACTACGCGATTTTCCAGAAATAATGCAAATACAATGCTTTCGCTTATCTTCCAACAACCACTGCATGCAACAAACAGGGAACTAACCGGTAGCCATTTATGCAAGATCCGAATCGCGTGACGAACCACTTTCACCGACTGATCACCCAGCTGTCCCAAAAGAAGGCGAATTCCCCATTCGGCGAAATTCGGCGGTCTCCGATAGGCTAACGCCGACAGAAATCGCGTGCACCATCTCCTAGCCGTCTAAAAAACCAAACTTAGCCAGCTTATGCAAGCAGTGCGCATAAGAAGCAAATTGTTAATTCTTAAGTAAAATCATAAACGCTGAACCCTCCTAAAAGCTCAAAATTGGCTTTCGAAAGAGGGACATTGAACCCAAAAAATGCGATAAGCACCCAGTAATCCTACATGACGACAAAGCAATGACTTCAGTACAACAAAATGAGACAATTACAGTTTGATATAAGACGGTCCCAGAGTAACCTTCTACCAGAAAAAAAACTTTTTTGATCAACTTTTCCTTCTTCTTTTACAAAATCAAAAGGCTACTTGTACCCAATGATGTCATCTTTTTCGTCCAACTTTTCTCTTTCACTCTGCAATATCATTTTCTACTGAGCGTAAGGAATTGAACCGCACCCAACAGTTATTGCACAAATTTTGCACACTCTCACGCACCATATAAATAAAATTCGATACGCTAATTGTTCGCAGCTCGCGAAAATTTCGGATATGGAGAAGGGCATGTGTCCCAATGAAAGATTCGTCATATCAAAAAACTTGCAAACGCAAAATGTGTTATGCTGTTCTACAGGAATCTTATGTAGGTAATGTCAAGTTGTCGCATAAGTTACGTGTTTTAATTTTCAGACATGAGTCATGTTTTTTTTACTTCTAAATAGATTTCAAGGTACCGTTTGATAGTGCAAGCATGCTCTACAAGACGGTGTTCTTGCTTTCGCACAAGTTCAGATCATTCTCGAGTTTGAAGCCAAACCCTAAAATATCCAACCGTCCGAAAGATAAAGAAAAAATCGCAACTCGTCCGATAAATTCCCAAAATTCCTTGCTCACAGATACACTGTCCACATCAAACATTTGTACATACAGTTGCTGTATTTATCTCTAGAGAGAACAAGAAACGAAAATTTTCATGTTTTTGCCGAAGTGTGCTGTGCTGTTCCCACACTGGTAATTGTATACTACAGACCAGTAAAAGTATAGACTTGAATTTTCAGCGCACTATTCTTGAGAAACATCGAATTTGCTATGCTAGTCGGGTCTGCCATACTAAAACGAATATTTTTCGAGAACTGACCTGTAGAGAGCTGGAAATGCACGTCTGTACGTTTCTGATCTGTAGTATACAACTACTGATGTGGGAACAGCACAGCATCACTTCAGCAAAAACATGAGAAGTTTTTTTTCGATGTCTGTCCAGAGACAAAATACAACAACAGTATATATGAATGTCTGATGTGGACAGAGTATCTATGAGTGAATTGGGAATTTTCTAGGATTTTTTTGGACGAAGTAACAATTTTCCTCTATTTTTTTAGGCGGTTGGATCTTTTTATTATTGGCTTCAAACTCGAGACGGGTTTGAACGGTGCGAAAGCAAAAACCATCTTGTAGAGCTTGCTTTGCTCTATTAAATTATACCTTGGAACTATCTAGAACTGAGAAGTATAGAGTTTTTGCGACTGAAAGTTGGAACGGGCGGAACTTATGGAACAACCAGATAATTGATCCAATCGGAAGAAAAAAATTAGCATGAAAGTAGCAAGTGAGAAAGTTTTCTTGGGTTTGATCAATATTTGTACGGTGTTTATCTAGCAACTATTCTGCAGACCCAACAAATGATATTCCAAGTATGGAGACGTTATTCTTACAGACAACTGCGCTTTTCCAACCATCATCACATCTATACTTCCTTGCCTGTTCTTCGTCCTGCTATTTTCAAAGACTAAACATAAAACAGCAGAGCTTCTCTAACAGCCAAAAAGTCTACGAACAGGATTTGAACGACTCGAATACATCATGACATAGTGTGGAAGTCAACATGATTATGCATCCGAATCATTTCTCTAGAAAAGGCAGCTTAGACTCCCTGTGAGATTTACATTGCGAAAAGCTAAGGAGCGCAACAAAGAGGATTAGCTTTAACGAACGTGCTCTAGCCTCCAGGTGGCCAAAAGGAGAGACCCAAATTGAAGAGACAGCGCAAAGAAGAAGGCAGCTTTTTCAGAGCGTCAATTACGTTTTTCACAAATTGCTCAGACGCTTACACATGATCGAAACAACCTAAGCAACTGGGTAAATTGCGCAGGCGAATTCGTTCCTCGAAGTCGCGAAGTTCACAGTTACAACGACAGCTCCTGCCTCCTTCACATTCCAAAGTTGCCTGAAGCGAGCGACTTCTAGTAAAAAATGACCACTCTTGCTATCAGATATTATATGTTTGAAATATATAACATTTCTTACTGCAATTTCGAAACGGACAAACTTTACACAGTTTCAGATCAAGCGTCTTTCATAAGTCATAATGATTAGACGAAGATTTAAAAAAACGGTTTTATCTACCGATAATGGTTTTTTCTCCCAGTGTCTTTGATCTACTCCGGGTGCAGCAGGTGCATTGTGAAGTTTCAAAACGCTGTACGGTTGGTTATGCACACATGTACAATTTGACATAAAGTTGTATAGCAATAAAAACTATTCGTCCTCATAATAAGGCAGAATACATATAGGCTGTACCTAATATCTCTGGGGATCGACAAAAAATGGAGAGGCCAAACCCTTATAGGAGTAATACTATATCACCGATTTCAGAATTCGTAAAAATTACATAAATTACACCATCTTGAATGATTTGCAATACTACATCAAGCCAGTTTTAGAAAAAAAAATCTGAACATCAGACTTTATCCTTTTGATGGACCAAGTATTTCAGAACAGGTGGGAGGAGGAGGGGAAGGGGAGGGAGAGCATGCATAGATACATAGCTAAAACGAGAAGTTCCTCGACATTCGCCCACTTATCGGTAGGGATCCGCCGAGTGCTTTTTCGAAGGGTCAAGAGCCGGATGTGAAGTCTGAAAGCCTGAGAAATATCCTTGTAAAGGTATTCCGCAAATTGATAATTTATTTGAATCTGATATTGATTACGCATTTACTCAAAATAAGCTTCGCCTAGCCAGAAGATTCAATTTCTTTTCGAAGTTGTCGCTAGGTAAAGCGACGATTTCAAGTGCTTGCGAACGACGAAAAAGGAATTCAAGTTTCTACAGAAACTCGCTTGAAGGGCGATCTTCGTGGACTAAAACTACACCTTATATCGTCCATTCATTCCTTAACTGAACTTGCTTGGTGATTTCTCATTCTCAAAGCCAAACTCTCCAATTCTCCCTTAGTTCGGCACAAATAATAATATCTGCGATGACTTTCAAAAACTCTAACAATAACGTGAACAGAAACTTTCCATTGTATATCGTTCATCCGCAAAAACATAAGGAGGTCTGCTTCTAAATTTTTCTGTGCTCAGCTGTAATTTCTTTGAGGAAAATAATGAGAGTAGGGACTAATGACATAGCCTTTGGACTGCTTCTTTACTCATTTGCAACAAAAGTATGCAAAGGTTTTGGAAGATGAAAAAGCGTTTCTATTCTACAGGGTTTTATAGCTAAGCGCACAGTTTTCGATCACTCTTCTACCAATTTACTTTTCATCGCTGAAAGTTCTTTCCAGCTTTCCTAGCACAAAGTGTAGCACACTCTCTTCCTGTTCATTTTTAGTAGCATTTTCCTACGAGTCAAATGATGTGTGCGTATAACTCAGTGGCGGTCCGAGAAACGCGACAAAAAAATTCCGAGACAGATGTTAGCCACGCCCTTCGCGAAAATTTTTGATCGGCTTCAAAATTTTACGGGATACCCACAAAGATTCTTCCAATATAAAATTCGAATAATGAATTAACTACAGTTGCTGAAAATTTTAACGCTGAGAGTGACTCAGTCAAGTAAACATATGGTCGGACCCACATTTTTCTTCACAAATTTTTTGAAAATATTCACAGGAATCAAAATAGTTTGGACTTTGAATTCATCAAAGCAAGGTAACGTAAAACGAATTAACTGTAGTTTTTCCTAGCCTTCTATCGCCCGATTCGTAACTTCCCCTGACCGTTCTTACATGATTGTCTAAGTACTCTACATTTTTATTCTAGCAGCACTTTGGGTAACCCTAGTGGAACTTTGACCTTTACATTCTTTTCCTTATTCAGGCTGCCCTTGCATGGTTGATGTCGTTTTCCTTATCCCTAGATCAACGCAACTTCTGTTTCAGTACATTTTTCAAATTCTCTAAGTATAATAATGATCAGCACAGGTTCAAAATCTCAAAACCTATGAGTTGTCTACCAGCTAACTGAAAGTCTTTCTTGAGTAACAAGGCAAAACAAAGATAATCGTTTTGCAAACCTGCTCTGTAAGATTCATAGAAAAAGTAACCCATGTTAAATTCTGCTAATGACCGTAACCTCTGCTTGCACTTTAGATCTAGCAATTTTGCAAAACGGAATTAGCTTAGGCTGCTGCTAGGCCAGACTCTTTAATCATCCATTAGGAGACGAATGCGTCTATAAGGCTTCTGTCCATACTGGGAATACTTGATGTTTTGCGTTGGGGATTCGGGCGTTAGCAAACCATTCAAAGAAAAACGTCAGCTTCAAGACCAGCTAACTCAAAGAAGTGGCGGCAATTTTTAAAGCGCAGAATTCATCTTTGATCTAATACAATTGATGTCAGAACGACTCAAAGCATTATTAGACAACTTTCCTGAATTCGCTGCAGTACTACATTACCAATGCGCTTGAAAAATTGAAAACAAGAGATTTTTGGACTTTTCACAGCAGAAATTGTTCTATAGCGCTCGTGTTGCGAGGACGACTATAGTTTGGGCATTGCCCTCGTTTCCACGAAATTTCACGCAATTACACTTTCGCGTGTTATCCCACGCTCATAGTTGTTGAGTAAGAGATCATAAGCGATACGATCACAAAGATGTTCTCGCTTTTGAGCTCATTTTCGCCTCCCTAATCTCCGCTCCCTAAGACTCGCCGGACCTCCTTGAAGCTAATAACATACATCGTACACAGCCGAACTTGAACATCATAAGAAAAAGTATTTTCATGGACTTGCGTAATAGCTTCCAAATGTGGTCTTTTGAATGAGAAAAAACTCATTTCACTACTATACATTTTCTTCTGGAAAAACAAAAACTGGGAAAATCCGGATTTCCCATTTCCCTGCTAATGGTCATAACATCAAAAGAACTTGCTTTGAAGATATGCGCTAAGTACCACTAGAAATCGCTTAGTGGTCAAAGAAGAGTCGCCCACCCACCTCACAAGTCGATGTCAGGGCTTTCTGAAGAATAACTTTTGATAGGTAGCAGTAGTCATGCTCATAGTCAAGACATGAAACAATCACTTTCACGTATGCTGCAGAGGTAGATGGCACCATTAAGTCCAGGAAACTGAAAATACACAAGTCAGCCTGTAGGCATACAGCCTTGATCAATGGATCTTTGATAACTCCCATAACTTTCAGATAATTCAGAGCATTCAGTTAGGACCGCACACGACACCAATAAAAAAGCGTCGAACAGCCCATCTTTGTTGAGGTTCTCAAATTTTTGAACAACCTATTAGCAAGAGAAGGAGGTCAGTCAGAGTGCTCTTCTGCATGAAATGTATATCGAATTGAAGAGTACGAAACGCTGATTCCAGATATACCTTCCTATCTGCTGTGGGCTTCTGAGCAAGGAGTTTTGAAGATTTTTAAGGGCAGAAAATTCAATGCATGATCGGTGTAAAATTAGTCGTTTGCTCTTCCTAGTGTTCGAAGTGGCAGAGTTAAGTGGATATGTTTAAACTAGGAATATTTACTGCAGGGAGTAACCAAAAATCATTCGAGCCGTAGAAAAAATGTTGCGACTGATTCTATCCTAGCTGCACATGCAAACTTCTGCTCATAAAAACATTCGTAACTCCTCGCCCAGGAATTCGCAGCAGATAAGGAAGGCAGATTTGGAATCAGCGTTCCATATCCCTTCAAGGCAGTATCCATCCCATATTTTAAGGCCACTTCGACTAGCCTTCCTTTTCTTCTCAGATTACAACGCAACTAATGCATAAAAACAAATCGTATAGACATTCCTTACAGTACATCTGTTGTAATTGTGCAAGAAAAAATTGCAAGATGTAGACCCTCTGCTTGAGTTAGTGACAATTAATAGTCCGCAGTGATTACTTCTTTTGTGCGTCTTCGTTGAAATACAGAATAGACAGGCGGCCATACTATTTATCGGAAAGGAACCATTACTCTGACAAAATTTTTCCTACCACTAACTATTAGGTACATTCCGTCTCCGCACACAGGGTCTTAAATTGTCATAAAAACATCTCAGCATAAATTTCGCTCTTCGATCCGGAACTATTATAGGCACTAGGACGTTCACAGCAGGGGTTAGTCAGTTGTCCCACACATAGTCCATTGCTCATCTTTAAACTAAACCGAACGAAAGAAAACGATTAGGCGCTTTTCGCAATTCTGACCTATTTCTTCCGAACGTATTCAAAACATCCCAAAACCGCAGTTAACTTCGCATTTTCTATTCATCGACTTGAAACATTAACTTACAGAAAGAGCAATCTCGTCAGCACATTTAATTCATCTCCTATTCCGCAAGTTTTGCGATTGCATAGGATACAGATTTGAATTCCTCAATCTTCGCTTTCTCTCAGCTTGGCACTTTCATCTCATCCGCTGATAATAGGATGTTAAGTGAATTGATAAAAGCTGATGACAACGAGATGTTAGAAACGGCTCATGATGAGATGAGCGATTGTAATAGCTTGCGCACTTCACTTTCTACATTTTACAGCAGATGAATAGCGTACGGTACAAAAGTTTACTTTGGGATCTCACTTTCCAAATCATGCCTGTTGTATTGGATTGAACAGCTTCTCTCGGCTTATTAAGCAATGCGAAAAGCTGTTGCCTTACTTTTTTGTTTTCTACCACGAATTAAGGTGATTGTTTTCACACAATTCCTTCACATTCCTGATAAGCTCAGTGCTCGCCATACCGTAAAAATTACTCAGCATTCTGTATTCACTGCCTTTCTCTCATTTTTCAGCTTGTTTTTCGTTCTCACTCTTGTATTAGGTTGCAAAGAAAGTTCCCGGACTTTCTTGAAAAACTCATTTTTCATACTCTTTTTCACAATCCATTTTTACTCTACATGTTCTGCATGTTTTGTAGTAGAGAGCTCAAGCTTTCTAACGGTTCCAGTTTTTATCAATGACTAATCGTATCTGATCTATACACCAAAAAGGAAACCTTTACAAAAACAAAAATTTCAAAAATCTTTTTATTGCTAATTTGCCGCGCGAAATAAGCAAAGTCGTCTAAATCTCAAATAACTGCGCTTTAAATTTGCTGCAAGGCCAAAAAAATTACAAGCTGTCAAACTTGGCTTAACGGCAATTCTTTTCGCGCTGGCGACTATTCTGAGTGGATCGCTGCATCTTGATGATGGGCTCAAAAGATGCGCAGGACACTACCCAAGCAGTATTTGCACTAATCAAAGATTTGGCTATTCCGTGCAAAAAGGGAAAATTACAAACTCATCTAGTCAAAAATGGGGTATTTTTGTGTGAAATTTGTGCAGTTGGCACCCCACAGCCATGATTTTCCCTATCCCCGATAGATTTCTATATAGCTACCGGTTATGTGCTCTCCAGCTCTCTTTTTGACAAAGGATGGATACTTGATCGAAGTGGCGTTTCCATACAAAATGTATAATGTCTTATAGAGCATGGAACACTGAGTTCAAATCTACTTTCGTCTGCAAAGCGCTTCTGGGAGGGGAGTTATGGAGACTTTTTTATGTAAAGATGTGAAAGCGCCGCTACAATTCATGTCACTCATTACTCCTTTTAAGCGTCGGAAAACTTCACCACCTATTTCTGTCTTAGCCAGACAATTGTATTCTATCTCAAAAAACTTCCGGAACTTCCCTTTCAAAAGCGCTTTGCAGATACCGAAAGCAGATTTGGAATCAGCGCTCCATGCTCTATGAACAATTACATCTCATATGGAAACTCCACACCAAGTATCCTTCCTTCGTGAGTGAGAAAAGCATGCACAAATAGGAAGATTTTCAAGTCAACCTTTTTCCTAACTGCGCAGTTGGTGGAGCGAAATTAGCACTGAGGACCTGATAAACACGCATGTCTTGTAGACAACATGTTCTTAGCGTCAAAATTTGCAGCTTTCAAAAAGGACCAATCTGCATGAAGTTGTGGCCGTTTAAAAAGAAAGATTTCGCAAGTGCCCAGGAACTTTCTTTCCAACTTAATAGAACAGGATGCAATCGTAGCTAATCCAAGTGAGAAAAACCTTTCGCAAATCATCCAAGAACTGCATAATCACTCTTTTGCAATTCGTCCTCTCCAGCAATGAAAAGCTCAACATTACTCGTTTCTAGTCGAACCAAAGATTAGAAAAGATTGACTCTGGTGTGGTCCAACGTTCTTTTTCAACTTTTAAGGATAATAGCATCGCAATGCAGAGAAAATCCCCATTTAATACAAAACCCATTCGTTTATATCCGTAGAAACTTGAAACACGTGTCTAGGCCACAAAAAAATATTTTTTGCATTCTTGTCGGAACCTTGAATATCCACATCTTACAGGAAACAGAACTTCAGCTAAACAAGCTTTATCGTTTTTTCTTGATTAGCGATGTTGTAAGATCCGAGTTATAAAATTCCCAGGAAGCGAACTGCAATTTCTAGACGTCGTGGCTATAACTAACCCCTGGTCAAATCAAGGTCCGCTGGTCCTTGAAGGCAGTGAGCAGACGTAAACTTTCTTTTTGTGGCCATCAAAAAAATGCTGATTGGGGAGATGTCCAGAATGAAATGACCTATAGCCAGTCAAGTAGGGAGCAGGTCCACCCATCTCAGCGGTGGATCTAATTGGCTCCAAAAATCCCGTTCTTAGTACTCCTCACGCCCAAAACGTTTCGATTTAGCATCACAAATGTCTGCTAATGAGAGGAATTCCAACGTTGAAGATTTGTCCGGACGCTGCCTCTAACCGTGCTCCATTAAATGGCTACTGAACGGACTTAAAAATCATCAAACTCGCAGCTTATGAACGCCCGAACTTCATGAAGCTATCGCAAAGCTATCGATTGACGGCGATCCGATCACGATCAGATAGCGACGAACGAAAAGAAACTGCTGATGCCGGAAGCGGATGATGGCGAAAAGTCACAAGCGCATAGTCGCATTTTGGATCTCGCCAACAGAACGGGATAAACGCGAAGACAGCGGGACGAGAAACAGGTCTTCTGGCGCTCACAGCAATGACCGATGCAGCCCGAAAGCGCAACGCTCGCAGACCATCCCGAAACAAGTCCTTTCAGCTTACGAGATGGCCCTCCGTAACCTCACTTGTCCCCCGTTGCTCTGCTTGTTGCTAATATCATGGTCAGTGTAGCAAAACTAGATGCCGATTCGCACCCCGCAGCGATTCTGGGATTCTCAGCTGCTTCATCGTCATTCAATTCTCATGCTTGAAAAACTGTCAATGAAAATGAGCGCTTCTGTATCTCTTCATGCATTGAAACACATTGAAGCTTCAATGCATAAAACCACTTTGCCTCTTTACCAACTTTAAGATAGTTTATAATCATATCCGCCATATTTATACTTCTGAAACTGAGATTCATGTCTCAAAGTTTCAATTTTTCGTCTTGACGTGGTACCATTCACTGTACTCATTATTGTTTTGAAAATTTGTCGCTTCGTTGTAAGAAAAAATGTTGTCTCATTTTTTATTGCAATAATCTTGCCAAAAAGGGGAGATCACGCGCTTTTCACCAGTGCCTTGAAGCTTTTCTTTTAAACACTAGTTGCAAAGATAAAAATGGAAGAAGAAGACCACTTGAAATTCAATCATTCTATGATAGGTAGCGAAAAATCTAAAACAGTGAGAAGAAATCAAAAGAAATGATGGGGGTTTCGTGTGCTGTTCTTTCTGAAAGAGCGAGAACTTTGCTAAACGAGTGTTTCTATAAAGCTGATATATTTCTTGACTACGGAAAATGGCAAAATATTAGGCTGGAAACTAAGTTTTGCAACTAGTTTCATAACTTCACTCTCTTTGGATATGACGCATTCAAACTTTGGCATTATGTAGAAATTAATGTGGGCTACAAATTGTTTGAATTTTAAACACGAAATAGAAAAGTTTTGGGCGTTTTTCGAAAACTAATGAAATTTGAGAATTTTTGGGTTTTCAAGCTAAAATGAAGCCTTTGGCAGCCTAGACCATGCGCAGTAATCCGGATTCGCCTACAATTTATTGCTGGAGGTTGACATCTTTGGCCTAGTGAGAAAGAAACAAAATTTAGGGGCATGTCGAGATTTGGCGTCCTCATAAAGTCGAACGAGTCGATGTACGCAAGAGCTGCTGGGGACGACCGTCAATGACTAAAGAGTCCGAAGCTCAGATTTAGCCGAGACTTTACATATTAAGGTTATTTGACCTGCCAAACGCGAATATCACATTCATTTGTTGAATCAACGCCTCTTTCCTTGTTAAGGGCAAGACCCCATATCGTACACCTACAGTAATCCTACAAAAAAGCCCTTATCACGCAATTTCACTATCGTTTTCGTGATCAGCATGTCGGATAACACCCCTATGCGAAGTTTCAGCTAAATTCGTTAAACTTTGAATTTTTCCCTTCATATAGTGTGGACCCCGGCCAGCTTCCCATATGTACCTCCGCGCCGCAAACGCAGCGCATGCCTTCAGTGCTCTTTTGGTCCCAGGACCCATTGGTTTCTATGCGTTCCTCTCTTTATTGAGTTTGTTCTTTTTTCTATAATCTCTTTCTTTCAGGGTTAAACGAACCACACTAGCTGATGATGACAAGTTTTTACGAGCCTCAAAAGTCTTGAGAGCTTCTGTCTCAAAAGCTCTCGTTTTTTTCCTCCGCAGTGAGGATTAAGTATAGTTTGAAGAGATTTCCTCAGGGTTTCTATCACGGACCAGACGTATCTATTCGATTGAATTTGTTTTGTATAGAAACGTATCTATCCGACTGAGTTTGTTTTGTCTAAATCTTTTAGTTGCTTTTCAATGCGGCACTGCAGCTTCAGCTTGTATAATTACGCTCTCCACCTTATGCTTCTAGTTTTTCAATGATTGCAGAAAAGTAACGTTCCAAAAGTAATCCTCTTTCCGCTATTTCTTCGATTTTCACCCATCAGTAGTAGTTTCATACTAGTATGCATGAGAATGACAAAGAACCAAGTGTTAGTGGAGGTTGGAAGAGTTTTTTCTTCTGCTTAAGCTTTTCTGGAGGTGAGAATAGAGGGTTCCACTTCTTGTCTCACTCCTATCTTAAGAGATGATTTTTCGTTCATATGGAATAAGAAGCGTCAACAGTGCGCGCGTTGCGTATGCGCTGCGGAGGTACATATGGGAACCTGGCCGGGGTCCACACTATACCATGCACCTACCGTAACCCTCACTGCGACGTCAGAATTTGGTAGGACAGCAGCTGCGCTTGTAGCTTATTAATAACCAACGCAGTGGCAAAATTTGAGTGTGCCATGTTGAGTGAGAGGGAAGTTATGAGACCAGTTGCAAAACTTAGTTTCCAACCTAATATTTTGTCAGCTTTCTCGAAAACCTAACTTTTCGCCGAGACGACGTTTGATTAGCACAAGCATTTCAATTAGAAAAGCCAGCGACCCTGTTCATCAACGAACATTAGCGCTGGATAGGCTAAACTACGGTTATTCACGAGGCTAATGCGTTAGGCTATCAGTGGCCCTATTCATCAATGAACCTAGCCGGTAGGCTAACTCATGGTCAGCATTCATCAGCTGATGGATTTAGAACAGTGGGTACTCTCGATAAATACTGCCACTGGATGCAAAATCTATATTATTCAACCCTGAATCTCACGAATCTTCTAGATCTTAAAATTATCGAAATTTGATTTGAGCGGTCTCCTTTGCATTTTTGTCTCTGCGATCAGCTAATAGAAAGACTCCAAGGCATTCTTAAAAACACATTTTCTACTTCCAGCTAAATCACAGTCGTTGAGATTGCGAAAATATACGAAAATGGCAGGACTCAGTTAGAAAACAACCTTATATTGTCCTATATGTATATCACATGGTTTATTTTACTACATCAACCGTTCTTGCTCTCATGGTCTTACTTCTTTACCTCCAACGCATTTAAGTTTGTCTCAAAGAGAGGTGTACATGACTAAAAATGTTGTAATGCCCATTAATGGCTATCCCAGTTTGTTTACAATTATACCATCAAAAGCATTTGGAAACAATTGTCTCAAAACTCGTCATCGCATCACATTGGTATGATGGATATGTCTAGCTTGTTTCCCGATAGAACGAATACAAGCAGCACGTCAAAGAAAAATGTTGCATGCACAAATACGCAACACGAGGACAAGCTTCTGGCCTTCTTCCGTTGTTAAAAAAGAGGCTGATTAATCGTAAGGACTAGTTCGCTCCTAGTAACTACATCCCTCACTAATCCGGAATATCCAGTTTGTTTGCGTATTCTATGCTGAGAACATCTTAGATTTCGCTTCCGCAACAATAGCTACGCTATTGTGAACGAGTCGCCGATGACATAGATGACTTCTGGGAATTCTAGTGGATGCTATGTTTGCATACAAGAAACAACACATGGGCAAAATTACGGACAATGGAAATGAATTTAGAAGCTTCGTGGTCTCGAGCATTCTGCAGGATGTTTTGACTAAACAAAATGTTGCCTTTGCATCTCTAGCGAGGGCTCAGAACAATAATGGGAATCGACGCAAAAGTCAATGTTGACAAAAAACATCTACTTCGTCACACAATTATTCTCACTTTCTCAGCAGAAGAGAAGAGCCCCAATTAGCCGTTCATCTCAGTGCTATTGTAATAAAACTTTTTTCATATTCACTCGCTTAATTGTTAGTCTACATTGAAAAAGTCCTCTCATACTTTTACTTCTTCTCCTACTCGTTTCTTTTGCCTTCAAAATAGTTAAAACTCACTGGATTTTACTTGAGAGGTACCTTTTTCTTTTTTATCTTCATCCCATATCCCGGTCCTCCACACATGCTCACGCACATGTTGTCGCAATATTTCCGAAATACTACATCACCCCCTACTTAGCCCTCATACCCATGATATCCACTGATTGATTGATTCACTTGCTTCATGATTCATTTGCTCATCCCGCTTCATAATTAATTACCAGCTAATTGATTCTGTTGAGTAGGAGCCAGTACAACCGCCCACAATTAAGAATAAGAAATCTCGCTTTTTGGAAAACAGATCCCCTTTTGTGAGACAGCGAGCCAGTGGGCACTAGGTGACATATCCTCAAAGAAAAAAGGGTGGACTTAGAAGTTTTAAGCATGTTTGAAATTTGTTAGCAAGATGGAGAGATTTGTCAACGTTCACGGGGGGCGGCAAAAATTTTTTTCAAATGAAGGTACGTGGCATCAGCCACGCACTCCGAAAAAATTTTAGGGGTTCTTCTCAAAAATTCTGCGGGTCCCCGGCGTCAGCCAAGCCCGAAGGCCCTCCTCCCCCACCTCCTTCCCCTCGGTCTGCCACTGGTTCACAGGCTGTCCATCGATGCTAAGCCTTGCCAAATGCTCTTCAAAATTCTCAGAATTTATTAGTTCTTTTTTCAGTAGAAAAACTGAGTGTGAGTTATCAACTCTGAAACAGCAATTAGTGAACAGTGCTTCAAGACTTTCCCTCTCAACAGCTACATTGGTCAGAGCTAGTTTCACCGAGGATCGCGGCTAATCATAGAATCAAAAACTGCGCAAAGCCATGTCATGCATGACTGGTATACTGGTTGTTGTCCAATGACCACGGTTACAAAACATGTAAATAATTTCTCTATATTATTTTCCTATCTTTATCCATATCCACTAACTTCGCTTCGAATAGCGTGCTTTCAAAGTCACAAGTTCTTTTTTCAAGACTTTCGCCATAGTCTGCGCTCTTATGATTACTGTATCCCAATAAACAATATCACATCAGCTCCAGACTATGCGACTCCTTTGGGTGATAGCCGCCGTTGTGTCCGTGACGACCGCTGATTTACCGTCATGTGAACGAGCAACCTGTGACCACTGTAATGTCGAATTCATCGCAAGGATGTGCGAAAGGACATGCCAAGCTTGCCCGCGCTCTGTTGTTGATCCGCGCACAGTAAGCATAAATCTTTGAAGATCACTATCAAGTGCACTTTCCGCTCAAAACAGTCCTTGCCCTGTGGAGATTTCGTTGCCAAATTTGCGCGCGAACAGATAGCCACGCCAGTAATGCAGGTAATTTGTAGTCTGCGCTAATTTGCGCGCGCGCAAGTGACCGACATTACAGGCGTAACTATTTGTCTACGCGCAAACTTGGCAAAAAATCTCAATACCACAAGCACACCATATCAAGCGAAAGATCTAGCGAATTTTATAACTGATACCCAAAGTAAAGAAAGCATACCAACATCCTAACATTCAGGGTAACAGGTTGAAACTCTACACTGAGCAAAGTAGGCAGCCACTCCCGACCGCAAATGTCAACGTTCCACAGCGGCAAAACGTCGACTTCAGAAATGTGGTTCGGCAAGCGGGTGTACCCACACAACCACAGCAACCAGTAAGTCCATCTTCTAAGTTAGACTGGTTGGATTGCATACTGACGAATTCTAGGTTCCCGCCTACAATCCAGCACTCGTCCAACTGCCAAGACCGATGCAACTGGCCACGCCGCAAGCACAAGTAGCCCCAATCCAATATCCTGCTCCCGCCGGTATATCAACTCTTGCACCTATGATTCCCCCTCCACGACCTACCGATATTAGTAGCAGTCTATCTCGTCAACCAGCTGATTTGGCTCAACCACTTCCAGAATATCAACAAGGCGCACAGGGTGCATTCCCCTACAGCCAACCGCAGACGACGCAATTTCAACTGGCCGCACCCGCACAGCAACAATCCTTCCCCACCGCCGTCAGCAATGTTCAACAACCCGGGATGACTGACTTATTTGGAAGACCGCTGTTTTCTTCGCAACCGCAATCCAGTCCCATCTTCAACCCATTCCAACCGTTTATGACACAGGTATCTCTACAAGCAGCTCACTAAATCTAAAAGCGACAAGGGATATATAATGTGCAAGCAATTAACCACAAGGTGATGGTGCTGTTATTCGACAGTATTAACGGATTTCTACGCTAACGGAACAGTAACTGGGATGGACAAAAACTAATGAAGTATCAGTTAGTTTGCTCATTACTGAGTTTATACATAATGAAGATGCTAGGCGTTGTGAATGTATTGAACATCACAAGAAGCATTGTAGCACATAAGATCAATGGACGATGGCTAGCACTATTATTGAATTAGAGAGTATAAGAATTACCACCGAAACGAGCCAAAGTTCATAAAATTAGCCCACTATCAAAACATCAAGAAATCAAAAGTATGATTAGTTTGATAGCGAATTCTTTGACATTCCTTCGCGTTCTTTGCTTTTGTTAATAAGGATTGTCTTCCTGATTTTCTATATAAGATGTGTTTCAAACATCATATCATTCTCTTTGCCTAACTGCTACGTTGTTACTATAACTGCGGATTTTGCTACATACTTTGTTGAGATAACTAGTAAAGATGAGAAAAATTCAAAGTGCACCATGCACGTAGTTTATAAAAGACAAACAGAGATGGACAAAATGGATAGATGATTATTTTTACTTTGCTTCGAAAAAGAATATGTCCGGCAGATGTCGTCATTAGCAAATTCACGCTCGATGTGCGCAGTTTAGATGGTATTCTAAAAGAGAAATAAACATTGACATTATTTTTTTTCAGATTTCAAGAATCACATTTTGCGAAAAATTTCTACATTCAACCCTGTCAAATAGGAAAAAATTCGTCACTCTTCCGCACCCTCACGCCCCCATGAAAGTTTTTTTGGAACCTAACGCAAGCTGAGCATGTGAATCTGATAGCTAGCGTAAGCATTTCTAGCAGAAGGCTTAGGGATGATTACTGCGAAAAAACAGTAAAATTTTTGTAGAACAGGTGTTAGAACTGATGAAGTGACAGCCCAAAACCGCCCGACCATAAAGTTGCGCGATTTTGCATAGGACATGTCATCAAGTAGCACGTTTTCTTTTTGAGTTCCCATAAGTTAGAATGTTTACAAAAGCTGAGAGCATCAGTGTGATTTAGACAGCTTTTAGTTTCTTTCCATTATGAAATGTTCACGTACCTTTGGTTCAACTGCCCTGGCGCCTAAGGCGAGGATTTGTGACCTAATTAAAGCCGCTCGCGCTCGCTATGCAGTTTGCCTCTCTCCTGCGCGCGTGCTCTTTGATCATTACCTAGCCTCAATTAGGTCAGAAGCCCCGCTTTCCAGCCGCCAAGCCAGTTGAATTGAAGCGTATTTGTTCTCCATAAAAAGTACAAACGCACTGGTGATAGTGCGTTGCTAGAATTTTGGGCGCCGCTAGCGCGGTGACCTCAAAAAATTGTGCAAATTTTGCAGCAACTTTCTAACGTCACTACAAGCTGTAAGACATATATTTGGATTGAGCACTTCGAAGCTCTTGATATGAATACAATACCCAAATAAAAATATCTAACAAGGAGAGTATACCTAGGCGAAGGCACCATCCAGATTAGACATATATCATCTTAAAGCGCTTGCAACGCTGATTCAAATTATACTAGCAGCGGAGCGATCTTGTAGAAGGAGTTTTCGACTTTTGTCTATGAGCAATATAGAAACTCAAAATGGTATCGACTAGCATAGTGGTAAGTAATTTGAATGAAGGTGACAATAATGATTATAATACTTGTACTGCTTTGGTTTTTCAACACTTCTAACTTCGATTAGCATCAATATCATCACAAATATCAGGCTTTAGTGCTCCGAAGCCATTTGAAAGCTCAATTTTGCAAAAATTGCGATAAAGTTGCATGCGAACGGATTGAAACCTTGACACTCTCATTATCAAGCAAGTCACTTACCACTAGACCAGTTGCCACCAGTCTACACTCCTCTATAGTGCTCACAGATAAAGGAGACCTGCTGGGGGGGAGGGGGGAGCTAAACCTCAGAGGGAAACCCCTCTCATAACTCCTTCTAGAAAACCGTTCCGCAGCTGGGAACTATAGATTCAGAATCAGCGTTTCAAACACTTCAAGATGATGTCTCATTTGCATTTGTACTTTCAACTAGGTACCCTCTCCTTGTAAGCTACTAATTTGAGATACGGGACACGTTGTCGTCTGTTTATATACCACTGCTAATCCTGATGCGCATGAGATCATCATAGGGCTGATAGAATTGCTGAAGAGAGTGCAAAAACTGATGATAAGCAATTTCGGATTGCTCTCGCAATGTTGATACAAAGATGGGGATCTTGAGAACTTAAGCTGAGCACCAGGCTTTCTCGCCCTTTGCAGTTATAAGCCAATCGACTATACGATGGTGGGAAGCCTCAGTCTCTCACCTCACCTCGCAAGACATTGTCCTCTCTGCTCATAATCGTGTCTCTTTTTATGCTTTCTGTCTGTTTTTGTGCTTCTTCTCCCATGCAAAGACTAATTCAACACTAATTTGTCATTTCAATGTCAAGGGCTTATCGAACTGCATTAGGCATGTCCTCTTTTTTGAAGCAAACCTGAATACTTCTATAGAGATTTTCAAAAAAAGAATTGAGAAGAGACTGCAGTTTCTCTCTCCACCATGTTTTGGCATTGACTGCTTAGCTCATTCGCGCTAGTTCAGCCAGGGGTGAAATTGTACAAATAGGAAGAGTATGCGGTGGGAGAATGAATAAATAGATAAAAGGAAATGAACATTGGCCAACTGATTCGCTCGCAGTTTCAAATGCTTAGTCTTTGACATTATAAACGGCATATACTCTGATGTCAGAGATCAGCGCAAGGGACGCTTCTCAGAAGCAAAGGAAAACGAACCACATTATAACAAAAGTATGTGATTGATCATCATTTTCCTGTCCGTGAATGAACACAAAAGTTCAACAAGCGGTATCAAATGTTCGCATCATTTTGACCAAGAAAGGCTCATAAACATGCGCATTTGTAGAAGATACGCTCTCCTGTACCTCTAATGCTAAAAACACTAGATGGTTTGCACTTATATAGAAACATTTGAAATCGGCCAAAACAAATTGAATTTGGCTCTTCCCTAATCTGCGGTAACTATAATCATGAACTTGAATCGACTATCACTTTTATGACAGTCTGTGGGATTGCTGCACAAGACATTGCAAAATCAACTACAGCATGTTCGACTGATTTTAAAGATAATTGAGAAACTTAGGCTGCTACAGGAGGATCACAACATTCTCTCCTCGATCCCCTCGGCCTCTTCAACATGGCAGGAGTAACGAATTTTCAGGTAACTACAAAAAGGTAAAGTACGAATCTATTATGTACAATTTTAGGGAACATCGCCACCTCAGGTAACACAACCTCATTTCACCCCACAAGCACGCTCATTCGGACCAGCTCCTTTCACTAGTCAACAACCAGCTCAGAGCGCACCTCAGCCGCAGCAGACGTTGCCAGCACCTTATTATAACCAAAAGCCAGCACAGACAAGCCAACAAAACGTGAATGTACAGCCAGCCCGAATTTACACAAATCAACCGCAGCAACAAAACTACCAAGCATACCAAAATGCGCAACAGATCGCCTATCGTCCAAACACGAATCCACAACAACAACTTCCACAACAGGTATGTAAATAGAAACAGTGTCTACAGGGTGACCGATAAGTATGGACGTCACATTTCTGGTTGCAATATTTTTATCCAAACCCAAGTTTTGCAGAATTATTTTCGCAAGTCAGAAACAGAGACAATCTAATGTGTTACTTCTGCAAAACTGGTTTCCTATAGATGCATAGAGGTTTCAGCAGCTAAAGTTGAAGCTAAAGTGTCAAAACGCTATGTGAAGAAGTACCCATTGCGGACCTATGGCGATAACCCACTTACGATTTGACTACATCCTAAGGCATGAGATTTTGTAGAGCATAGTTTGGGGAATAAGATGGTGCCTTGACATTAGTGATTTCTCCATTCTATGAGGGCATACGTTACTTTGAACATGGTGCTGGCTGAGCAGTGACTGAGTGAGTGGTCGCAGACTCCGGAATCCCTTTTCTACAAGAAGGCTTCAGTTCATGCGATTTTCTATATCTTGATATATAAAATTCGTATAATCTCAAGGCATATTAGCTGTCATCTATATAAAACCAAAATTGTCACTTCGGAGGGTATGTGCCTGATAGAAACGAGCGCCGCTCAACCAACTGAGCTGAAACTTTGATATACATGTTTTCGATCTCTGCGCAGATAATAGGGTACTTTTTACGGCGATTCGTTGGATCCTTCTATCGATTCATTGATTTGCCTACATTTTTCTAACAAGGGAATGGTCAGAAGTCGAAGTGGCCAATCCATACAAGCTGCATTCCATTCGATGCAGCATAGAATGCTGATTTCAAATCTGTATTCCATATCTGCAGAGCGCCTTTGTAGGCGAAGTTATGAGCAGCTTTACTGCGGAAGAATCGTGTATAAAAATTGCGAAGTTAGGCACATTATTGCTCCTTCAGCTCACCTCTAGGTACGAATCATATGATGTGGCCTAGTTGCATGGTTTGTTCCAGCACTGGGCCGAGAATGGCTTTGTACGGCCAAGTTTGCATTTTACATGCGCAGTTTCTTAGCAAAATAATGGCCTTCAACGGCTTATAATTTCGTCCACAAAAGCGCTCTGCAGATAAGGAAAACAGATTAAGAGTCAGCGTTTTAAGCTGCATCTAATGGTATGCACTTTGTATGAATTGGCCACTTCGACTTCTGACCATTCCCTTGTAAGGAAAATGAAGGCTTATTACAACCGAACGTTTTCCCATAGGGCCCCGAGCAGACTTCACGCGATTTAGTCGTCGTGACTGAGTCGCGACGAGACAACTGTTACAACATCATTTCATGCCGATCAACTTGCATTCGGTTGTGATACTTTTCCAGCCCGAAATTTTTGAATGTGAAATGAAAATGAATGGAAATCTTGGCGCATAGATCGCGACGATTAAGTCGCGTGAAGTCTGACCGGGGCCATAGTCAGTGAACGAGGGCGGTTAATCTCATTTCCACCTCAGGACCATGAGATGCGGTATCGAAGTAGATGTCTTAAGGCAAGTCATCCATGACATGGAAGAGGGGAGAGGGAGGGGAGGGGGAGGGGAGGGGGGGGGGGACTCGCAGTGCAGTAATCTTGCTGACAACCTATAGCATCTATCCCAGAGCCTGAACAATGACCCGGGCTGGACCGGGAAAGCCATCTAGTAATACAGTGTTCCCAGAAAAGACATTAGTAACGCCCATACTTACCGGCCACCCTGTAGGCAGATCTCCGTCAATAAATTTCTCATTTCCGGACCTTCTAGGGATGCAGAGATTGAAATGCGCTTTGAAAGTTGTGAAAATGTCAGAGTAACTTAATTTAACGTCGGAGATATTGTTTGGGTAAGGATCACAACCTCTGAGGCGCATATTGGACTCACGACCCCTAGAAGTTCTAGAGAAACCCAAAGATCTAGAACAGCTCAAGGCAACTGGGAGTCAACATGTTGACTTCATATTTTCTTTTTAGGCAAACATAGCAACACCGCGTTACCAAACCAATCAAGCACCAGTTCTGCAACAATATATGCAGAACCAGGTCGGTATCATAGTATTTTCTTCCATTTACCATCTTCATTATTTTTTAGATAATTGATTCGCCACAGCGATCTCAAAGCATTGATGCAGCACCCATAAACGTACCAAAGTATGTAGATGGTAAAGGTGCCGTACCAGCACCACCTCCACTAACGGTGAGGAGTCACTTCGAATTAAGAGAGTATTTGTAAACAAAAAAATCAATGTCTCAGTCGATTCCAAGATGTTCGAAATAACGATCGCTCATAGCTTGAGCTGTGTCTAGAGGTGCTTGTGTAAGTCCCACTAGCACGGCGCTAGCACGGTTACCTCTGGACTCAACCCAAGAATCTATCACAATTCATTAAAGTGAAAAAGTATTTAAGTTCAAAATTCAGTGCCCTCGTCAACCTGGTTGGGGTCCATGCATATCGAAAGAATTGGCAAATCAGAGATTCGCACGATGCTGTTCAAGACTAGGCGACGGATGTATACCTCTTTGCAACTACGACGCACCACTATCCACTGTAAATTAAATTCATCCCGTCAGACGCAGATGGCAATGCCAAGAAACTGTTTCAGATGCAATTGGCAGTGCTAACAGGAAGATGTCCACTTAATAAGATGGCGGACATTATGGTCTGCGCATCAGGCTACGAAGATGCCACAGCCTGTTGCGAAGCGTACAATGTCTTTGAGCCTGGATATGAACAGTGCCGACCTTACTGCAATCCCGCAGCAGGACTTCCACAAGGAGGATTATTGTCGGAAAAGTACAAGTGCCTAGCAAAGCTGTCAACTATCCAGCAGTGCTTCTACGTCTCTCAGAAACCCTGAACTGTACGTAGAAAATAGTTGTGAGTTTCAACTATTTAGCCTACTTTTGTTAGCCGAGCCTTGAAGGGAACGATACTTAGTGTCCGTGGCCTTTTGAGATAAAATGTAAACCATTATACTCGTCTCGAAACGCTGATTCCGAACCTGACTTCCGTTTCTGTTAAACGTTTCTCTGAAAGGAGTTATATAGGATTTTCGAGCCAAGTTTGGCCACCCGAGAGAAATATGATCGGAGTGCCGGATACCTCTGCTGGGCTGTGGTGTAGTGGTTAGAGCGATAGTCTCATAAGCTGATGCAGGTGTGGGTTCGAATTCCTTTGTGTTTTTAAGTTTTGCATTGCCTCACTTAATCTTCTCTTGAAGGTCAGGCATCCTCGAGATAAATGCATGCCCTTCCTCTTCAAGAAATATGGAAAATTCGGAGAAATAATTACTGTTTGTCTAAAATGTATCTATCAATCATTCGAGTAAATTTACTCGAGCAAAAACTGTGGTATGCCGCATGCTACCTTGATGAGCATCCTAATCATTTCCAAACCCTAGTAGTGAGTGCGAGAAAGCCAACTGCATCGACTTATTCTTTATCCGGCGCGCTCATTGCAAGGATCTCCCATGTTTTGATCACTGTATCATAGATTTCCATCACTGAGTTACATGATTTTTCATTCATTTTCTTTTTTGTAAGCACCTTTTAGAATAAATATAGGAAGCATTCATTTGAAAATGACTCTTCGTTGGTTTTTTTTGAGTAAGGGCATGCATTTACCTCGAGGATACCTAACTTTTAAGAGAAGATCAAAAACACAAAAGGGCTCGACCTGCACCTGCATCAGCTTATGAGGCCATCGCTCTAATCACTACACCACAGCCACCAGAGGCACCTGGCACTTCGATCGTATTTCCCTCGGGCGGCCAATTTAGCTCGAAAATCCTCCATAACTCCTTTCAGAGAAACGTCCAGCAGAAACGGAAGTCAGATTCGGAATCAGTGTTTCGAGACGAGTATAATGGTATACATCTCATCTCAAAAGGCCACGGACACTAAGTATCGTTCCCTTGTTAGTCTGCGCCCAGAGTTTGCGTGTTAGCGGCATTCCACGGCCGTGCTGACGCCAGCCGGAACTCGATCGATCATTACGGCCCATAAGGGTTCCCGCATGGCGGTAGTGGGGCAGCAGGCGCTGCAAATGCAAGGCAAGCGCTGGAACGGCAGTGGCACGGCGCTGGAACAGCGTTACCACTGCGCCAGCACATAAGCAACTCTAGACGCTGCCTCACTTCAAGTCAACCGTGGGAGATATTGCAACAATCTTTAGTATTTGTATAGCCTTATCAACCACAATGACTGATTGAGGCTTGTTTTCCAGATCAAATCCTCTAGTTCACCACAGCAACTCCTAGCTTTTCCTGACACAAATCAACTCCACAAATTCAACAAGTGACAAATTCTCTCCAACCTTATCCAGAGTTCGGCTAGAGAAGCAGATTTTACTACTAACCAGATGTCTTTAATCACAGTGCAATTGTCTTCGGTTCTTAATCAATAATGCGAAAATCATGTGCCATTTTTGGACAATTGTTCGCTAGCTATTTAATATCCACTAATAAATATAGAAATATTGACTCACATCTGTAAAACGCCGGACTTCTCCAGAGGGACGACACCGTTCGGGTGATAGCTCATAGCTCCAATAAGGCAAAAATAATACATTGAGGCTCCGTCGGCCAGATTTTTCACAGAAAACACATCATTACCGGTCGACAACTGCAAATAATTCAGAACAGACAGTACTGATGTTGCTTATGACTGGTGATTTTCACTATCCACAAGCGCAAAAAAATTTTGTTATATGGTATGCATAGACTCTATGGGAAACAAAGATAGCGCCGTTTTTTAGACCTTTCTGAAACCGTTCAAATGATGATAGACAAACACTTTAAAAAGTATCCGATGCAGAATTTCTTCCTATTTCCAGCAGCTATGTTTCCATTGTGACTGCTGCGACGAGCGCTGAGATAATTGCCAAAACTAAAACCCTTCATTTTTATCATGTCTAACTTTCGCTAATTTTCAGAATTTTCATTTTAGAGTTTTGAAGAAGCTTCTAATAACTTCCTGATAAGTCAAACGTTTTTCAAATTAAAGCAATTTTTTGCATTTTTCCATCTTCCTATTTGGAACTTTGCTGAATTATTTTACCAGAGAATTGAATTTTGAAAAGATAGCGTGACACATAATTGCACTAAACACTGCGAAATCCTCAGACTTTTGAAGTTCCAAAACTCGTTTATCACTATCACTAGATTAAGATGTAAATGAGCGATTACGGCGTGAAAATGGGTAGATTTTGAAATTTCGACTACTTCCTTGCGCACCCGTAAGATTGGGAAGTACAGCGATTTTGTTTGCAAAGGTCGCATGTTTCGCGAAGAAAAGGTAGTTATCAGAAAGAGGAGAAAACGATGCATCGAATGATACCTAAACTGTTCAACGTCTGATGTTTTGCGAGCTATAATGAGCCAAAAAAATTTGGTCACTTCAGAAAATGTATTTTGGTAATTCTAGAAAGCATGCCAGAGAGATGCAAAAAATTGCATTAATTTGAAAAAGGTTTCTTATCATGGTTATTAGGGCAACTTCAAAAGTATAAAATGAAAATTCTAGAAATTAGCGAAAGTCAGACATGGTGAGAATGAAGGGAAAATGAAGTTTTTGGCAATTATCTCAGCGCTCGTTTGAACAGTCACAACGAAAACAAAGCTGCTGGAAAGAGGAAGAAATTCCGCATCGGATAGTCTTTAGAGTATTTGTTCATCTTTACTCTGAATATTTGAGAATAGGTCTAAAAAACCGCACGAACTTCCGGACCCCCTTATATTAGGGTGAGCTCGGAAATGCCATTAGTGAAATACCCAAACCATACGGGAAGATCTTTCTTTTCGAAAGGGTCATTCACATTTAATCTGTGTTAGACAGCGTTCGGGGATCCTGTGCCGGTGCCGCCGGATCGCATTTCCGTGCTAGCGCCGTGCCGTGACCACGTAGATGATCGTCGACGTTTCCGCCCGGGCTGACACGGCGCTAGAACGGCGCTGGCGCGGGCAACTCTGGAAATCTGGTAGCCTCAGAAGTAGATCTTCATCTTCTACACCAAAATCTAACTTGGGCTTTAAAAAATTGCGTTTGATAAGAAAGTTAATCTTTGAGGTTCAATCTTTATGAAATTTTGAGAAAGGCTTTACCTCTTGTAAAGCATCCGAGAATTCGCTAGCATACTTTGTAAGCACTTGCAAAAACTTCTCTTCAATACTGGACAATTCCAATGCTGTCACTATAGCACTGCGAGCGACCACAAGCGTGAACCTATCTTGGTTCCAACTTCGATGAAGACCACTCCGAGGAGACAAAGCCATCATCATCTTCAATAGCTAATTACAGCAACAGAGATTCAAATCATAGCTATGTACCTTCTCAAACAGACTGACAACTCTGTCCATACAGTGTAAGCTTACAAATTCTCTGCTTTTCTCTTCGAGTTTTTTTCCAAATGCAGGCAACGTAAGTATTTCACCACCAGTTTCCTCTTTTTTCTTCAACTCGTCAGGCAGTCGACTAAACAGTAGAGCTGCAGCACCCCAATTGATTCCGCCGCTGTCACCAATGGTAGCTTCTATCACTAACGAGAGCAGAGTAGAAGACTCTGCACACAGAAATTATTCGGACATCTGACAAGCTTAAAACAGCACGTGCATACCGTTACAGTTAGAGATAGGGGATGTAAGTGGCTTCGGTGCACAGAAAAATAACGAATAGTGAGAATCAGCAGCAGGTTCCAAAGCTGCACTAGTGATCGAGCATTTATTAAGCATGTCGAAACGATGAAGAATCATTGCAGCGTTTCTAAAGCATTCGCGCATTCAGAATGAAATTTCTGAAAACACTAAAACAAAGTGAGATATACCCCGAATGGAAGAATGTGAAGCGGTCAACTTCATCTGGATCATAGTAGCCATGTGTAGCAGCAGCAGCTTTGCTTTGAGCCAATGATTCGCAGGCAGACTGTACCAGTGTTGGCATAGATAAAATCGTCGCTCTCCAACAATAAGGCATAACAGCCGGTGTCTAAAACTTGCTTGTATTTGGTGAAGAAGACGAGTATGAAGTGCGCAAACTGCTGTGAACATTCATATTAAGGCCCCTACAAAGAAGTTATCGTCTGCCGAATCTCACACTGGTCAATTTTTTTCCAGCAACAGACTAGTACTTACATTGAGTATATTTAACAAAGCGAAAAGGAAAGCGCGCTAAGGCTGATGAAACCAAATCTTTCAAGATTTTGAGGCTTGCCTATCACCATGTCTTTTAACTCGAAAATTTTTGTATTTATATAGGCAAGTCTAAAAGATCGAAATAGAAAACCCAAACTTCTTATTAAAGTTGCGTCGCAGTATTTTGAGTGTTCCAGCTGGGTCACCGCTTGATTATCTGTCTTATTAGCAAAAACCACACTTGCACATCTGCATGAATAAAGCTGAATGTTGTTTGTATGTCTGAATATGTATGTGTGTATGTGCGTACGTATGTTCCGCATAGAAAGTTTTAGTTCGAAACCGATCCGGACCAAACTTTGCACATGTACACTTCAGTGTCGTAGGTTTGAATCGATCGATACCGATTTTATCGTTTTGCAAAGTTTCACATACGAAATTGGGAGCACAGGAGAGGGGGGGGGGGGGCGGGAGAGGGGAGTAAGTGGGCATGCCGATTACGAAAATATCAAGGACGGGAAGGGCCGGGTTTGCCAGCTGGTCCATAAGAGAAATATAAGTCCATAATTCTAAAGGACCTAACACAAGAGCCTTCGCCAGATACTGTACTCGTAAGCACATTCTGAAAAAATTCAGAAACTTTGTCTGCAATCAATGCATCATTCCGTCCGAAACCGCTGGTTCAAGCACTTCAAATAAAGTATGCAAAAGTTGTCCAGAAGACTGAAGTCGCCGACTGCAAAGACGACAATCTTTGTACATTCTTATGGTAGAACGAGTGGCATCAGAGTAATCTAAGGATGTTTGATGCTTATAGATCCCAAACTGCGGCTACTGCACGGTAGTCGTAAAAAGTTGGTCCAATACTTAAAGCAACAACCTCCAATCTTCACAGTTTCTAAATCGGTATTTTCTTACATGATGAGATACCCAAGCAACATCAAACTAATTTTGGAGATTTCGACAATGAATATCCGGAGTTACCTGCAGAGCGGAGTAGAGCATGATGAATGTCAAAACATTTCAAACACTAACAGTCATGCAACACAAATTCGCACTTCGCTGCCTCATTTGAGCTACAGAAATTTCAATAGCTAATTTTATCGAAGTTGCGCTTATTTTGGCCCAAACAAGCCCTCACAGTCCTCGCCCGAAAACGCTGCGCAGATAATAGAGGCAGATTGGAGTCAGCGCATCATGCTCTCCGAAGTGGTTTACAAATCAGAGTAAGAGGCCTCTTCGATCAACCATCCTTCCTTATTAGGCAGATTGCTGCATAAATTTAATTATGCCATTTTCTCTTGGCAAAAACTACAACAGCTGAATCTCGGAGTCCCTCAGAGCTACTTTGAAGCGCTCTTAGCACTAACAAATTTGAGAGATAGGCTTTTGCGTCTGAGTTTGGTCAGTTCCAGTTTTCAGTTTACTTGTTTTCAGCCTTTTAAAATCAAAAGTTCCTCGGTAAATTTGCTTGCAAGGATGGAAACTCTAGTGCACCACGGTTAGCATTCACAACGCTGTAATAAATGGTCCACTAACAATGTACAAAAAATTCTCCTCCAACACAAACACCTCTCACACTTAGGTAAAAACCCGGATTCTGATTCCTTTGTTTCCTATTAGGCACGATAAGTAAGCATATACCATAACTTAGGTGGCAAAATCAAGAATATCGAATAATCGAATTTCGAATATTTTCAGAAACAAGCAATGTCTAATATCCGATCAAATATTTTCGAGGTGAAAGAATCCCGAATAATCGAATATATTCGAAAACAGAATTCGATTAAACGAATATATCGATTAAAGGCAGTGTCTCACCAAAGTTGAGGTCGCGCGGATCTTCACGTATTCTATTATAGGGACCTCTAAATAGGCCATTGCAACAAGCCCCACTCTATTTGGCCCCCTCCATGCTGAGAAAAATTCGCTCAAAGTGGTACGCGGAGAGCGAGTGTACGCACGGACGACTCCTTCGGTCTCCCCCCTTACGCGTTTGAACATGTTCCTCCACTTGGCATCCACCTCCCCATTGTTGCTGCCACTGTGGCTGAGGCTGAAGTTGGAAGACACAACTCGTCCACGTTGCTTCCGCGGGGCCTTCAGAAAACGGGGATTTTGGGGACCTCGTGCGATTTTAGGCCCATATAGTGCTAGACAGGGTCCGACAGGCTTGCAAAATGCAAAAATCTCGGCAACTAAATTTTGGTGAGACACTGCCTTTAAGTCGAATATTCGAACAAATTTTGATCGAATTAGCACAGTGAAGTATGTAGTGGGCACCCCACAGAAAGAAAAAAAATTTTGCAAAGCCACTCATAGACACTGAATAATCAGCTCTAAAATCACCGGAGAGATCAGTGGGAATGGAGGAATATCAGCGATGACAAAATGGATAAAGGGATACATGTAAGATGTAATATCGGACACAAGAAGCTTGATGAAGAAGGTAAAGTTACAGAATATTGAAGTTTCCCATAGACACTTACCGCCTTTAAGACATCTGCGAGGAACAATGTTGCCTTAGTTCCGCTACTCGAGTCCGGCTGTGATACAATCAAGCGCGCAAGAGACTATGACAATTTATTCATCATTGATACAGCTTACTGTAAAGCACAAGACAACTCACTTGAACAATCCCAGCATTGATGAGAATCATAGCAGCTAATGACCGAAATGAAGCCAACAAGTCAACATGCCGAGCACAGTCCTAACAATATGAACGACACGTGCAAGATGATACAAAGAGCAGAATACCTTATCGTTAGCTATGCATATGTCAACTTGAGCAAGCACAAAGTCATCTTTGAGAGAATCGCAAAATTTATCCGGGACAGCCCTGGAAGCTGAACGGAAATATATTATTCAACTTGGCGAAAAACATATTCGTCATAAAATACCATAGTACTCCAAGGCGCTGTTCCAGTCACCGAAATTTTTACAGGCATATGGAAGATTCATTAGCTCACAGCAAATGGTAACAATCATATCACGAATACGCGATAAGTTGGAGTCATCCACCGTGCCCAAACCCAAATACTCCACTAGCCTAAAACCATATTTCTGCAATCGATTCAAAGGTGATGAGGCGTACCATGAGCTCAATAATAGAAGAAAGTTTGCAGTCATCAGTTTTTAACTTTAGAATCATTGTTCAGCACTGCTTATCTGTGGTAGTCCCAAAACCATTCAACTTTCTCAGTGAGCGTTCATAGCCACTCGTGATCCACATGGGATCCGGTCCAGAGCGTTCGGTTAACGCACTTTGAGTTTCATGATATAAAATGGAGGGGCCCTAACTATACACTCGCCCAAGTCTCACTGCAAAAGTTGTACTCCAGAGCGAAAAAACCGCTCAGAAGGTATAAGTGGCCCACCCTGACTTCATCAACGTGGGCGTCCGTAGCTACAAGTCCCGTACTGAACTTCAGGGTAGACAGACAGGTTGTAAATCTGATGATCGAAATGAGAGGCGGCTCTAATGACAGTTCACAATGAAGTCCCGGTGGACTTGTTATTTTCATCTCTAGTCACCCAAGTTTATGGGCGGAGCTAGCGTAGCCGCTTCTACCATCTGTACGGTTTCCTCGCTTTGATTTCACCTTTTGCAGCAAGACTTGGACGATTGGTTACTTGGAGGCTTCGCTATCATAGAGCATCAGAATCTCAACACTTTCAACTTGGGTGGAGGGTGTGCTTAAAAACGTTGTGTAAGCAGATAAGACTCTCGACATGTGAAAGAAGTACTGCCAACCAGTGGCCGTATCGTATTCATCATCAAATCCTGAAGGCGAACCCTACCCTTGAGGGTAAGTTTTGCCCAAGTAAGCGATTAACCTGTATTCACGAAGCACAGGGTACGCCTAACCTCAAGAGTCAAACATACCTTAAGGGTAGGGTTCCCCGGAAAGCGATTAACCCCTATTCATCAACGAACCCTAAGAGCAAATCCTACCTTAGGGTAAACCTTACCCCAGAAAGAGATAAACCCGTATTCATGGATGTGGTTCATCAAGCTAAATTCAACGTAGCACAGAGCAGGTTAACACATCCACGACAAAGCCGATTTTCGATTACTGCCGTTTCGGACCGAGCCATTTTCGCTATGTCAAACTTACGACCCACTTGTGGGTCGTATTGTCCGAAATGGTAGTTTTTTAGAATGTCTCCGAGAATATCCCCACAAGGGTTATCGAAGGCGCTGATTGTCGAAATCAAAACATATTTTATTCCAGTTTTTGGCATTGTACGGTAAGGTTACGATAGTCAATCAGTACGAACCCAATATCATGCATTTTAATGAAAAATTGTGTTTTGGGATTATTTTATCTATGCACGATTATAGTGTCCACTTTGTTCACTTCTTTCATACAGCGGGACTACGGTAGCACCACGGTAGGATTTTTATAAAAATCAAACTGATGTAAGAAGGCGATATTAGAACCTGAGACTGTCATTCTGGTAATCAGCATGCTAGAAAACCTATATATGTAAGGTTTGAGCTTCCCGAGAGAAACAATGCAAAAAACCGATAAAACCGGTTGTTTTTTGGGCTAACATCAGTCTTGCCACTTTCGCAACTCGTCCAAACAACATCACTTTTCACGTCTGAAAAGCGGGTTATTGATATCTTTTGAAGCTGCAAAGCACAGCCTTGGACTTAGCCCATCCAGGGGAACCGGAAATGACCGCTACCCCAAAGTTGTCATTCTGCCCGCCGCTGCCTTTAAGCTTACCCTGACACTTTGTGTCTGTCGATGCACCACGCAGTCCTAACGATACTGTTTTGACAACAAACACATATCCATAACTTACCATACTTTGTTCACGTATCAAAGCATAATGAGAGTATGTTGATGGATTGAGATTTGATTGAGGGCGCTTCATATTATGAAATTCTCTTCCAACTTGTATACGCTATCACAGCTGAGCTTTGTTGAAACAGACTGCTATTTGTCGTTGAGCTTGATGCCATATCAAAGCCTTTAGCTGGACATGTATTTTATTCAAAACTAGATTTTTTTACTGTAACAACTCGGCTGGATATAATACCGGATGATCACATCAAACGAAAAAGGCCGTGAGAGATTTGAGATGATAATGACTGTAGATATGCGTTTGTTGACACTGTATCGCTAGGACTGAATGGTACAATAGAGATCACTTTATGTTTGTACGAAATGTCAAAATTTATCCTAGCTGTTTGCCAGGGTTAAATTTACCCTGATGAGCTACGTTCAATGAACACGGGTTGATCCCTTTCTGGGGTAGGTTTACCTTCAACGGGTTGATCCCCTTCTGGGGTAGGCCTCACTCTTACGAGGGAAGGATACTCGGTGACCGTGACCTTTTGCAATGAGATGTATACCAGTAGGTGTGTCTTGGAACGCTGATTCTAAATCTATGTTCATTGCCTGCTGTGCGACTCCCTGAACGAAGTTATGGACTTTTTTCCATATTGATTTTGCGAGATTTAGGCAGTCAAAATCGTCAGTATCCCAGCTTTTTAGACTCTTATGTATCGGTGATAGTTTTCCTGAGCTTAACGTGAAGCTTTACTTTATTTGTACGCTTTTTGGTAGTGCGTAAGCGAACATTCCAACGATATTGGTGAATCCTGCATCAAAAACAGTGCAAATTTTGGTGACAAGAAATGTTCATAACTTCTTTCGGAAGAGCGCACAGCAGATAACGAAAACAGATTTGGAATCAGCGCTTCAAGATGCATTCAATGGTGTACGTTTAATTTCGAAAGGCAACGATCACCAAGTATCCTTTCCTTGTTAGAGTTCGTTGATAAATACGGGTTCATGGCTTTCTGGGGTAAAACCCAACCATCACGAGTTCGTTGATGAATAACACAGGTGTCGAATACGTCAGGCTCATGACAATATGATAGTTGAGCAAAAAAAAACAGAATGGATCTTTTCTGAGACATTTGTTACCACAAGACGTTTGCAGCAAGAGACAGTACCTCAAAGGGGAAGATGCAATTGCTGAAGAATTCGGCCCGATTGCGGCACATGAAAGAAGACCCGGCCACGACCGAAGAATGCATAAGAACGAGTGCGCAAAGTTGCTCATGGCGGAATCCACAATCCGTTCGCCGCTATAAGATGGATTTCATTTAATAAGAGCCAAGTTCAATTGATTTCCTTGATTTCCTATGTTATGACTTACATTTCGGTCGAGGACAAATTTTTCTGGAAGAAGCCAAACTCGATAAGAGGAGCGAAAATTTGCTGCAAGTACTTATAATGTCCAAGAGGAAACAAATAAAGACGATATACCTCAAGAACAAGATGCAGTTGTCCCTTCGCCCGTAGTTTTGGTTGATCAAGCCATGCAACCAAGATCCGCGCAACGACAGCGGTAACCCGCTCACTAATTGCGCTTGCTCCCGTGAGTATTCGTACCTGATTTCTACATGCTCTTATATCATACTTGGAGGTTCATCTCATTATCAAAACCTTTATTTGTATAACACAATCTCGAACTTACTGACCATCCAATCAGTCCCAGCCATATCCAGTACAAGTTCGGGTTCCAAAACACAAAACTCCAGAAACACAGCAAAGCAACCAAAAGCTAGTCTCAAACATATTTGATTTATAAAAATGTTGACAAGCTTTTGAGCATGTTCACCATGTACCCACATTTCTCGCTAGCACTTATAGGCTGTCTTAGCGAGAATGTCAAAGTGTTTTAGCGCCCTGTCATTCACCGCCGCCTCGCTGAGTCTGAGACCGCTTCTGCGAACGTAGTCGTCTATATAGACGCTTCAACAGCCCTCATTATCTGACGAAGTAAGCAAATGGAGTTACAGTCGCGAATGCGGCGCAAGGTCGAGCGACGAGCCACGAAAATTCTAGCCGCTAGAGCTCTAACAGTCTTGTTGAGACAGCCTTTATATCTGACTACTGGTTACCAATCCGTATTTATTGTAAAAGTTATTAATTAAATTATTACTTGTCTTCCTCAGGCTCGACTGCGGTTTTATCTTGTACGGTTGTATCCTTGGTGCTGCTACCGGGGCAAACGGTCCGCAGTGCTACAGCAATTACAGGCTGCATCATAGATTTTGGGAACGCATACTTTCTGAACATCGGTGTTGTACTTTCCAAGAAAAAAAAGGATGACTCCCGGTTTGAACTCACTTTCCATCCTGCTGCGCAGCCGAAAATTTAATAAGTCGTTTCAGATGCGAAGTTTGGTAGACCAGGATTATATGCAAAATAAGTTGCAGAGCTTCCTCTCGCTCCATATCATTTTCTACTTGTAGATCCAGTGCGCTGAACAGTAGGAGATTCGAACGCTGAGATAATAAATCTAAGCCAAAAACAAGTGCTATGATTCAAACAACTAGAAAATTACACAGGAATTTTACACATACGGGAAGAAGAGAGACGATTCCGAAGAAAGGCTTACCGCACTGTGTATATATCTACATGATTTGTGAGAAGGAAGACGAGATTCTTTTCGGTGAATAGGCAGATGCGTAGAAGATGGAAGCACATGGCACGGATAGCTGGATGGTCATCTCGTAACAGTATCAGGAGCCTGGAAAGGGATATGAATAGGCTCTGAAAAAGTTTCAAAGGGCGTCGAAAATTTTGCATACGGCCTTTCACAACTATGAAAGTGTGCACAATTACGCCACCTTCTAGAAGAATTGTAAAAAGACGGATGATATATGCGAATAAATGGTTTCCTATGCGTTGGCAAAAAGAATGGTCTCCCATGCGGAGATGAAAAACAAGATTTAGCAAATAGGTAAATGTTTAAACTATATAGATCAAGACGGATCCAAAACATAATCTGGAAAATGACTTACAGCAAGCAAAGCTCTTCGAAGAATGGTGGATCATTCAATGAGCTGGGCAATGTCTCCCGCGCCAAGCAGTCGAGCTGGTTTAGAAACAAGCGCCTTGCATTATAGCCGCCTTCCAGGGCCTCTTGAGCGTGCTCGAGAATGAAGTTCTTGCAATCAGACACCTCGCGGTAGGGCTGGACATAAGGCCGGGATTTGAACCCTGTGAAAAGATAATGGAAATCATTCCATATCAAAATCACGTTCGTAACAGATCTAATGCAGCTGAACTGCGGCGGTCTTTGAAAAACGGAACGAATCGAGTTAAATCGATCTGCATGAACATCCCCAAAGGTCTATGTACAAAGTTCTGCTTGTTCCGATAAGACACTGGGTCCGACCAGGCTGAGCACGATCACCCAATCGTTGATGCCCTTGTGTAGCCACTACTTTTGTGTTCATATATACATCCTAAGAGGTTAACGCCGTTGTCTCTTTCTCGAAAAGTATGGGACGATCGAATTTTCTGCTTATTCAAATTAAAATGTGTGCAATTACACAAACTCCCGCCGGATAAAAGCGCTGTACTCAACTATGTCGACTCCTTTCTAGCACTTGCCCTCCATGAAACTTCAACTTACTGCTTTTTGAAGAGCGCATTCCACCAAGACGACCGGTGAGGTAAGCGTGAACATTGTCGTTCAAGTGTCTCACATAGGCATACTCATGCGATCCAATCATTCAGATACTTTAGGCGAACAACTATCCAACCATTCGGTGCCTAAACTTAGATTTTATTAGGTAGATGCTGTTAGACATTGATATTGACCATAAGGAACAAACGTGTTGCTGATAAGCTCGCAGTCCCGCATAATTGTGCTCTTACGGACACTGATAACTCACGACGCGCAAAGTCACAGATTGCGCTGCTGCCCACATCACAAACACTCTCTGGACCTAATGATGGATTTGGTGGGAACCAAGTGTCGTAGGCGATAGTGGTGTCGATAATAATTTATCCACAGACGAACCCGGTGTTGAACCGGGGAGCAACCTATAATACAATCGGGGGCTCCTTATATAGGTAGTAAGGCGGAGCTGACCCGTGCACAATCGGTATGTCCAAGAAATATATGCAAGAAAGAGGATGCCGCGGCTTGGCGCGGCCCCTGGAAGATAGGTGCCACTCCTGGTGAGTGATTCGGCACTTAAATATAAGCGGTTGGGGAATGTAGCCTTTGGGGAATACCCGTGAGCTATTAGGACTATAGAATTATTGAGGTTGATGATACATAAATCATCAACACTCCGGGCGAGCAAGGAGGAGGCGAAATGTGTTAGAATGTAAATAGATAAATACAATCAAAACCTCCTAAAAGCATTCGTACTTAGAAATTGAGATACAGCTGTGTTCATGAGTGTAAGCTATTAGATTAGTTGTCGAGGTTGATGATTCATAGATCATCAACACTCTGGGCGAGCAAGCAAGAAGTTAATCTGGTAAGCACAAGATACAACAAATGCGTAGATTTGTATAGACTTAGACATATTAATAGAAGCTATAGACGGAAGAGAGTTTACGGTGAACATTTGTAGTGGTTGCCCGTTGCTGTTCCGTAGCATGGCTTCGCCTTTCGTCGTCGTCTCTTCTTCCTCGTCGGTTCTACTCTCGTCAACTTTGTGTTCACAGAATCGTTATCGGTGATTGTCTTCGTGATAGCCGGCTTTTTCGTGATCAGATGTTTGTGAAGTGTGGTCTTCGGCATGTCCGTCATCTTCGTCTTAGCTTGTGTCGTCGGTTGAAGTGTTCTAGCAAGAGTTCTATTCGCACTCCTCGTACTGGAGGTGGAAGTGGAAGAATCTAATGTGCAGCGAACTTTGGCCAACCAGCGCTGTCGGTCTGCCTTAGCTTCTCTGATGAAAGCAGCTGTCAAGGTTTTCCTCTTTTTCGGTGACAACCATTTCGTTGTCGGTTGAGATGTTACTTCAGCATGCGCTGGGAATATTCTCCTGTTGATTTCACGTGTACTGCTTTCCTTGAAATTGGCGCCCGTTTTCTTTTTCGTTAGCCGTTTGGCTTGTCGTTGAGGGTGAGGGGCGGATTTGAAGGCTTCCTGCATCGTTGATGTACAAGCAAAAGTGCCAACGATCTCTGTGCTCACGTTGGTAGGGCTTGTACCGGATATGACATATCCAAAGATGGTTGGGGTTAAGACGAGCCCCGAAGGAAGCTTGAGCACTGTTTCGGTGTGAACACTGACGAGGTTGAGAAGATCTTGTCCAATAACGAGTTCAGGCGAGGCGCTTTTATGGGTGAGCGTATCTTGAGCTATCGTCAAGTTTTTGCTAGAAATGAAGCGGACATCTGCATCCGTGAGATGTGCTGTGTGTAGTTCGGTAGTCAGCTTCCCTTTCGTATGCACTGATATCTTCTTGAGCTTGTTTGCACTGTAAAGGCCTTTCAAAGTGATTTGCACTTCATTGGAACTGAATATCTCTTTCAATTCTCCCATTCCTGATGTGGTGAATGACGTCGTTTGGATGACTGGCAGCTTAAGCTCATCACCAAATTTTGATTTGATGAAGCTTCGCTGGGCGCCAGAGTCAATCAGTATTGTTATGGGTTGATAATCCCAAATTGCCTTGTTGAATATCATGGCTGAAGCCGTTTGAAGTACGCTTTGGCACACGATTGGCAGTTTAGTTGAGCTGTAGACTTTTTGTCCATTTCGCCGTGCAACGGGTACTTCACTTGTTTTGCGATGATCGAAGTTGGTTCTTTGCAGTATCTTAGAGACTTGCAAATAATGAGTGCTAGCAGGAAACTGAGACTGCTCGAGATACTCTTCCTCCTCTTTCCATTTCGGACTTTCAGTACTTGTGTCCAGATGGTTGCTTCTTTGAATGTTGCTTGGAAGAAGGGTCTTCATTGTTAATGCGGTCGTTTCCCGAAGAGAGATGATGTCATCTATCGCGTCTAGGATCTCCGAAACATCAAAGTGATCGCCAACTACGGTTTCCTTCTGTATGACGGTTGCGCAGATGGCTTCAGGAAATTTCGACAAGATTAGTCGGCGCCAGATTCTGTCTGCGCTCATCTTCATTCCGGTTTGTTCCAGGTGAATGATCCGCGAATTGATTGCTTCGAAAGTTTCTCGGCAACTTTCGGGATTGTCTTTTGCTCCTTGAAGTCGTTCGATTTCATTGATGAGTATATCTGCCATGCTGGCAGAGCGATCAAAGTGCTTCTTCAGGATGTCTACGGCTGTCTTGTATTTGTTTCCAACGACAGGGATGCAGTTCAAAGCAGCAGCTGCTTTTCCTTTGAGCGCTTGCTTTAGAAAAAGGAATTTGTCGCCGTCCGATAAGTCTTCGTCGCAGTGAATAAGTGAATCGAACACTGTCCAAAAACTGTTGAACTCTCTGAAGTTGCCAGAGAATGTAGGAACCTCTAGGAGCGGTTTACGGATCCTGATCTGGCGTTCACTTCGTTCCGTTGTTGAGCCTCTTCCTATCTCGCTATCTGGCTGACTCGGAATACTAGGAGCAGGCGTATGCAAAAGTGTCGTTTGCTCCCTCAGTTCATGTTGTCTGAACTGTATTCTGTTTTGCCATTGAACTGATATCACTTCCAGATCGAGTGCTTCCAGCTCCAAATGCTTGCTAAGTTCAACCATCAGCTTCTCTCGTTCCTTTTCTTCACTGCATGCACTGAGGTACTCAATGGCAGCGTTGAGCTGGGTTTCTTGCAATTTCACAGCGTTTTGCAGAGAATTGAGGAGATTTGTTATTACTCCTCCCTTTTCTTTGATATATTCTTCACATTCCGCTATTGTTGTTGGAAATGTGAAGGGGACGTCCACGTTCTCCACTTCGGACTCGTAGGATTTTACGAGCTTGCAAGCGTTGTTGATTTTGTGTTTGAAGAGTTGAAGAGCGGCCATTTTTGCTATACCGACTTCTAATTCTTCTCTTCCTTAGAAAGCTGGTTGCTTCGAAGGTACAAGTTAGCGATTCGTTAACTTGTACACGTATCTTCTGGTGATCCGTTGAGTAGAGCCAGCTGTGGTGCTGGTCTCTGAGTTGCAAGCGTGCCGGGGTGGCTTGAACGCTGTGCTGGCGGTAAGGTGACTTGGACCTTGACCAGATAAGGATTGGGTTTCAATCCTCTTAAGTCAAGAGTTCTTGGTCGAACTTTGACTTTTTGGCAAAATGAGCGCTTGTGACTCAAGTTACCTTCCTTTCAAATCTCAATGTACTGACCTCCGGTCCTTGGATAGGATTCGTGAGAGATCAATGAGATTGATTGGAAATTTACACCCACAAAAATTTGTTCCGCTCTCTGGATCACTTACGAAAAGGATTCACAGAAAGTTTCACGGTCTTATGTGGTTATGTGCTGCACTCACAAAATTTGTTCCACTCTCTGGATCGCTTACGGAAAGGATACACAGAAAGTTTCACGTATTAATGTGATTATGTGCTCCACTTGACTACTCTTTCACTTTCTGGATCATTTACGAAAAGGATGCACAGAAAGTTTCCAAGTTGTCTGTGGTTGTGTGGTAACACTAATTCTTTCCCACTCTCTGGTTCGCTTACGAAAAGGATGCACAGAGAGTTTTCAAGAATAGTTCACACGACCGACTGATTTCTCCTACACCTCTCTGGATCACTTACGAAAAGGATGCACAGAGATTTTCAGATAAGCATCCATGTTTGACTATCCATAAATCTTGGCATTGTTGTAATCTTCTCGTTGGTTGCTTGAGCGTAGTCCAAGATTGGTACAGATTTATCGCACAGAACAGAATACAGACTAACGTTTCGGCGAACTCGCCTTCTTCAGAGTCTGAAAAGTCGAAGACACATAAGTATAGTTTACTTATGTGTCTTCGACTTTTCAGACTCTGAAGAAGGCGAGTTCGCCGAAACGTTAGTCTGTATTCTGTTCTGTGCGATAAATCTGTACCAATCTTGGACTACGCTCAAGCAACCAACGAGAAGATTTTCAGATAGTCAGTGGTTTTCCTTCCGATTTCTCTTACACCTCTTTGGATCGCTTACGAAAAGGATACACAAAGATTTTCAGATGGTCGGTTGGTTCTTCTTCCTGCCACGCGGGTCTTGTGGCGCCTCGATTCCTCCGGTTGCAGATGGAATACGAGGTGGTTCCACTGGTCGATGCACCAATTTGGTGGGAATCAAGTGTCGTAGGCGATAGTGGTGTCGATAATAATTTATCCACAGACGAACCCGGTGTTGAACCGGGGAGCAACCTATTATACAATCGGGGCTCCTTATATAGGTAGTAAGGCGGAGCTGACCCGTGCACAATCGGAATGTCCAAGAAATATATGCAAGAAAGAGGATGCCGCGGCTTGGCGCGGCCCCTGGAAGATAGGTGCCACTCCTGGTGAGTGATTCGGCACTTAAATATAAGCGGTTGGGGAATGTAGCCTTTGGGGAATATCCGTGAGCTATTAGGACTATAGAATTATTGAGGTTGATGATACATAAATCATCAACAATGGATCTCAGTCATAAAAAGAGAATATGGTAGTAGATTATTCTGCGAGCGAAAAAAGAAACAGTTAGGAATGTTTGAGAGAAATTGTAACGTTCCTCAACTAGGTAAATTTCATCTCTGAGGAGCATTCCGTCCCCTTGAGGGACTTGCACGGACATGTCAGGATAAAGGCTGGCCTTGCCTTTACCTGATGTGTAGCGGGTTTACATAAATCTTACTCTTATATATATTATACATAGTTAAATACAAAAGGGGAAGGGAAAAGAGGGAAGAGGCAACCGGCTCCTGCCGGCGGGCGGAGGTCACTGCCAGAGGTTGGCTATCGTCGGCCAACCTCCTTCTCGAGCAGCTGTTGTGACTAGCTGCATCCCGACATCTCCACTCCTTCAGAAAAGCTCGTCCTCGAACTTGTGATATGGTTAAGGTTTCGAACTGTTGTAAAGGCATTGGTGTGATTGATGTTCTTCCGGGTGACGTGCGTTGGAATATGCACGTAATATACGGCGAGAACATATAAATTGAGGTAATGAATACATTGAAGATACATGATAAATTTAAAGGCAGTGTCCGGGCAAAAACTCGATTTTGAGATTTTGTGCTTACTTGGGCCTATTCGCTACGCTGAATCCGAAAATGCACATTGTAGAGCGCGAAAATGGCGAAAAACGGCTCTAACACAGGAGGGAAATTAGCAGGTGGGCGGGGCCCTCCCCACTGCGAATTCACGTTCCCGGCTTCCGGAGCGACCTTCTCGCTTCCGGTTTCAAGTCAATCATTCGCACTTGACCGGTAGCGATGTTAGGACGGCTAGCGGAATCGAGAAAATCGCTCCGGGAGCCAGGAGCGTGAAGTCGCACTGGGGAAAGCCCCGCCCACCTGCTGATTTCCCTCCTGTGTTAGGGCCCTTTTTCGTCGTTTTCGCGCTCTCCAAAGTGGATTTTCGGATTCAGCATAGCGAAAAGGCCCGGGTAAGCACAAAATCTCAAAATCGAGTTTTTGCCCGGACACTGCCTTTAAGGATACGGATCCAGTGGACTGCGAGCAGCCACGACCTTCACCTAGAATAATTGTGATTGATGAAATTTGTAAGGCGTGTAATAGGTAATTCTCACTCTGCGATTGCACATTTGCACTGGTAAATTTTTTTTGTAGAAAATACTGCTAGAATGTGTAGAACCAAGCTGACGATTAAGGGCGATCATGATACACCTAAACGGTCAAAAAAATGCATTTCATTTGAAATTAAGTTGAGCGAGCTAGTTACGTATTCTATTTAAATGATTTAGGGACTGGGACTGCTCGCGCGGACTATTAGTGTCTATCCTTGATTAATTCAATTAAAGATCATTAATAATTTGTTCGGTACCTTTTCTTTTCTGAAAATTTTAGATTCTCTTCTATAGGAAGTCGTTTTGTTTAACAATCACTGCATACTATTAGTTGATTATACTATCAAAATAATCAAAAATGACTCACTCATTCGTTCGTTGTGACTTTGGGTGGCGTTGTTGTCGATATGGTGGGGGAAGGGAGGTAGGGGAGAGAGAGGAGAAATTTCAAGGAAATTGTTGGTTAGTGCCCAAAAAAATCTTCCCGGGACTTCCATGTCAGGATAAAGGCTGGCCTTGCCTTTACCTGATGTGTAGCGGGTTTACATAAGTCTTACTCTTATATTTATTATACATAGTTATATACAAAAGGGGAAGGGAAAAGGGGGAAGAGGCAACCGGCTAATGCCGGCGGGCGGAGGTCACTGCCAGAGGTTGGCTATCGTCGGCCAACCTCCTTCTCGAGCAGCTGTTGTGACTAGCTGCATCCCGACAGACAGCAGAGCAAAGTCTTTTGTACTTTTTGATGAGTTCGTAGTTTAACATGCAAAAAACTAGCGGCGCATGAGAAAACTTCCGTTGATCATAATGTAAAACTTCCTTTGGACAAGAATCACATGCGTAAACAATTTCAACCGCAAGAATGCGATTCGGAAAAATGCACCTAGTAGGTGCCAAAAATTTATCTCGCTTTTTTTGAGGGCCCTGATGGAGATGCTCTGGCATTCCATTCACTCAGCATTAGGCCCCGGACAGACTTCACGCGATTTGATCGTCGCGACTCAATCGCCGACATTTCCATTCATTTTCATTTTACATTCAAAAATTTCGGGCTGGAAAAGTACCACAACCGAAATGCAAGTTGATCGGCATGGAATGATGTTGTAACAGTTGTCTCGTCGCGATTCAGTCGCGACGATCAAATCGCGTGAAGTCTGTCCGGGGCCTTACGCAGGCATGAAAGGAAATTCTCAACATATCTACAACTTGAGAAGCAAGACTTCAGACATCTTCGTATTTCATGGATTCTCTAGGGGTGTATGCTTCGAGTTGTAGAGATGCTGAGCACTTTCTTTTATGACTGTGGAATTTCGAACTGATGGAAAGCCAGGGCATCCTAACCAGGGCACAGCAGAGATGACGCTTTCACATACTGGATCTTCTAGGGAGGGAAGCAAAAGGGAATCCGTGAAGTTCCCGGGGTAATACTCGGAATCCTGACAAAATACTAGCAAGCACAACACTAACTCTTGATGAGCCCGAATTTGCATCTCTAACGCCATTTCGTCAGCACACATGTAAACGCTGACACGTAGTAAACACGATTGGTGCGTAAACCTGTGTGCACAAGATTTCATCATTCTAGAACACAACCTTTATGCGCAAAAAGATAAACAACTGCTTTGTTTGCAACGGGTAAACAGTATTTAGCCATCAATTTGGTGTGTATGTATAACCATCGCAGCGATGATCAAAGGAAAATATGAAAGAATTGCTTGGAAAACTTATATGAATGAAAGAAGTTAGTTGTATTGTCCAAGTTCGACTCTCGATTAATCTCGGCATGTTGCAGATGCTTGTTGTGGCTTGTTTAGCTGGACACCGGGATTGGTATATCCTTTAGTCGACTAACGTTTCGGCGGTATCACTTTCTTCAGAGTCTAAAATTATCGAATGCATAAGTGAACTATCCTATTAAAAGCCGCTCCAGGATCCTGCATTTACATACTTTCGAGTTCTTGGCTTCCTGACGCATTCGGCGTCTTCCTAAGTCTTGAGGCGCTTTTTGATAGGATAGTTCACTTATGCACTCGATAATTTCAGACTCTGAAGAAGGCGATACCGCCGAAACGTTAGTCGAATAAAGAAAATACCAATCTCGGTGTCCAGCTATAGGAGCCACAAGAAGTTAGTTGTATTTCTGTTCTAAATTGCTACCGCGCAACCTGAGAGCATCCTGAGGCTGCGCGAGATCAAATGTCATTATCCCCCCCTCACAAAAGCTTTCGAAGTTTTGCTTATATCTATTCTTTGATTCAAGGAGTACCTATGAATACCCACTTTAACCTAGTTTCGTCTCCTATGCTTTTGCTGAAAGGCTAATATGAAAACAGCCTTTTGCTTTTTCTTTCGTTTTTGCCATATCTATCTCTTTTCTGCCCTTTCTTTACTCCCATCCAGTCATCGTTAGCTGCAAATTATTGGCCGTACTTTTCCAGACTACCACTGTTTGCGATCTTCTGCAATGTAAAGAGGAACTTTGCTTCTAAAATTCTCAAATGCCATCGTGGTGGACCCTGATCCCAGTTGCCACATAGGTAGATACAGTCGAGTCGATCTTCCGCTTAATATAGTTGTGCTTGCATTATAGAGGAAATGTAGTAAAGTATCGTCGATTCGTTGACTGTACGGACTGGACATAACCGCGGAGCACGTGCCGCGAGGTAAAACGCTCGCTCTAATACAAACTCGCCACTGTTAAAATCGTGCTCTCGCAACATTTTGACCGCGCCGCGCGTGGTCCGCAGCGGTTGAGCAGTCCGTACGGCCAACGAATCCACGATAAACAGGTAGTCACGCTAGTAATGCCGACATTATGCGCGCGCAATTGGAAGGCGTCACAGGCGTAGCTACTATTTCTTCAAACAACAGTATACAGTGCGGCACATTATATTAAGCAGAAAATCTACTCGACTGTATGCTGGCATTGGCTTGCTTTGAAAATTCCCTTCTTTGTATCCCTTCCCTGCAAATTAGTGCTGAGTTTCGTGCAAATTTCAAAGCTTTTTCTGAAGCTTCTAACTGCAAAAGACGAAAAGCAAAGAGTTAAGATTACGAGTGTATTGGACGCAGTGCCCACACCGCTCAAGATCAAAGGGTATCAGCAATTTGTAGATACCAAAAGCGTATTAATTTGTAATATCTACAAGGCTATCATAATTATCAATCAAATTAGCACGTTCCTCACCTATGTCGACCTCTTTCGAAAAATTTCGTATTTTTGGGGACGCAAGTTCGCAGTTTTTTCCCTTTCTTTCTGCATACTGTTCTTGAGTTGTATGTGATTATTTCGACGGTTTCTAAGGCAATTTCGGCGGGTTTATTTTCGGAAAATTCTGAAATCGCTGTACTGGACAATCAAACATGTGTGACAAAACTTCGCCAAACCTATTTCCTCTTAAGATCCTCTCCCCAACTTTTGTTACATAACTCTAAATGATGTGCTTATAGATTCGTGAAGAATGGAGATTTTTAGCTTAATTTTTCCGATTGGAAAATCTTCCAAGACTCTTGAATTTTTATTGTTTGCCCGAACTGTACCAGATTATAGAGTTTGAGATTTGTTCAAGTATGTACATAAAAGTAGATGAAACAGAACTAGCAGGGGAGATCACTTTTTGCCAGCATTCATGAACGTTTCCAGACTTGGGAATGTGACCGCTTGTCCCGTGTTGAATCCAGCACCAACGAATGGAGATGCGACCCCGAAATTGTGCGCCACATCTCCTTTTTTCCAATCTATTCCCACATGATCATTGTGTCCATAATAGCCGCCAACCTAAAAACAATAACATCAATTTGCTCCTTTTTGTGGGTCTAAAATTCTGTAAACTCACGCCATATCCGTTGTCGACCATAACCTTGCCTAAATCTTTTTTTGTCAGAGGAACAGAGACGGTGTTGTGCTGTCCTCCTTCTATTCCAAGCGATTGAACCAACGGGACTGACCAGTGATTTTTATATCCATACTTTCCCTCGTACCAATTGGCACCGACTTCCTGGTTTTGAGACCAATAGTCGCTGAAAACAGGAAAATATTAGCATTCTTGAGTCTTGTGTGATTCTCCTTCTGCGCAGTTCTCATAGCTCAAGTTGTCTAGTTTGTCTACTTTAGAGCTAGCAAAAAATCATTCGTTATTTACTCATTATTTAACGAGAAGAAAGTCGGCAGCATTCTCGAGCAAAATCGAAGTACTTACGAAATTTGAGAAGAAAAATCGGAAAGGACAATATAAATTGATCACTTTTTGCGATGCGCGCCACGAAAATCTTAATCTTACATAGTTATTCCTGCTTCATACTAGGTGTTGCCAATTCAAAATTATAGTCACCCGATTGGGATATATAAAAATAACAAATCGAATAAGCATAAAAGTTATAGGCCATTCGAAAAATCGTGACAATGGCGCGACCGCGCGCGACACGCACGCACTTTCGGCAACTGCATTTTCTTAGTTTTCATTTCGAATGGTTTCTGCTTAACATGACAGTATTTAGACACTGAAAGTGATAGAGTTGAGCGTTGTAGTGTTTTTTTTTCGTTTGAGTGTTTTGTGCTCTTGTGGGCATAAAGACCGCAGTCAAATCCGTCGTCGCGATTTTATAAATGACCAATGACCACCTCGATTAACACTACTTTCCGTTTATGATCAAATGGACAATCCGATTAGAGATAAAAGGCACTAAGGTCCGACTTCAGTGACTGGAAGATGAGGTCTGGTCTCAAGCGTTCTGCGCATTTGAAACTTTTCCTATAAACTTACCGAACCCCGACATGATCAGAGTAGCCACCACCCCATGATCCGAAAGGAATATTTGCGTGCACTCCTACTCCAACTCCACCTTCCTCGTTGATCGGATAATGAGGGATTCCATTTACGTCGACAGTGGCAAAATTGAGATTGACCTGGTCGAAATAGCAATAAATTGTTATCACAAAGAGTTCTAACACTCACCGCAGAACTAAATGCATTTGCTATGGAGTATAATGGATCAGCTTTTTCAAGATATCTGTAGCAGTCCTTGAAGTAGGAGGCACATCGCCGAACGTTGGATTTTGTCAGCGCAGACTTCTCACAGTGCTTAATGGTCATATTTAGGAGACTGTACACATAAAAGTTCTTATTAGGCTGAAAACCAGTCTTGCATCAAAGTTTTCGAAACATAAAGTTTCCATTTTCAACAAACTCTTTCATTGCAGTCTTTGTCAGAGGGAGAAATTCATGAGCAGAAAACAGCAGGAGCAGAAAATATTGCTGTCATACGGCAGCAGAAGCTGGTGAAAGAAATATCCATGTTGTTTTTTTCTAGAGATTCTACCGAAAAGCTAGATCTTCCAATTGAACAAGAATTTGTTTTTGAGCTCAGTTTTACAGCTAGCCTTTCTGATTATCCCATTAACGACGATGTGGACCGCCGCGGGCCCACGCACCTTTTGCTGTCAGGGACGATGTGGACCACCCGTGGCCCACACCTCTTGCAAAGTCATATTATCTGTAGGTCTAGTATCTTTTATCTTTTTCATATATTGATATTTTTTCCAATTTTTTGCACTCTTTGGACCTGTAGGCTCTGTCATTCAAGAGATTGTTCATAACTATTTACAAACAAACTTGCATTTCGTAAATATAGGCCGTCCGCGCTGCGCACGGAGAGCGACGCTGTTGCGTACAATGAAGACAGTTCACGGCTGGAAGAAGCGCAGAAAAAACAGGCGGCGAGAGTGCACGAGGAAAGAGGAGTACGCGTAATACACACCTTGCGCACTCTCCGCACCCTGCGCGGACGGCCTATAACCACAAAATCTTCCCACACCGAGTATTGTGCAAAATCGCGTCGTCGTCAATGGGTTAAAGGCAGCGGCTTGGCAGATTTTCAGCTCCGGGGTTTTGGCAGATTTGGGGCTATTCCGGCCCCCTGAATCACGACATGAACTCCCCTTAGCGCTAAAATGGGGAAAACCCGTCTTTTGAAACACCCCTTGAGACGGGCGCGGACGAGTGAGCCATTTTTCTCTGCCATCAGAGACGCAGAGTAAGGAGGTAGAGAGCGCTAGAACAATTCTGCCCTACGAAGCTACGAGTGACGGCGCGTTTTCTAGCGGCCATACTCGTCCGCACAAGGTGTTAGGGGAACGAAAGGAAGAAGGGGAGCGGAGCTTGACTCGCCCCCTGGCTTGCAGAATTCACATTTTCGGCCCCGAGTCGCTCTTTTGGTTCACTTGGAGGGCCTCCTATCCATCTATGTCAAATTCTGAGGTAGGTCTATTCTGCCGAGCCGCTGCCTTTAAAGGCAGTGTCCAAGCAAAAAGTCGATTTCGAGATTTTGTGCTTACCTGGGCCTTTTGGCTATACTGAATCCGAAAAACAACACCGGAGAGCGCGAAAACGGCGAAAAAAGGCTCTACGGAGGAGGAAAATTGCAGGTGGGCGGGGCTGTTCACATAGTGGCATCATTCTCCCAGCTTCAGGAACGATATTCCCGCTTCTAGTCGCCCTAACATCACCACCACCCAACTGCGAAACGCGTGACATAAAATCGGAACCGAGAAGACCGCTCCTAAAGCATGTGAGAGTGACGTCACGGTGTGAACGGCCCCGCCCACCTGCGATTTCCCTCCTGTGATAGGCCTTTTTGGCGTTTTCGCGCTCTCCATTGTGGTTTATTGGATTCAGCATGGCGAACAGGCCCGGGTAAGCACAAAATCTCAAAATCGACTTTTTGCTTGGACACTGCCTTTAAGGAAGACCCGTAGTGATCGGGTGTCACTACAGACTGCAATTTTCAAATTCTTTTACTCGACTTTCTTATTTTCTTCCAGGTTAATTCAACAGTGTGTATCGTCGTCTTCCCGGTGTATCATCAGCTTCCAGATTCGTGTGGAGGTGGTCTTGCCAACTCACTGCGTGGCGGTTTTTGCTAGCGCTTGCTAGATAGAGTACGAAAAGTTATGCTGTGACGTGGAGGTTTCAGGTTACCTGTGTTATCAGGCAAAGTCTGCAATACACCTCCACACGAATCTGGAAATGCTCCGCCCAACGTAACTGGGAAGGCGACGATACCAAAAAATTCTAAGTTCCACCAATTTTGAGATAAAGTCTTTTTATAATTTTTGGTGCATGACTATGTTTCCAGTCATATGTCTATGCATGACTTTGTTTCCAACCAGCAAGAAGAGATACAGTCGAGTAGATTTCCTGCTTAATATAGTGTCCCTGCAGACGCGACAACGCTGGGGCGTCAATAATTGCCTGACGAGTTCCCGAGTTAGTGTTTTCCAGTGTTTTCTTTGCTTATTCTGTACTTTTTAGGTGATTCGTCGCTGATAAAGAAGAAAAGGGTAAGTTAGAGAGTAGTTTGTTTTCTGAGAAGTTCTATCATTGCATATTCCCAGATATCCACATGGAAGCAGTTCGCATCAGCTTCTTGCCTATTTCTTTGTCACTTCATGTCTCTTTCTTCTTGTGAGGTACTTCTTTGAATGCTAGTGGGTTTTTACGATTGACTAATTGTCTTTATCACATGAAGTACTTAATTAGAATGCTATTTCTTGTGGATGAAAGCCGAAGTTGCAGCAGGATAAGCCAAGTAGCGTTCAAAGAAACGCCTCACAAGAAGGAGTTTTGGAAGAAGAAGTGACAGAAGAAAAGGAAATGACAAAAAAATAGACAAGAAGCTGACGCGAAATGCTTCCAAGTGGATATCTGTGAATATGCGATGATAGAACTTCTCAGAAAACAGAAACTACTCTTTAACTTACCCTTTTCCTCTTTATTAGCAACGAATCATCTAAAAAGCATGAAATAAGCAAGGAAAATACTGGAAAACACTAGCTCGGGAACTCGCAAGGCATTTATTGACGTCCCAGCGTTGTCGCGTCTGCAGGGACACTATATTAAGCAGGAAATCTACTCGACTGTAAGTGGTATAGTTAGAACCGAATATTCGTGTTCGAATAATTTATTCGAAATATTCGACTATTCGAATATTCGAATAGTCGAATATTCAAAACAGTCCAATTATTCAATTATTCGAATAGTCGAATAAATGAAAAAGGCCTGTATTCGAATAATTCGTTCATTCGATGATTTGGGAAATTGAGTTATTCGAATATTCGTTTATTCGAGGAATTTCAAAGACGGTTATTCGAATATTCGAATATTCGAGCCAACTTGAAAGACAGTCATTCGAAAATTCGAATATTTAAGAGCATTCATTCGAACATTCGATGTCAATAGAAAACTTTAACTGTTCTACACTGAGTAAAAGTATGTCCCCGATCGGTCAACCACACAAATGAATTATCAAATGACAAATGGCTAGCAAGCTTCCCTTTTAAAGCATGAGTCGCGAGTCATGCCAGAGCATAGTGATGACAAGCCCTTTACATAATTCATTTGGAGTGGTGAACTATCTTCTGGAAATCGCGTCTGAGAAGTTGAGACGCGTAATCACGCGCAGATACCTCCAAGCTCTAAATTGGGTGAAGAAGCAAAGCCATCATTAGGCGTCCAATGCACCACTGGTCCTCACACAGCTTGCATAAGCATGTGAAGGACCAGCAGTTCTTCAAGGCAGCAGGTATAGGCAACATTCATTCCTTCATCTCGAGGTTTTCATTTGCCTTGCCAGCCTAATCACCGCGCGTGTCAAAATACCCTAAAGATACGTTAACGCAAGGCCAGAGCAAGGCGGTCGTGAGGACCTGAGCCGCTTGACTTGTGGCGGCAGCCTATATGTCAGTCATTATACTCAAATCAGCTGCCCTTATAGTCAGGAGGCGTAGAAAACTAATGTTAGAATTACACGCCTACATGAAGTACGCGTGTAGGCGCCTACTCGAAGTATTGTTCCTTTACGAACTTTGCATCATTGCTAATACTACTCCGAGTAGGCGTGTAAGTTGAACAATAATTATTTTGAACCTGAGTAAAAGATAAGGAAGATCCCTTACAACAAAAGTACAAACCTCAAAAATGCAACTAAAACAAATTTGTGAGAATTCAGTCCTACACCAGAAACTGTGAAACTCGGGAATTGATAATTCCCGACAAGTATTAGATTATCAGCTAATATACAGATATTTCCACGAGTTTTCTTTTTCTTGATTTAGATGAGCACAGAAATATTAGATTATCCTGGAAGTTTTGTCCGTTTTTTTTTCATCGCTCACTAGAACTCACAGAACACCGATCCATGATCAACTTAGGTACGATTTGATACAGATTTTTATCTTCTTTCTTATAGCTGTATTTGCTCTCTGATCTACTCTGTCTTTGCAATGTTATCGCCACGGCTTCCTGAGCAGCTCAGAAGTAACGCCAAATTTTTACTGAGTTCTAAAAAATTTTATCCTGATGTTTTCAAAGAGCGCTGATGAATGTCATGTAGAGCAAGCCTTTAGCTACATTGTACCCTTTTTAGGTTGTCCGGAAATTAATGCAGGTTTTGAATTCCAACCGCGATAAGTCATATACTTCTCATTTCTAAGTAGGTTACAAGGTACCTTTCGATAGAGCAAAGCAAGCTCTACAAGATGGCAGTCATGATTTAGCAACAGCTCCAATCCACCACGAGTTTCGAGCCAAAAACTAAAAAGATTTAACTACCCAAAAAATTGAGAAAATCGTAACTCAGTTCATAAAAATCCTATAAAAATTCTAACTCACTCACGTAAACACTGTCCACATAAGACGTATATGTACGCCGTTGCCGTATATTTTTCTCGGTTAGAAACCAAAAAAACGAAGATTTTCATGTTTTTGCCAAAGTGATCCTGTGCCGTTCCCACATGAGTAGTTGTATACTACAAACCTGTAAAAGTACAAACATTTATTTCCAGCTCTCTACAAGCTTTAGTTCTCGAGAAATTCGAATTCTAGCTTGAACCTCATGACTAGGAAAACTGTATTCGATATTTCTCGAGAACTAAAGCTTGTAGAGAGCTGAAAATTTACGTTTATACTTCTACTGGTTTGTAGTATACAACTACTCATGTGGGAACGGCACAGGATCACTTTGGCAGAAACATGAAAATCTTCGTTTTTTTTGTTTCTAACCGAGAAAAAAATACGGCAACGGCGCACATATACGTCTTATGTGGACAGTGTTTACGTGCGAATTAGAATTTTTATAGGATTTTTATGAACTGAATTACGATTTTCTCAATTTTTTGGGTAGTTAAATCTTTTTAGTTTTTGGCTCGAAACTCGTGGTGGATTGGAGCTGTTGCTAAATCATGACTGCCTTCTTGTAGAGCTTGCTTTGCTCTATCGAACGGTACCTTGCAACCTACTTAGAAATGAGAAGTGTATGACTTATTGCGGTTGGAATTCAAAACCTGCGTTAATTTCCGGGCAACCTAATAGATTACATGGGCCATGTTTACCAAGCTCGTTATAATTATTTGTTTGATGAAAACTGCGCCTTTTTGATTACGTTTACCACGTAAAAGTACCGAAAATTCCAAAAAGCTACTTTTCAAAGCAAATCAAACTTGCTTATGTAGCGTAAATAATGTTTGATAAGAACCATATTTCAATTCGCAAAAGTTTCAAAAGCTTTCGTGTATTTGCTGCAGTTGCGTGTTTCATGACTTTGCCAGAAATCGAGACTTCCAAAGATATGTTTTTTAAGTTAAAACAGCAAATTAAGAGAATCTGAAATATTACCCTGTATTCCGAGAATTGCTCTGTTTGATCCATATTAGTCCTTTCCGAAACTTTGTAATGAAATTCAAAAAAAGTAGCCTAACTTTGAGCAGATAAAATTGACGGATGGAGAATTTTGGCAATTGTCAAAGAAAGCATACAAGATTGTAGTTCGGAAGTGTATTCTTGAAAAAAGAGAAGGAAAAGCTGCATCGAATGCTGAAACTCATTCAGGTCTTTATTGTGCGTGGTTTGATACTAATTTGAAAAAACGGACAAAACTTTCGGTACAACAGCAGAGGTTCATATATTCTATTACTGTAGGCCTTCCTCGTGCTCCTCGGGAGACGGTCAAGAGGCGCGATTTTTCCGGCTGTCGCCAACTCAAAACTCCAGTTTAGTGCTATGCGAGTCTCTAAAAATTGCCAGATAAAGTGCGTTGGCTTTCTATCTGTCTAAGGGTACCACTTGCTGATTTTCATAGTAATCGGACTAAAATACCTACGAATTTGTTCTTACATGCATTTTCATGGGTTTTTGACCTTAAAAATTGCTGTTTTGAATTTTTTCTTTAGTATAAAGGCTGAGCAACCCATGCAAGTACCTAATATATCTTTTTCTAAATTTCAGATATTTTCAGAAAGTTGTAAAACACTTATTATGTGCTATTTGGTGTCCAGCTGGCAATAAAAATCGCGCCTCTTGACATACGCCCGTGCTCCTCCAGTGCTAGTCTTAGAACTAGCGCAATGCTGACTATTACCATTAAATTACAAAGAACTACCTAATGTAAAATGTTTTCCATGTTAAATCTTCAGCTTTGAGAAAAAATTCTGTGTAGCTTCGGGAGAAACTTCTGAGGAAAAATAAATGCGGATTTGAAACGATTACTAAGTAAGTCTTAGTAGCCATCTTAAAAGACCATGAACACCTCGAACTACATGTTTGGGTGAAGTTCTTCTGTTTCTCAAGTGGAACCCTGACCAACGACAATAACGAAGTCTTCCTACCACTTGCCACACATATAATTATCAGCTACAAAGATCAAATTAGCGATTAATTTTTTGCAGAAAACCGCAACAAAGAAAAAACCAGCATGTTTTGAGGTGTTAGATTATTCGAGTTCGAATAGTCGAATATTCGACCATATGTAATTATTCGATTATTCGAATAGTCGAATATTCGACTATATGTAATTATTCGATTATTCGAATAGTCGAATGTTCGACCAACCCCATTTATTCGAATATTCGTTCATTCGAATTTTGAAATGTAGCATTATTCGAATATTCGAATTCGAATAATCTGAAAATTACAGATCGAATAATATTCGTTCGTTCGAATATTTTTCAAAAGCCGATTATTCGAAATTCATTCGTTCGACGAATTTTTTCGGTCGTTCTAACTATAATAAGTGGGGTGTATGCCCTTCTGAACCGCATCGTCCTAGCGCTAATTACTCTGCCCGGGCGGCGCTAATTACTCCGCCTTTCTCATAAGCTGTCAAAGTTTTCAGATATTTCTGAACATTCCAAAGCAAGCGAAGCACACGAATAACCATAGTGACGATGTTTGAATTATGAAGAAAAATTTGGAAAAGATGCATGTTTTTTGCTGGCCTTTCGTGATTTCTTCGCCCCTCCCACTTTTCAAAACACCATGAAGTCTGCATGTGTAAGCTGAAGAATTTACCCAATTCGCCCACGCATAAGATTTTTGAGTTCCATGGGAAACTCGAGATCTGTTTAAACCTTTTTATCATGAAGATGCCTGACAGCATAGCTCTCGCCTACCCAAGCGCCGTGGCAGCGCCGACCAATCAGAGGCGCGCAGTAATTAGGCTGCTAATGCTAACGGTTCAAAAGGGGCGTCTCCCCAAAAGGGCCGTCTCCCCAATGAAATAGTGTAGATTTGCATCATTTCTCATTTCAACAACTATTCTCTGCCTTCTGCATGGCAAAAAAAAGCCATAATCACGAAGATACGCTGAAAATGCTCGACTAATCATTAGACCAAGAGCCAAGTTTTCTGATTTTTCACAACTTTCCTCTTTTTTGACGTGGTGCGCTCAATTTTGCATTATTTAGATTGTGATGTGAACTAAAACACAAACTATTAAATTTTTGGTAACAAAAAAGATAATATTGTTAAAACCTGATAACATTCATGGTCATAAATTCTGAAGCAAAAAACGAATGTCAAGTCAGTGGTTGTCAGAGCCTCAAATCATACCATTTATCTACCATAATTCTAAAGGTCTACCAAGCGAAATGACTAGCAACATCGTGATAGCATATTGAATGATCCGATGAACCATGTTTCATCCGTATCTATGACAGCTTGAATGTTTGACTCCTTAAAATTGCCCGTATTTACCCTAGCCCGCATATTTGATGGCAGACTTTTATACTGAGGCAGTTCTATTCACCACCTGATCTATTAGATCTGTCACGACGCCAAAGAATGAGTCGAGATACACAAAGAAATCGCAGAAAAACGTGTAATTTAGTTGCCCCTGGCAAACTTTCTCTGATTGCAATCTCTAACTGGTGGACTACCCGTTTGGCAAGAAATCCCACGCTCTAAAGTTTTGCATTTCCGGTTATGTTTTCAGAGAAAGTAACCTTCTGAGCGATAGGTGCAATCCGAAGACATTTTGCTCGTAGCTCTTCGTCACCGCCGCCCTTAAAAACACATGATTCGCAAAGAGGAGTTAACTGTGCAAAGTACCTCTTTAGCTAGCTACCTCTTTTGTCTGCTCTAAAATTCGCTTATTGAGCTCAGCAAGGTCATCGCGTGCACGTAATGTTCGTGATGGCCTTCCGTGATCCCTTTGTGGCACGTCTGGTATTGCTGGAGGCTCAACGACTAAAATATAATATACTAGAATTTTATGATATCAAATATCTGAAAACCCAAATAAAAAAATTGAATTTAAGCGCTGTTTTGACCTCGAGTCCCAACAATTCAGCCTTGAAAGCCTCACAACCTAAAGGAAAGGTTTGCCTAAGCATTTTTTTTGAAAGTTGAGTCATTCAGTAGCGAATGCTTTGGTTGCAGATGAAGCAATAATCAGCTGCCAGGGAGGTTTTTGATTGAATGTGGAGTTGAAAGTTCTATGACTGATGGCGAATATGGCTGCGATTTGCGGCTTGTTGGAAAACTGAAGGCAAAAATTTGTCAGACTTTTATCCCTCGCACAGTCTAAATGGCGAACATCTGTTTTTTTTATTTCGTCTCTGCTTTTATATAAAGTAATTAAAAAGTACAATTTTGTATACATAAGCGTATTTTCGAGATTATTCAGTAAATAGGGTGTTGTCCCATAAGTCTTTTCATATCTGACTTTTCAACAACGTAAGTCAGTTCTTCTTACATTTCTGATAGGATGCTGGGTACCATCCGACAGATCAAGGAAAGCTCTACAAGACGGCTCAAAAGTTCGCACCAAGCTCGGTCCGCACTAAGTTGCAAGGCAAAGTAAAAAAAATCCGGATTCCAGAAAAAACGAAAATAATCATATTTCAGTTCAAAACGATTCTGCAAACTTCCCACTCGCTCACGAATATAGTGTCTCCTTGAGACATTTTTACATACACCTGCCGCATTTTCCGATGGCTAAAGACCAAGAAAAAAATAGCGCTAAGTTTTCGAAATTTGCCTGTATAGACCCAGTGTTCCCTGTGAGTATATATTAGGTTGATGCATAATTCCTGCACCAAAATAGGTACAGACCGCAATAACTCGGAATAATCCTATATCCCAAGTAGGATTCGATATACCATTTGATAGCGCAAACCTAGCTCTACAAGATCGTGCTCAAATATCTACACCAGCTTTGATCCTCGCGAAGTTTTGAGCCAAAAACTGAAAAAAACCATGCGTCCGAAAACCTTAAGACAGATCTTAAAAAAATTGTAACTTCGTTCAAAAAGCTCATACAAATTTTCTTTCTTGCTCACGCGTAGACGTCCCACGTAAGACATTTATCTATGCGGTTGCTGTATTTTTTTCTCAATTAGGCGATGAAAAAACGAAGTTTTTTGAAGTTTTTCATGTTTTTGCCAAATTAGTGCTGAAATGTTCTAGTATCAACAGTTGTATAGTACATGCCGTTAGCAGTGAAACTTTACATTTTCAGCCTTCTAGAACTGCTAGTTCGCGAGAAATAACGAATCTAGCTCTCCTTATCCAGATTTTTCTTGCCTAGTTGCTAAAAATCCGATATTTCTCGTAAACCAGCTGCTCTAAAGAGCTGGAAATTCACATTTACGCTTCTAAGGTCCTATAGTATACAACTGTCAGTGCTAGAACATCTCAGCATTGTTTTGGAAAAAACATGAAAAACTTCGTTTTCTCATCGGCTAGTTGAGAAAAAAATACAGCAACCGCATAGATAAATGTCTTACGTGGAACGTCTACGCGTGAGCAAGAAAGAAAATTTGTATGAGCTTTTTGAACGAAGTTACAATTTTTTAAAGATCTGTCTTAAGGTTTTCGGACGCATGGTTTTTTTCAATTTTTGGCTCAAAACTTCGCGAGGATCAAAGCTGGTGTAGATATTTGAGCACGATCTTGTAGAGCTAGGTTTGCGCTATCGAATGATATATCGAATCCTACTTGGAATATAGGATAACTCCGAGTTATTGCGGTCTGTACCTATTTTGGTGCAGGAATTATGCATCAACCTAATAGCTTCAACTCGGAATTACTGCCACAAAATTGCAGCCTTGTATGTGCCCTAGTTCTTGAGAAATATCGATTTGAAAGTCCGAATATTAAAAGACTTATGGGAGCACCTAACATAAGCACGTGAATTCCGGTTAAAACAGGGCCATTTTGTATAGACGTTATCGGTGACTACTTTACACTACAACATGAAGGTCACTCTCATACATAGCAGAGACGGTAATCATCCAAGAATTATCTGATCATTGAGCACCGAAGTGACACCAAGCTTCTTGATATCAAACTTTTTTTGAACGGGCTACAAACAAAACAAATCAGTTTTTTTGTTCCTGAAGACTCTAGCAGAAACTAATAGCCAATTATGTCTGTTGATTTGCAGAGTTGACATTAACCGGACGATGATAAATGTTATTCTTGCCAAATCTATTGTGTAGACTGTATTATGTGCTTGCAATATTGATGGATTTGTTAGAATAAGAATGTGCTGGAAGCAAGTGATGACAAAATATAAATCTCAGAATGCGAACGTAAATTTGATGGAAATTTTTGCGATATCTATAAGAGGGGTGATCAAAATTTCTGACTGCTCAAAACTTACGTGGAACGTCTTTTGTCTTCGGACATATGGACAAGCCGGGATTACGTTGACAAGCGGCTCTCATCAAGTATTCCCTGTCACCCAAGGCACCTGAAATTTGGTGCAAAATTTAGTGAAGGACTGCAAAGTTTGAATGATAGATTTTCATTCACTTACCCTCTGTCGAAAGTACAAATATAGTCAACAAAAACAGCATGAACCATAAATGTTGATTCATTGTCTCGAGGAAAACCGTCTGATGAGTGCTTCTTTCTCGTTATGGGCGACTAGCACGAAATTACAAGGGCACAATATGAACGTGAGAAATGTGTTGCCATCGGAACGCAAAAGACGTGTTTGCGATTTACAACGGGGCCAAATACGTCACCCACCGGGGAGTCGACCCGTCGACCTCTGCTTAACCTGCCTTTTTCACTTTATCATTATCAAAAATCCCGTTCCGCTCTTGTTTACGCATTTCAGCGAGATCGCGAATCTGCGAAATCTCTCTGAAATTTTTACACTGAAATAACATCATCTATTTGAGCAAGCAGCGCAGTCTTGTACTGTTTAAATAAGCATTTTCTTCATTTTTCAAATGCCCTTACCATACAAAATACAAATTTTCATCGCTATACCATAGCACTGCCAGTGATCTTTCATAAAATCAAGCGACTTTTCCGTGTGCTATTAGATATAGGAATACGATTGTAAACTGATTGCGAACTATTTCTATTAATGTAAAACTCGAAAACCTGTTTTGTAACATAGTGCTGCAGCAGAATTTCTCCGGATAATAATTTTAAGAATCCCACAAAAGTTTTGGCGTAATGGATTTTTGAGAATTTTGCGCTGCATTTGTGAGAAGTGATGGTCAATTTTGTTTCAGATATTCCCACTATCGAAGAATAATATCTCGAAAGCTTGCTTATGTGAATAAGGCGGCTAATTTTACTACACAGATGAGTTGCCTTCAAAAACTTTTGAGACCTTTTTTTTATTGCAGATGGAACGCAGCGTTTTACCCAACATTCAAAATCACTCAGATGCGCACGGTGTCTCAAAAGTTGTTAATATTGTTTGATTGTTATATATACTGTTTACTGTTATGTTTACTTTTATATTGTTTAATTGTTAATATTTGTGTTAAGTGTCTTTCGCATTTTGAATATCATTTTACAAATGTTTCAGTTGAGACTCACAATACAAAGCAAATCAAGATTGCGCTCCTAGATATAAAATTTATACTTTATCGTAATGCTTCATTTACAAGTTATGCCAGGAATTCGTATCAACTGATTTCTCGATGTTCCCTAAAAATGTGATTGCACCATTTGAGAGGCTTTGCAAAATTGTGAGAATTTGAAAACTGAAATCAGTGTATGTGAAAACCTCGCTTTTCAGGTTTCTTGACCATTCAAAACGACAGTCAATCCACAATGGCGCTGTATGCTTCAAATTTCTACCGCGATCCTACTGCAAGAGCATAGAAGATTCGCACCAAATGAATCTAAAAACGGTACCTAAAAACTGGCGAAGAGGGGCCAAGAAAAATATCTATCAAACAGTGCACATACATTTTTGAAAGACTGACTTTTGCCTCGAAAATCAACACGCAGTCTTAATTCTATCCAGTGGGACTAATGTTTCCGGACGTGCTTCTAAGTTCAACACTTTCTGAATGCGAGATGGTGGTATCCTATCTATAGGGTTTGTGAAAGGGGCAGAAATTGTGATTTATAGAAAAGACTGTAAAGTTATGAATGAATTACTCTCCGAGCTGAGAGCTTCATCTACTTATATCCAACTGTGATCATTTGCGCTTTACGTATCCGAAAGCCAAAACAAAAACACCCAATTTCCTGAAGTCAATGCACGTCCAGACAACGAAGTTTGCGCAAGACTATCTTTTTTGAACGGATCTTCACTTTATTGAACCCTCTCAAAATTAATCTTCTATCCAACGCCTTCATTTGCAAGAAACTCTTTGCAACTGAACTTTGTTGGCTTTCCTGTATCTCATTGTCTGAACACTCTCCATTTTCTTGCTTGCTTGACACCAATCGTGCATGAGAGCTCACTTGGATAATGTTCATTCTTATATCTTTTTTATATCTATCTATTCAGAGACAGGGATTAGGTACACGAGTACATAGGGGATAGGAGAACAAATAAGTGCCCATGCTATGCCGAGAGTGGGCGGTAAAATTTGCGCGCGAACAAATATAGGCCGTCCGCGCAGAGCGCGGAAAGTGCGCAAGGTGTGCATTGCGTGCCCCTCCTCTTTCCTCGTGCACTCTCGCCGCCCGTTTTCTTTGCGCTTCTTCCAGTCGTGAATTGCCTTCAATGTACGCAACAGCGTTACTCTCCCGCGCAGCGCGGACGGCCTATAGCTAAATAATGGCAGCAATTTGCGCTTGTAAAATGCCGGCATTTTAGGCGTCGCTGTCTCTTTTCGAGTGGAATTTACCGCTCAGGCTCGGCACCTCAACGGCATTGTATTTACAGTCAGATCCACACTATCATGAAGTACAGGGCTTTACAACCTGAGTGTCCCACCCGCCCCGCTAGGACGTCACGCTTAGGTCCGCGCAGCGTTCGTGGCGCTGGCTGCGCGTCGACTGAAGCTTGGCGAAATCCGGGCGATACGCAGCAAACGCCGCGCGCGGCCTGAGCGAGGCGGCCGCGTTGGAGGAGCCGCGCAAGCGAAACTTGCGACTCTCAGGTTGAAAAGCCCTGTATTTATGTGGGGTACACAATGAATCTCAAATCCCTGCAACAAAATACGGAAAGCCTTCCCAAGTGTAGACCGAAATTCAGTTTGATATTTATACCTTTCTGCATCCACACCAATAAGAAAGAGAAAAATTGTTCGGCTTATGGAATGGGATTTTGACTCAGAGTTGTGCCTACTGAAGCAGCAATACGACCGCACCTCAATTTTTACTTATGCTCAATGAATCCACATTTGTCTAAACGTGAGTTGTGCCATTCTTGCTCAGTGATCCCTTGAAATTTGTTTGCAGTCTTTTGAATACATCCTCTAGGTGAAGATACAAACACATTTCTAGCTCTCATTCGCAATCGAATGGAATTTTGTCCGCCAAAATTAGCTGCTAGGGATCTTAATGTGTTTACCCAAATTCATAGTCATAAATATAGCGTCTCATGAATTATAAGTTAAAGAAACGGAATGTAAATTCCGCTCTTTGGATGAAATCTGCATGTCAAGGTATTCTGAACGTTATGATATTGATACTATTTACAATATTTTATTAGTACAACGACATTCTTCATAAACAATTTCATTATCTATTTATAAACAACTCCTGAACTACGCTAGTACTTCCTGTAAACAAAATTTGGATGTTTGGCAGCTATAGGCATTCGCAAGTCATCCTCATCAGCCTTCCATTTGCTTTGTATCTGCAAAAACACTAAATGTTAGCTGTCCAATGCCTGCTGCTCTCACAAAGGCAAAAACGTTTCACCCAAGACTCTGATGTGAAAAACATAACGAATCGTGTTTTGCGGCAAAAAAAATGTTAGTGATCTACCATTTCATGACTTTTCATGAGTGGACAGATAGTTTGTTTTTACCGAGTGTATCTCCAACCAGCCGTAAGTGAAAACACGTTACCTTGAATACATCATGCCCCATAGTCTCTGTATCCCACAATTCTTGTCCACGCGGAAGACGTCTATTGACACCGCGTTTCTTGCCTGCAATCAATGCATGATAACACCAAGACCGATCATCACTGCGCTGTAACTATACCTGGCCTATAGTCTCCTCCAACAGCCATTTCCTCAACCATAGAAAGAACTTGATGTTTCGATCTCCAAGACACTCGTTTCCTTCGGCTGCGCATCCAAGTGTACCTAAAGTGACCATAAGTGACCTTCAACAAGACTCGTAAACACTTACTCCCCAACAACGAACGGGTCACATTCCGTATATGTTCTATGCAGAAAATATTTGATTTGCGGATTGTTCTCTCTGAAAGCTGAAGCTCTATAAGAGATGCAGTAAAATGTAAAAAAAAAAACAAGTGAAGACTCAATCTTACCTAATAACTGGTAGATATTCTTCCACAAATTGCTCTAATCCCTCACTCTTCAAAGAATTCTGAGTCCAACTCAACCGCAACGCAACAAAATTTGGAACGAACTTTATGAGAGCGGCTGTGACAGCATTATGAGGCCGAAAAACTGCATTTGCGCCTATGGACATTCTCCTGCAAATTTTTTTCTAGATGAAATGCAAACGCACTCAGGGTTGCAAGTATTAGAGGAATGCCTCTATGAATCACAGAGATATATGTTAGAAGTTTATCACAAGATATTTACAACAAAAACACCTGTACAAGAAAGTCTATATGCGTATGTCATTGTTTTTCTAAGATATCTCTGATATTTCTATACGTCATTGTGTCTTCGGGCATCTCCTCGCCAAGCTCTTTAAGAAGAGCAGCATGAAATTTTTTGTACGTCTCGACTTTTCCATTAACCTGACAGTAGAAACACATATGTAATTGACCAGGCGGCAGGAAAATGATTATGAACCTCCTTGTTCTTCTGAAGTGTTCTTTCTAGAACCTCTTTCGTATATAACTGAGGGTTTTTTCCTTGATCAAGAACGTCAAGGAGTTCTAATGGGACTTTCACATCAGAAAATTGGTTGCGCATCTGATCTAGTTCCTAAATATATCAGGTAAGGACTCAGCAAGAAATTTAAATCAGAAACTAACAAGTTTAGTATATGCATTACGACGACAAGTTTGATACTAAAAGTGAAGGCAAAAATAAAGAAGTATAAAACTCATTACAAATGAAAACTTAAAAGAATTCTATTCACCTGAAGACCGGAGATCAACGTATGAATTTTTTGATTGAATGGCTCTTGGCTTCGCGCACCGAAATCCGTCGCAATCACACCCAAATGGCGTGCATTTTCCTATAGTTAATAAGACTCGGAACTCTCGACAAGTTTTACATAAACACACAACACAAAAAATCAAAGTAAAAGCGTTCAACGATTGCACTTCGAAATTTGCTGGTGTGAGTAAACAGGATTGGAATTCAACAGCAAGGCATTACCTGAAACTGCTCCAACGTTCTTTCTAACTGATTAAATCGAGATTCACCAGTGTCGGAGATAATCTGTGGATGTGGAAGGTTAGACTGCAGATTTTCCATTCAGACCTGAAATTCGCATACAATAAATGTAATTTTCGACTTCAAGCAGATATTCATTGATAAACATGCGCAAAGTTCTACAAGTGGTAGGCTCCATAAACTTTATACATACATAAATCTTGCAAAATTTATACATACAACTGATTTTATCATACAATATGACAACAAATCAACAACGAAATTACAATGTTAGAATATCAAGGTGAAAGTAGCACTACTTTTCCTCCTGACTACCTTTCAACTTGTCTCCTTCTGTATTCAAGAACTCTTTCTGGACTTCAGCAAGATCAATTTCGAAAGGTCGATCCTTAGCCAGTCGCTAAAATATAGATCTAGTGAAATGCTAGAGTATGGAAACAAAGCTGCAGCTCCATGATGAATGAGTTTAATCAGTGACATTACACATGAGACCCAGATAGATCATTTGTTGGATGATTGTGAAAGCGAAAAGACTATGGAAGCATATGATAACGAAAGATACCTAAAGAGTCTGCTGCGATGAGTTCTAAACACCGGCAGATTGAGCGAAATGGGCCATGTGTTAATAGCTCAAAAAGTGTCTGTAGTAACGCAGCAAACATGAACCATTTTTGTTGCAGATGTGAACCGCTATGTGCACGTCCAGATAAGCTCTCAGTCAATGTCACCCTTGCATTTCTTTACTCGTACCATCTTCGTATTTGGCGTAAAACTCTAATTGTAAGTACCGAGCACTTGAGCAAAAAAGGGTTAAAACTTGATGCACATGATCACGCGATCTCGTTCACTTCTTACTGTCAGCTGTGAGACTTCTCGACTGTACATGACTCATACAGAGATGAACAGCAGACGGTGAAAACAAAGGAAATATAGAGCTTCTAAATCAAAGAAGTAAAAATCTATAGTGATATGAGAAAGGGAACGGCCATAGGTTGTCGGTGTTGTCGATGTTGTCGGTGTTGTCGGGGTTGTCGGTGTTGACGGTTGCCGAGATTGCCCATCGTTGTAGACCTCATGATAGACTCCACGTTTCGCGCGCTCTCTAAACCGTCTCTGACTCCGACAACACACCGACAATACCGACAACATCGACAACACCGACAACGCCGACAACACCGACAACCTATGGCCGTTCCCAAAGAGATGATGACGTTCACTGTTGTACAGCATGACCAGTAGAAAAAAAAGAGAAAAAAATCCGGATAAACAACGACTCACTTGTTCAACACATTCCCGGTATGCTTGATGGAGCCTATCGCAGGGATTCACAGCATATTTATGCCTATAGTTCGGTGTGATGAATTTTTGAAAGAATTCGGTGAAGCATTTATCGTAGTTCTGCAATACATGAAAAGATGGTGAGGGTACTGTGATATGTACTATTCATTATTTTCTCGCTTTGCAAGTACTGAAATTTTTGTCAGTTGTCATTTTGTCAGTTCAGAGTTGAAATCCCAGTGACTAACCCACTGATAATGATCAAACTCCTGCTTCAATAACACATCCACGACAATGCGATCCACAGGTGGATCGTACGTGTTCTGCCATTTCGAACAGCACGACCCACCGGTGGGTCGTATGCTTTCTGACGTTCTTGATTTTCCTAGTTCACGGTGAAACTTCTAGGCAAACCGAGTAGAATTCTGCATACATCTCTTGGAACACTTCCCAAAAGAACACTTCAGACCACAGGATCCATCAGTGACGAAATACTACGCAAACTTGTTTGCGGAATATACTCTGGTCCGAAATGGCAGTTACAAAAAATCGGCCCTGTCGTGAATGTGAGAAAGGACTTCTAGGAATTTTCAAGCAAACGCTGATCCCTGTCATACATACCAGAACCATAGGTGCGAAGGGTTGAGATGGGTACCCTCCAAAGTGAAGGGGGTCTCGGGTGTTTTTGACCCCCAAAAGTGAAGGGGGTCCAAAAATTGCCGACATCGACCGGGGGGGGGAATTAAAAAAAATAAATTTTCAATTTTTCAACTTTAATTTTCCAAATTTTAATTTTAACAATTTTCCAATTTTTTTGCTTTTAAAATTTCTAAATTCATTTGTATACACTTTAACATAGTAAAATGTTTCCGAGTACTTTTTTGATGAATATCATTTCATTATCATGTATCATGGAAGCAAAAATCGGGACAGGACCCCCCTCACTGGGACGAAGCAGGAGCTAAGGTGAGTTAGTTAGATTGAAGTTGAGAATTCGGAGCTGAAAAATCCAATTTTAGGCATTCCATGGGACGAGCAGTATTGAGTCGATATGGGAGGGCGCATGGTCGTGAAACGAATGGCTGGATGCTGCCTACACGTGGGCTTGTTGGACGAGACTCTGAAAAAGACATTTTGTGGTTATAATGTGGATATAAATTGAATAATTTGCCATCGTATTGTGTGTATAAGGATAAACAATAAATGGAATTGTTGTACACAATCGAATTTGTATATACTGAGTGAAGGCAGGAAAATAATCAGAATAGGAAAGGTAAGATATCGGAGTTTGATGATCAAAAGAGAAAGCTGCTGGAAATAAGTTCTATAAAGGTAGAGGGAGAAGGTAAGTCAGGTATTAGGTACTCAGGCAAGCTTCCGATGTAGGCTGATAAGGAGAAGCAGGTTTGAGTTTCTAACTATACCCCCCCCCTTCGAGCCAAAAAATTTCCATATCTCGGTGAGGGGGTCATCTCATGATCTAGTTTCTTTTTTATCTTGTAAGGGAGAGTGTGCTTGAGATAACTAGGGCTGTCGCAAAAGAATCTGCTGAAGCAGAACTTCTGAAGCTTGAATTTTACGCACAAATTTATGCGTCTTCAACTCGGTGCTGTTGCTCTCCTTCCTTAAAGCAGATCCTTTTGCGACAGCCCTAGTTATATCAAGTGAACCTCCCTCTACAAGAGGTGAAAAAAGTAGATCACGAGAGGACCTCCCCGCTGAGATATGAAGCGTCAAATTGAACCACCCAAAATCGATTTTTTTGCTATAACTCTTATGTAAATAAACAAAAGTAAACAAGGAGCTGGAATTAGAATCCACTCTTCAAGAGCTTTCGAATGATATATAATATGTGGGGGTTCCTTGTTTTTTTCGCCCTGCGACAGGGGTTGAGACGCTCCAGTTATGCGATCTCAGGTCTACCCCCCCTTCCACATGCATTAAAGTGGGCGGGGTTGAGATCGCATAACTGAATCGTCTCAACCCCTGTCGCAGGGCGAAAAAAACAAGGAACCCCCACATATTATATATCATTCGAAAGCTCTTGAAGAGTAGATTCTAATTCCAGCTCCTTGTTTACTTTTATTTATTTACATAAGAGTTATAGCAAAAAAATCGATTTTGGGTGGTTCAATTTGACGCTTCATATCTCAGCGGGGAGGTCCTCTCGTAATCTACTTTTTTCACCATCTTGTAGAGGGAGGTTCACTTGATATAACTAGGGCTGTCGCAAAAGGATCTGCTTTATGGAAGGAAAGCAACAGCACCGAGTTGAAGACGCATAAATTTGTGCGTAAAATTCAAGTTTCAGAAGTTCTGCTTCAGCAGATTCTTTTGCGACAGCCCTAGTTATCTCAAGCACACTCTATCTTACAAGGTAAAAAAGAAACTAGATCATGAGATGACCCCCTCACCGAGATATGGAAATTTTTTGGCTCGAAGGGGGGGGGGGTATAGTTGGAAACTCAAACCTGCTTCTCCTTATCAGCCTACATCGGAAGCTTGCCTGAGTACCTAATACCTGACTTACATTCTTACCTTTCCTATTCTGATTATTTTCCTGCCTTCACTCAGTATATACAAATTCGATTGTGTACAACAATTCCATTTATTGTTTATCCTTATACACACAATACGATGGCAAATTATTCAATTTATATCCACATAACCACAAAATGTCTTTTCCAGAGTCGCGTTTAACAAGCCCACGTGTAGGCACCATCCAGCCATTCGTTTCACGACCATGCGCCCTCCCATATCGACTCAATACTGCTCGTCCCATGGAATGCCTAAAATTGGATTTTTCAGCTCCGAATTCTCAACTTTAATCTAACTAACTCACCTTAGCTCCTGCTTCCTCCCAGTGAGGGGGGTCTGGTCCCGATTCCTGCTTCCTTTACCGCATTTTCATTTCCTACACTCTGTAAATAGATTCTTTTACCTTAAATTGTACTCCACTTCAAGCACACTATCATCTCACCTCAAAAAATTTTCTTTCTCCGTCCAAAGTGAAGGGGGGGGGGGGTAGCCCGGGCTCCAAAGTGAAGAGGGGGTGAGATTTTTCTCAACCCTTCGCACCTATGACCAGAACTAATAAGGGATGGATACCAACATGACCTGGCAAACCAAAAAGAGATGTATATCATCAAGAGCATCTTCAAAGTCTGATTCCAAATCTCCTTTCGGTTTCTGCGAAACAACTCCTTGAAAGAAGTTATGAACGTTTGAAAGTCGAAATTTGTCAAGTCTTATGCTGGTTCATGCTGATCCGTGTGTTCCGAGACACCAGCACAGTTCGCACAGTTCGAGCGCTGTGCCGGAACTTATGGATCAGTATAAACTCAGCCTTCAGAGACATAAAATTAGCGAAAGCTGTACAAAAACATGTAAAAGTGGATTGTCAATTATGTGTCAAGTATACTTACTATAAGGACGGAACACAGCCACTGAAAGTCCGCTAGGTGTTGTTTTAGAGCTTTGAGCTAATTGTAAGCCACTTTATACATGAGAAATTCAAACTTTCAAACGCCCATAACTCCTTTCGGAGAGTTTTTTCGCAGGAAAGGAGAGCAGATTTGGAATCAGCATTTGAAGACGCGTCCACCGATATACATCTCTTCTTGGTTTGCCAGATCATGCTAGTATGTTTCTCTTGTACGATCCTTCACGAATAACATGTGATTTTGAGATTCTACAGCTAGCCTAGCTAACGTGTAAATTTGAAATGCAGGTTAAGGTAACATTCCAGATTGTAAATTTGAAATGCAGGTTAAGGTAGCACTCCGGATAAGTCCTATCTGCAGTTACAAACGCGTGCCCATTTGCTTAGGGATCGTTCATATCGCGCACAAAGGCGGACGAAGGCGCGTCTTGTCTCGTCTCGTTTCTCTCGACACACACACTCACACATGTCTGGCGCCATCTATTCCTACCGGGCTGGCTGCGCGAGCGGTTCGCGTGCGGTAGCCGAGATTGGCGCAGGGGCGCGCATTTCCTCTTGTACTTGCTTGCTTTCCATGGCATCCAAGTTGCTCTTAAGGATTTTCGCGTTCGTTTTCATTCGTGAAGGAGAAACTGATGGAGGCATTGGGTTTTTTTCGCTAATATACGCCAATTGGCTTGGCTCTATGACCACATGGTATTGAACTAGTCCAAGACCTAGTTTGTGAAGAGCTTGTTCGTTTTCTAAATTGAAGAAGTAGTGTGTTTGCATAGATAGAAATCTTAGAAGGTTTTAAACAGCTCCTATCTTTATTCAAACTTTTGAAGGTAAATTGACCTTCTCTCCCTAACGTATGTGTCTGCAACGATCTGAGGGGTTTCCAAATCATAGACGATCTCATCGTGACAGGAATGATAGGAGGAATAAAATGAGGAGCAGACTATGAAGATATTACTATTTATTCAATTTTCTAACAGCCGCCTAACTAAATGTCAAGCAAAATCCGGGTGACATAACACCAAAGCACCTTAATCGTCCATAGAGTGCTCTAAGCCAATAAGGTTTGCGCTTCCTGAACGTTTGATCGTAAGACATTCTTTTGGCTACATCCGCAGTATACATGCCAACATTCGTATATCTTAGGCATGCTCCTCTTGCTATCTCAGTTGGATTAACGACTGTTCGAAGCAATGGGACATCCTCGTAGACCGCTATGTGACTTCTCATGAGCGCGCTGATATCTCCACACGCTGTCTGATGTTAAACAGTTGAACAAGTCGCTTACTGGAATATTCTAGGTGTACTAACTCTGCTGCGAAAATGCTTAATCAGCATCAAACATCTCACACACAGTAAAACTCCTCAGCAAGTTCCTTTTGAAGTGAAGATATCACACTTTTTTTTGATCTGAACTTTAAATTACCACAACTAGTGAAGTGTTCGCATACGCGCATCGCAACATAGATATATTTGATGCTAGATATGGATGTATTTGTTATAGATACTTGACAAACATTCCCATTTTCAGAACTCTTGGCTAGTGTTATCATCAAATCATGAACTAGTGAATACTGACGTTTTCTACTGCGACTGACGATATTCGCCAATTTCAGCATTTCCGCAGTAGTTTGAGTTTTGATATCAGAAACAGAGCTACAAGAAAGCCTTTGCAACAAATCCTACTTATGCAAGCTAAGAAACAAGTTTTAGCTAAAAAACATTCAAATTGCGAGTTCTCAAAAGAGAATGAACGAATGTTACCAGACTTGACAAGCTCATGTAATGGTTAAAGAGAGAAGATTCTCCACAGCAAACTCAATAAAAGCAAAAAAAAGAGAAGACGCCGGCATACTACGCAGTTTTACAATTGGTCACAGCATCCCATGGCGAATAAGTACTTATATATTCGCCTATATGCCCTTACAAGCTGCACGTAGTGAGTGCACTACTTCTTATCAGCAGTCGTGGTTCGATGAACATTAAATCCAACTTCGCACACATGCAAGAATGCGCGCCCTCTCGCTAATCGGCTGCCGCGCGCGAACCGCCCGCGCAGCCAGCCCGGTAGGAATAGATGGCGCCCACATGTCTTCGTGCGCCTTCGTCCGCATTTGTGCGCGGTATGAACGATCCCTATACGATAAACTCCAACAGGAGAGCAGGAACGGTAACACACTATGCCAGATCACGATATATTTTATAATTTCATCGGTTCTCAAATTCGTGCGGCGATGTCCTGCAAACTCGAAAACTGGCGATTTTTGAAAGCAAGAAAATATGAATAGCTATGCTGTAACGTGGATAATTAGAAAGTCCATTCATGTTATCAGAAAATGTCCGCATCCGCTTCACATCATCGAATCCAGGAGTCGATCTTCTGAATTCAAATTGCAAGCAGACCAAATGGCGGTTTATGTGAATATAACATGGACACTGACTCAAGAATCACACAGTCTAACTTTTGATATTCCTATTTGCAAAACATCCAAGAGACGGAACATGATATTTATCTGGTCAAGAAAAACAAGAAAATGCGAGCGGCCTTCCCGAACGTCCAAGTTCATTAAAATGTGATATATATTGGACGATAAAAGGAAAAGAAAAGGATGAAAAACCACATCTCTTAGATGTACGAGATGCTAGTAAAAAACTGCACATATAAGTCTCAAACGAAAATATGAAACTACTGAAACACAAACCTGCTTCAATTCATCACATTCGGGAAATATACTGGCCATTCTTCGCTCGCCCATTTCCAGCCACACGGTTACGCCCACAAAAAAGGCGCTTCAAGAGAATTCTCTCTGAACAGACTTCCTTTTTCCTAAAACAACCAATACCTCTGGAAGTCAGAAAATCAAAGCGAGAATAAGAAGAAGTATAGGGGCCTGCAGGATCGCGAGAGTCGGACGCGCGTACGGCCTTTGCGCCGCGCACGCCTGATATCGCTGGGTCGTAGTCGATTAAGGCTAGATAGGTAAGTTTTTTTTGTTTTTCTTTACATTTCACGCCTTCTTTTCTTTTCAGACGGTGAGCACATGTTGGTGCGGAGGAGTTTAAGATCTGAATTAAGGTGAGGTGCAGGATTATGCTCAATACGGACTCAATATTGCAGACCTTCCATGCCTGCTGGTTGAGATGTTGGGTTTTCTGTCCTGGCTGCCCTGTCACAGCAAACTGTTCTATTTCTACCGTCTATTCTACCTTATCTTGCATATTGCTTGTGATGATGATGATGATGATGACAATGATTATGATTGTGATGACGCGCATGATGCAAGATGAGGTAGAACAGACGTTGCAAATAAAACGGAGTTTCGTAACCGGGCAGGCACGACGAAAAACCGAACATAATCGGACAGCCAGAACAGAAAACTCAACATTCTTCAAAGCAGGGGTGAAAAGTCCACAATATTGGCCCGTATTGAGCATAATCCTGCACCTCACCTTAATCTAGATCTTAAACTCCTCTGCACCAACATATGTTCGCCGCCTGAAAAGAAAAGAAGGCGAGAAATGAGAAGAAAAACAAAAAAATCTCACCTATCCAGCCTAAATCGAGTACGACCCAGTGACATACGACGTGCGCGGCGCAATGGCCGTACGCACGTCCGACTCTCGCGATCCTGCAGGCCCCTATACTACTCAGACACTCGCTGCGGCGGCGCGCGCGCCTCATGCGTGCGGCCCCTCATGTCGCCCGCCGCCGACCGTCAAATGGCGCGCGCGCCGCGGGTAGATGGCACGCGTGCAGCGAGTGAATGGTACGCGCGCCGTGAGTAGATGGGACGCGCGCCACACGATAATGGCACGCCGCTCGCACGGTATGAAAATTGCCATTCGCATTTGAAGCACTGCGAATCACGGTGAATCTGTAGTAGACCTGATGACGGCCTTCAGTTTCAGGCAAACAATGGCTTCAATTTCAAATATGAACTTGAAGTTTCCAAACCTTGAAAGTTCAAATTTCAAAAATTCAAGAATTCAATTTTCCAAATTTGAATTCAAACTCGGCACCTACTCGCGGTGCTTATGAAGACTGACTCTCAGTGGAAGAACTAGAAGAATCCCACTTGTGTTCATGAGACAACTCCATTGCGTAAAAGCGATAACCTCAATGAATTAGCGATAAAGCACCCAAAACACTGCGTCGTACTTCACGCAGGTATCGCTTGTGCTTACAGCGTGTGAGAATGCGGAAAATATCATGGCACGCCACTCACTGATAAATTGCGCGCCGCTCGCACTCTCAACTAGGGGGCGCCGTCCGCAGTACAGTGCTATAGTAGCGCGCGCGCCGCGCGTCGAGTGTCGAATAGGCGCGCCGGCGGCCGTAATAAGGGAGCCTCCAGACCGCGCCGGGACCGCGCCGGTTGTCGCTTTTGCAGCCAGTAGCTGCTTTCGCGCCGGTTGCCGCTATTGCAGCTGAAGCGCATAGTGTCGGATTTTGTCTTTGGAGCGTTGCGAGAGCCTATTGGCACTAATAGGCCTTTCGATTCTTTTGCCACCACTCTTTGTTTCTAAGGTCCTCTTCTTTCCGCAAGTAATTTATTGCAGGTTCTACTATTTCCGGAGTAATCGACTCATTGTCGAATATTCAATCTATCTCCCGCTGTAGAGCTGTTTCTTTAGGCAAAAAAGTGATGAACGGCGTTTTGTCTTTCATTCATTACCAGGCTATACTTTTACGGTAGTTGAGCAAAATAAGCAAAAAGCACAAGCAAAAATAGTACAGAGAATTTGAGTTCTGCAGCTAAATCGCTCCTACGGATAATGGAACAGCTTCAAAAACAAAAAAAAATACATTCGCAACTCGCTCATACAGCATAGTAAACCAGTTTCAAAACGAGAAAGATGTCGAAAAGGCCTTGCCTTGCAATAGCTCTACAGAGGGATTTAGAAAAGAAAGGGTTTAACTCGACAATCAATCGATTTTTGCAGCATCGTAGACGACCAAAAAAATGGAATCTAGATCAAATGAATCATATCTGCAATGAATTACTACAGCAAAGCAGAAATTTTTGGAAACAAAAGAGTGATGACAAAGGATTCGAAAAGCCTAGCATCTAGTGCCAATAGGCTCTCGCTACGCTCCAAGGACAAAATCTGACACAGTGCGCTCCAGCTGCAAAAGCGACAACCAGCGCGGTCCCGGCGCGGTCTGGAAGCTCCCTAAGGCGCGCCGCTCGCCGGCTGCGAATGATGGCGCGCCGCTCGCACTGCAGCCTCGACTGTGGCGCGCCGCTCGCACGGCAGCCTCAAATAGGGCGCGCCGCTCGCACGGCAGCATCAAATAGGGCGCGCCGCTCGCACTGTAGCGCTATTATGGCGCGCCCGCCGCTGCAGCGAGTGTCTGAGTAGGTAATTCGAACAGCTGCTGAAGCTTGTCGCAGCCAAAGAGCAGCATTTGAGCACTGGGGCGCGTAAGTCGTGAGCAAAAAAGATGAGTCCTTGGCGTACGGCGGTCAGGGATCGTTCATACCGCGCCGGTACCAGTCCAAATCCCCCCAAATACTTCCGAATCCACCCAAACCGCCCAAATACGTCCGAATCCGCCCGAATACTCCCGAACCCGCCTGAGCGCCGAAACTGCCAAAGGGCAACAGATATGCACGCAAATTGACATATTGGAGCCGTGTGGAATACTGCGCGCGCGTATCTATCTTAGGCCCTAGCCAGACTTCGCTCAAAAACGCCCAAAAGCGCTCAAAAGCGACCAAATTTCTCTGGTGTCTCGCTTTCTCGCGTGAGGAGAGATGAGAAAGAGAGTGAGTAGAGTTTAGAAAAGTTTGGGCGCTTTTGGGCGCTTTTGAGCGAAGTCTGGCCAGGGCCTTACAATTAGTCACACGACAGCTCGACGCATATCTGGCGCTTTGGCAGTTCCGGCATTCAGGCGGGTTCGGGCATATTCGGATGTATTCGGGCGGGTTTGGTCGTATTCGGACGTATTCGGGCGGATTCGGACCTATTTGGGCGGATTCGGACGGGTACCGGCGCGGTCTGAACGATCCCTCAGAAGTCACGCTTTTCACGAAGCGACGCCGCCAAGCGACTTCAGCCAGTACAGGAGAAAAATGGTTGCAAGACATTCAATTACATGTGCTTTTTGAGATGGTCATGTTTTACAATTTTTCTAAACTTGTATACCAATCCTCCGAAGGAGTCCAAGCAACGATTCGATAGAGCAAACTCTATAGGATACAGTACTACTTTTTCTTTTTCATAGCTCGCCATAATTTCTCTAGGGATTTTTTTTTATCAAAACCGTTGGATTCCGGCAGGCTTACGTCAGCCGGAATTGAAACTTCCAAATGATACTATGATTTACGATCATACAAAGCAAGTGACAGTTTACGGATTCGAAAATATCAAATTTCGAGTTTCTCGAGTACATCGGGGCGCGTTCAAAAATGAGTCGTGATTTTGTCCCCGAAGAATAAACGAATCGGAAACAAAAAGCATCTATTAGAAAAAGAGAAAAAGCTGCATCAAACGCGCCCGAGCTCTCCTTTTGATGTTTACGAGGTTTAGTTGACCAAATATGGAAATTGGTATATAGCATTAGTAAAAATTCTATGGGAAAAGTATGGTAAGCTATAGCAAGGAGAAAAATGTTTAGCAATGTGTGGGGTTTGCTCTGTGGATATGCTACTTATTGTTAGGTCCCTTGGAGGATTGATATGAAAGTTCAGCAAAATTATGAAATTTGACCTCTCAAAAAGCATGGGCCGCAGATTTTAGTTATTTTCAAGAACTCATCTTGTTCTGCAACGTTATAACCGTTGGACAGAGGATGAAATGCTGCATCGAATGTTCCAAGACTTCTTATGCTTATAGATCCTTCATCAAATGTGGTGCCTGTTTGAAAGAAGCGAACGAACTTTTGGACCGACCTATTATATACATGTATATCATCCATTCTACGACTAGGAGACGCGAGACCGCAATGCGGACATTGTTTTAACAAGTTTGAGTTTATTCTTCCCTGTTTTTAAAGATTGAATGAACTTAGAGATGAATAACAAGTATAAACATGGTGAGTACATGATTAGGCTTGTTTAGACAATGTGTGCAATGCCAATGGCAGTGCAAATTGGCAATACTCCAATTGTCCATAACTCATCCTAAAGGGTCCGTCAAGTATTAGGTCTATTATATTATTCTGAATGTACGGAAAATAGGGCATTTTATCAATCCAGGAAAGTTTTACATGTCCTGCATTTGTGGTCTGCCATTATTGAATTTGAAGACATCTGGCAGATTTGCCAAATCGCATGGCGACTAAAATCGCGTGAGGTATGCTCACGGCCTAACACATTCTAACGCAACACAGAGTGATGTGTCAATTTGTGACTACTTGTTGAGACGAAAAATTAATAAAGACAATAATGTGCAGCTTTATCGTGTTTAATTGCATAGCCATTAGATCAACAATTTTACAGCATTACTTCAAATCTTTTTCAATCAATCATCCTAGCTTATCCTTGGGTTTATCCTCTGCTATTCTTGGCGGCGGTACCTGAAGTCAGTGATTTCCAGTAAAAGCATGCATCTTTACAAATGAATGTCTATCATATTAGGTTGCAACATAAGTCTTGTTACCTCCTAGCTTACGGCGATAAGTCGTCGTATATTTCATATTTTTGATAGGTCCTTAGAACAACATTCAAAGCAAGCTCTACAAGATGGTGTGCAAAAGCACCATCCCATGGTGTGCAAAAGCACCATCCCACCTTGAGTTTGCATCCAGAATCTGAGTCACACTGAAGGGTCAAAAAATTGGGAGTAACTCATATTTTCGTTCAAAAAGATTACACGGATCTCCTACTTGCTCACACAAATTGCACATCACATCAGACACTCATACGTACCGTTTCTGTTTTTTCTTTATTTGGAAAGCGAGAAAACAAAAATTTTCATGCTTATCAAAAGTGAAACTGTGTTGTCTTGACTCTTGCAATTGTCTATCAGAAGAGCTTAGAAGTTACTAGAAGAAATTCGGATTTTTTTTATCAAATGAATGAATATTGAATAAATTCGAAAATTAAATTCTCGACTAAACGAATATCGAATAAATTCGAGAATTAAATTCCATGTTCTCTCTGCTCTGGACCTGGGCATTCTGATGTAGTAATTTTTGTGTGTTAGTATGCCGGACCCAGGTTTATACGGTGGTATCTTTATTCGACCTTACGTTTCGACACAGTCGTCTTCGGAGGTCTGAAGTAGATTGCAGTTTGAATCTGGGAGACAACACAGCCAAATGCCATCACGAAACATCCGCGAGTCTAGACCTCGTCTCGCGCGCAACGTACTGAGGTACACGACGGTGTAGAAACTGACCTCTGAGCCGTTGTTCGAAGTTCCCGAGTAAGCTTGATATACTGTGACTGCTAGTTTAGGATTCTAAAGCATTCGTCCATTTCGGACTGTGTCGAGGTTTTAACACAGCAGTCACCAATGTAACGACAGTACATCAATGGTAAGCGTGCCAATACTGGTTCCTCAATTTTGCTCATAAAGCAAATGGCTAGGACTGGGGCTAACCTTTGACTCATCGCCAGTACACAAATCTGGGAGTGAAACTTAAAAAAATAAAAAAAAAGTAAATTGTAGTAAGAAAAATTATGGAAGCGGCATGGATTTCTGTTAGGAATCCAAGCATGAAGAACAAGACTAAATGTTTATCGATAGCGAACGAACTCTTGCCGTATCTGTCGATATGTGAGTTACAGCCTGCGCATATTTAAAGATCTAACCACTGAGCAGCTCGTGTCTTCCGTGCCTTTGTGCGGCTAGTGACTTCCTCACTAACACTGCGGTGGCTCAGAGGTCAGTTTCTACACCGTCGTGTATCTCAGACGTTGCGCGCGAGGCGAGGTGTAGACTCGCTAATGTTTCGTGATGGTTTGGTAGTGTTGTCTCCCAGATTCAAACTGCATTCTACTTCAGACCTCTGAAAACGACGACTGTGTCGGAACGTAAGGTCGAATAAAGATACCACCGTATAAACCTGGGTCCGGCATACTAACACACAAAAATTACTACTCGAGAATTAAATATTTTCAAATGTATGGATCTATATATAAATAAAACTCAATCTCTGTAAATTTGTTCGTTTTTAAGTATGTGACTTATAGACTCCTTTGTTTGTGAACCGATGAGGCTGAAATTCGCTCCCTTATAAATGAGGCACGGCGCAGTAGATAGGCTACTTTCCGTGACGATTCACTGGATTATTCCATCGATTTATTGATTTGTTTGCTTACATGTAGGAAATGAAAGCTTTTCGTGTTTTGACCAAGCATTTCTGTAAAAACATTAATGAGGGCGGTGATCATTTACTCGGATGCGGTGGAGAGCAAGAAAAGAAGGCAAAATCCTCCACGGAAACGACTGCACGATTTGGAGCAAGAACATGGAAAAGGAAGGAGCAGTGAAAATGAAGTAGCAGCCAAGAAGAGAAGGTAGGTTATTCACAAGCAGCAATAAACTTTTGTGCTTTGCCGACCCAGTTTAAAGGCAGTGGCTCGGCAAATCTCAACCTAGTCAAATTTGCGCTTACCTGGGGTTTCTCAATACGCTGATCCCGAAAATCCACTTTTGAAAGCTTGAAAACGGCGAAAATGGGCGTTTTTTAATGCCCTCCCCTTTGATAGTGGACGAGTGGAGCAAGGCCGATGACGCTAAATCGTGGCAGGACCCAATGGTTATAGCGTGCGGCGGGCAGCCTCCAATGGTGAGAAGGAAATTGCAAACTCGTCTAGATGCGTGTAAGATTGGCCTGCGCGTGTAAGTTCGAGAGCGGTTTTCTCGGCAGGGAAAGCATGCTGTGCAACCGGAATTGCACTGTTTTCATAGTTGGGCGATAAGGAACCTACCGCGTTAAATTCCCGAGTTGTTGGATTTTGCCGATCCACTGCCTTTTAGCCTTTGGGCTGGACCAGGGAGCCAGCTAGTCCCGAATAAAACTGGTAAATCAAAAGTTTCGAATGAATGAATATCGATTATATTCGGACGTTGGGAGTCGAATTCTGAATAAATAATCGAATGATTCATCGAATCTCTAAAGCAATCACATCTATAACCTTATCCGGTTAAAGCCGATTCATTCATAACACCCTCATTTACCCACTGCACCAAATCCCACCCCACAGCTCAAAAATCTCCAAACCCAATAAAATCGAGAGAGTAAATTCTTATCCACAATAAGCACCCCTCCTTACCCCCTGCACAATCCGACTTCCACCCTCTTAAAAATTTCTATATTCCTTTCTCTCTTTTTTTGCCAACCGCTCATGCCTCGCACATTTGTACCGCCTTCGGCGCGTCTTTTCGGGGCACTCAAACCTTGGTTCTCTGAACCAACGCCTCAAAAGCATCAAATGGTGTACGAGACTGTGCTTGCATAAGTTCATGTAGTAATCATGCCAACGATCGATTTTAGACGTAATAAGATGTCTTTAGACATTGCTTACAATGTTTATAAGAGAATCTAAGGGTTGCCTTTGCTTGTTTTGGTCTAATGAATGGTACCCTGCTCGCTTGTTAGTGTGACATTGTCAGTTGCGTAAAAATGACAACGTTATTTCACCTTAAATCCTGCAGGTTGTATTAGCTGGGTCGGAAGTCTTTTACACTTCTTTACATTGTCTATGGTGAAAAGTGAGGAACTACATTGTTAGAAATCAAGTGGCTGCTCAATCACCTTAACAATTAGACTTGTTTGCAAATCATCAAAGAAAGTATGCTCGACAGTCTTTTCGGAGAAGTGCGTTTTTCTTTGTTTGGTCCTGCAATCGTGACAGTTTCGCTATTGTCATATGTAAGTGTTGTACGAACTTTTCAGACTTTGGTGGCCTGTATATTGGCTTTGGATCCTTTTCCTTCAAAGCGGCTAGTCCTTTCTCTATCCACGGTCTCGTTTCCGGTGGCAGTGGAAGATCTTTCTGGTCAGTGGGACCCATGGCTACCTAAAACATATCATGACTTCATAATAAGCCGCTAATTCTGTCAGTTGGTCTATTATGAAACAAAAAGAATGATTTGCATAATGCATGTGTGAGGTGCGTGGCAAGTAAGGTTCATTTTTGTGATTACTTAGCGGCCTCTCAATTGAAGAATGGTTAGGGGAGCAATGGATCTTACCCTCCTCACTTTTAAGCCGAAACGATGATCCTCTTCACCTGAGGCTCAATTGGGAAGGTAATTTGAGGATGAATATGCCAGAAAGCTAGAGATTCAACACCTCAGTCATGAAACACAACAATCACAACAACACAACAATCCGTGAAAAAAAGTTGTCCAGAAAATAACGTCGCACCGTGTTTTATCATGCATTATCGCAGCAAGGTGCGCACGATGTTAGTTAGAGCAAGCACTACAAAATGAAGCTCGAACCTTCAGCCAAGTTGATTTGCATGAAATTTGGAGCCAAATTTCATAAGGCACTAAACATCAAAAAAACCGAAATAAAACATATCTCCGTTCAGACAAGTCCTGGAAACCCCTAACTTGCTCGCGCATGGACTCACTATACGAGACACTCGTATGCACATTTTCGCGGTTTTTCCATAGCTGAAAATTGAGAAAACCAAATTTGGCATGTTTTTTCCAAAGCAATCCTGAGCTTCTCTCACATTGGTGATTCTGTAGCATGAACCTTCTATAATCATGAGTTTTCAGCTTTAGACAAGCGGTAGTTTTCGAGAAAAATCAACTTGTCTGCAAAAAACCCGAAAAAGGCGACACGCACTTTACTTATTTTTGTTTGTCGTACTGTAGCCTGGAATAGCACAATCTATACAGGTGAATGGCTAGTGTGGAGAGTACATGCCTGTGCAAATTGGAGATCCCTAAGAAATCTATGAAGGAACATACGATTTTTCGGCTATCTAAAATTTTTTTATTTTGGATTCGAGCTTGGTGTGGAGCACGATTTCCGCGGAGGTTTGTAAAGTGCCTTGTAGGTCCTGCTTTGCTTTATCAAATTGTACCCCATTGCTGTTTTTTGTGGTCATTCTGTCGCGGTAGGATGCCATGCGACATTATTTTCCGGACAACCTAATATTTTTATTGATTACAATAACAGTTACAGTACTTTCTTTTTCCGCACTATCCCAAAAGTTCTATAACAGAGACTTTAGTTTAAGAATTAACTAATTTGAGAAGTAAAAATAATTTGAATTATAGACGCTGCTGTTGGATGGCTGCGATCACCGATTTACCAATCTTTATTGGCGGGTAGAGAGAGGCTGATTTGACCTCTCAGCGAGGTATAAATGCAGGTGGACCGGGGGACCAGTCAGAGCGCGAAGAGTACGCTCTCCGGAGTTTATACGAGCTTTTGAAGAGAGGCGGACCTCTTCCTTAGATAGTGGTAGCTAGAGGCTGCTGAGAAGGCAAATCGGGTCAAAGCCTCGTTGTTGTAAGTAGCGTTGTGTTCTTGTTGTTGTTAGTTTTGTGCCATTAGGATAAACTATCTTGTACCTGACCCGTGTTCTGCATCGATCACGTTACACCGGTACTTATCACTAGACCATCTCCCGTTACATTGCAAGAGAATATAAAAATCAAACATTTAATTGTTTTGGAGAGCCTTAATTGTTGGTGCTTGTCTGCTTCTTTCACGTTTTCTTTTGGAATTTTTTTTTTGAAATAATTATTTTCAAACCTTAAGGCTTTCTAAGGCTCGTGACCTTTTCGAGATAAGTGGAAAAATAAACACCCTTGCTTTGTAGAGATAAGAAAAACCCAACACATTGAGTCTATATCCAGGTTTTCGATGCTAATAGAGACCAAAAAATGTTGCCAGAGACTGCAAAAACAGCTCAGTGTGAAAAACAGTGATTATTGTAAATAGTAAATGATTGCATTAGTAAGATTACGTTTTTTAATTGAGATGAAGGACAGTCAAATGCACCTTTTGTCAGCGAAGGGAATCAGTAAACATATCGAACATATAGACTCCTCATATCTTACTGCTAAGAAGAGTTGGAAAAAAGCCGACGGTCGACGTCAATTTTCCATAATTTCAGCTTTCGAATGGTGCATAATCTGGGGAGCCTTTTGCCTACTGGCTTCAAAAATCCTGCTCCGGTGACCCATAGAAGCCAACACATTTAAGGGACGGGGTGAAGCAATCAATAATGCTTATCTCCACCCTTTTTCAAAGACTGTAAAGTTCTTTTGCTCCACAATCTACACACCAATGGTGAGTTTAGGAAACAGGAATTCAACGTAGACCGTTGACTTTTTTAACCCCAATCTACCAAGAGATACGCCGCATCTTATCTAAAATTATGTCCATTTTTAACAGCGGATTTTTGCCCAACAAGGACCTAATTACAGCTAGTTATCTATTAGGTTGGCACATAAGTAATGCAACTTTTTATATTTTTTGTCTATGAACGTAAAGCATTCATTTTTTAGCAATATGAGGAATATGATGTAAGCTTCTAATGCACACATTTTTGCCGAATTTTACCATCTTATGTGAGGATTACGGTAGGTTTACGGTTATATGGGAAAAGTTTTAGAATGCATCAGATTTTGCTGAAACTTGGCCTATAGGGCTTATTTGACATGCTGACACAAAAATGAGATCTTTCGCATGAAAAGGAAAGATGAATTTCATTTTAGCGACAAATGAATATGATATTCGTGTTTACCGCGTAGGATTACCCTATAGTGCAAAGTTATAGCGAATTCTGACTTTTCGCAGCTTACAGGGGAAGGATGATCGGTCGAAGTGGCCATCTGGAATGAGCTGTATATTAGGAAACCGTCCTCGGGAAGGCAAACTCAAAACTACCTTCGCTAATTGCCGAGCGGTTTTGTGGAGGGAGTTACAAGGCCATTTTTCTCCAGCGCAGCCGGCGCACCCAGTAATGAGCGAGGCGCTAGAACAAACCAGCAGTGTGGCGGTGCGTAGTGGCAAGACGGCGGACCATGAAGCAGGTGGTCGAGGGTTCGAGTCCTGATGCTGCTACTTTGTTTTGCAGTTCTGTAAAAAGTCTATTGGGTGACAGTAAATGAAAAATACTCATTTCTACGCAGTTGAAACAAGCTATTTACTGCAAAAAAGCCATTTTTTCTACAATAAGCTATAATCTTCTACATTATGTAAATTTGTGGAGGTTATGATGTCACAACAATGGATTCAAATGATTAACACGTATGGAATACAACCACAAAATGTTTGAAGCAGAAAGCTTTTCGCAGCGCACTCACTTGCAAAAATGCAATCGATTGCAATCAACAGCTCATTACCTAGGCAGGACCACGCAGGTAAAGGCAAGTGCCAAGTATGCGCATATAGCAAAAAGCTCCGCTGCCAATCGTTACGATGTTCTCGCCAAAGCATGTTGTCTCGTACCTTTCGGAAGAATTCGGGCCGTGTGACATCTCCCGAAAACCGACACGGATAGAGCAAAGAATTATTGACAACTTCTCTCGCATTTTGCGGCAAGCGTTGTACAATAATCTGGCAACTGACTGCGAAAAAATGAAGTTATGGAAAATTACGATGCAGATCCAACATGGTCGGAAGAAAACGATGAGAATCTCTCACCTAAAGGGCAAGGCTCAATTTTGTTTGGAGAAACGCAGGTTTTGGAAGAAATGGTAGATAAGAAATGATAGGTAATTATGAAGCTGCTGAGTCATCGCTTATGTTCCGAAGTGCGCGCTGCGAGAAGCTCTTCTACTTTGAGCATATTGTAGTTTTATTCCATACGTGTTGATATATCATTGAAATCCATTGTTGTGACATCATAACCTCCACAAAACCTATTGTAGAAGATTATAGCTTATTGTAGAAATAGTGGCTTTTTTGCAGTAAATAGCTTGTTTCAACTGCGTAGAAATGAGTATTTTTTCGTTTACTGTCACCCAATAGACTTTCTACAGAACTGCAAAACAAAATAGCAGCAACAGGACTCGAACCCTCGACCACTTGCATCGTAGTCGTCGTTTTGCCACTGCGCCACCGCCACATGCTTGATTATTCTAGCGCCTCGCTCATTGTT